AGTTCACCGAGGCCCTGAACCTGTCCGTGTCGTTTAGTGTTGTGTGTTCAAAGGCGTTCCCCAGGTTGTGGAACATGCGGCGGTGGATGTACATTTTAGGTGTCAAATACCGCGTACGCCGTGAAGTGAGTGAGCCAGCAAAGTATCGATGTGGATCCGTTCCCGTCCCAGCCAGTGGTACCAGAGCTGACTGCATTCGGGTCCGTTGACCCAAACACGCCGACCCGAAAACCCCTGAAAAAGCTTGGGGCAGATCATCCAATAATGAATGGACCAACTCCGACGCCTTATCGTCGATAAGGAGCGGCTGGAGTACTTCAACGAAAGTAGATAGACGACCGACGAAGGGGTCTTGGGTAGTCAACCAGCGATATGGCTACGCCAATAGAGAAGTTGTGGAAGCCGCCTCGTCTTCGAACTCGGATCGCGGACCAAGACGCGGCACGTATTGGCCTCTTTCTTAGCGAGAAGGAGCTTGGTGGGCAGAGGCGGCGCCAAATTTTTTTCAAGGCTCCTTCTTGCGTATATGGCAAACCGGGGCACAGAGGTGGAGGCTATTTTAGACTCGTTGGCGGGTACAGAGAAACGGCAGGACGAGTCTAAGCAACCCCCTCAGCGATGCACATGCCTGTTGTGTCGCAGTGACTACAGCTTTCGCGGCAGCTTGACGAGGCACACCGCACAACCAAAAGGCACATTTTCCAAAGGGAGCGTTCGACCAACCCTTTCCGTGCCCGCAATGCGACCGCCTAGGAAAGGAAAAGCACATGGCGGAAGGAGTGGAGCAATGGAGAAACCATGTAGAGCAGTGCAGCTGTGTCACTTAAGACTATTGTAATCGAGTAATAAAGAAAGAAATTGAGAAATGTTAATGGTTGAGCAGATATACAATATATTCATCGTTCATTCGCAGGTAGAAGAAGAGATGAGAATGGGCATTATATATCTAGTTTTTTCAAGACCCTAAAAGATCCCTTCTCTTCGATACTTCAAAACAAGCAGGAAGACCGGCCACCAGTTTAGCCATTACGGCCATGTTATCGGACTAATGGACACGGGAGTTTCATCAAGATAAGTAAAACCTAAATAGTTTCAAAAAAAAAAAAAAAAAAAAACTCTGGATGCCTCTCGCGAACATGACTTCTTTATCCTGTCCGGAGGACAATATTACCTCCTAGCCTATTTGCCTAACTACCTAAGTAGCGGAGGAAGTAACTATTTCCAGGTTAAATACTAATAACCCTAACAATTCTTTGGGCTATAATTAATGTGTTATTGGAGTAGAACAGACCAGACAATTCCATCTTCTCCCTGTTCACCATCAGACGGTGCCAGACGGCGAGTCCACGACGTCCCAGGCAAAGTACGGGATTGCGCAGTAGGCGTGGCCCGGCACGACCTGGTCATCGCAGCTGACGGACGTTGCGTTTAGCTCCGGGTTCACCAACGTCAATATCGCGATGGTCCCGCCGGAGCCGTACGCAATCATGGCGCACGTGTCCCCCGGCTTGGGATTGTTGCCGAAGACGCCGCTTTGCAGACCCAGGCACACCACGTGCCCGAAGGCGGCGTCGCTGGCCGCGTGGAGGTTGTCGCACGCGTCGTTGATCCAGGGGTTGTACTTGCGCAGGTCGCCGTTGTCGAGAGGCCGGCCCGTGAGGTTGTAGGCGAGTTGCTGGACCGAGGAACAGGTGTCGCCCGGGACGAGCATGTGCGTGATGCCGCACGGGAACGGCAGGCACAGGCTGGTCCCGGCGGCGATGCTGGTGCAGTTCAGGATGCCGTCGGGGTTGCCGAGGTATAGCGCCGCGGACGACATGTTTTTGGCGAACGCGATGGTGTCGCATGTCTCCCCGGCGGATGTCGTATACAGGTCCCCCGTGGCGCAGAAGTCGGTGGTTTCGGGGAGTGAGATGACGGGCGGGGAATCGACGTCGGGTCGGTCTGGCCGCACCGCGAGTACGAGTAGCTGAGCTGGTCCTTGATGAAGTCGTCGTAGGCCGAGTAGCTGGAGCTCTGCATGATGGCGTAGTGTTGAATCCAGCAATACGAGCAGATCTCGGCCGTGGGCATGTCCTCGATCTTGGCCACGTTTGTGAAGCCGGCGATGACATCTGGGCGTATTAGCCAGGGATTTCATTACCTCGAGTACCTTACACAGACATCGTCTCTCAAGGCGGGGGCGGGGACCAACCCACCATTACAATCCTGCCCAGTAGTTGGATCTTTGAGACAGGTCGAGTTGTAACCCGACCAGATGCGGCCACCGCGCAGCATGGGCAGTGCATCGCTGATGGTGTGGCCGTCGCAGGCGAGGTTGACGCCGTCGAACCAGGCCTTCAGACTCTGCCCGCAGCCATCGTCGCAGACCAAGTCCGTGGCGGACTGGTTGCCGGGAGAACCAAAGATGCTGGGCGTCATGAAGGTCTCGGTGTAGTTGTCGCAGCGGATAATCTCGGTGAGGGCCGAGACGCAGGTGCTCGGCAGGGTGAGGTGCATGCTCTCGAGGCTCTCGGCCGTCCACACGCGGTAGCTGTCGAACTTGCGCTGGCCGTCAATTCCCGTTAAGCCCGGCAGCCAAGCCAGGATGGACGAGAGAAAGCCGTTCTTGTTGTCGGCGGCAAAGGTGGGCGTCCCGCCGAGGGGCGAGATCAGCTCTTCGATGGCCTTGGTGCAGAGGTTGTAGATCCATATATCCGCCGACTGCTCGACCTCGAACCCGCGTTGTTGGCAGTTCTCGGTGTTGAGACAAGCTTGATCGTAGTTGCTAAACCAGCTGTAGAGGCCCGCTCCCAGGATGTAGACCGTCGACGAGTCGATGATACGGACTGCCTAGGAGAAGCCACACCCCATGGCCGAGCCGCTGGAGGCGCAGTCAGCGAAGACCGGGTCGTCAGAGAACAGGCCGGTGGTGAACGGAGCGGGGGCCTTTGGAAAGGGCTAGAAGTAGGGCAGCCAGCCCCCATTGAGCTACCTACATGTACCTTTAGGTACCTAGGTAGGCAACCTGAAACGCTAACAAACCTACCTAGGTCCTCGCCACATTTCAATTTCACAATGAAGCGACCATCAACAACAATCTCAAGACAGTCGTCCTGACCATCAGATCGGAGCTTTGTGCCGCCGAGGCCTTGCATCTCAACAACTTCGGCGTTGTCGTGCACGCGCGCGATCACTTCGACACTTGCCTGCAGTCCTTCTTTGCAAAAATGACCAGCATGACAAAGGCCTGGCTCAACAGACACTTCAACCGCCTCGAGTTGGTGAGCACCAGCCCCCCAGATTAACGCTCTGATTCCCCAGCTCCGGGCCGCGGCCAACAGCCTGGCAATTACCCAAACGGGCTTCTATGTTTAGCTAGGTACCTACCTTGCTTGAGCAGGCCCAGTAATTCCATTTGAAGGGAGCATTTTCTAAGCCCATCCATCCCCGGTGGTGTCTGGTGCCGTGACCTGCGCAATTTGCAATTTCCTTCATCTAAAACGTAAAAAGACCACCTTCATCACCATGGTCAGTGCTCGGCGAACCAATATATACCCGAGCCCTGCTCCCTCTGCTCGCGCATAAAACACCTCCTCTTGCCGCTTATACCCCGCTGCAATCGTCTGAACCACGAAAACTCAATCCCAGCTACATCCATCCTCATCCACCCGCGGTACCCATCATCGTCGTCCAACTCGTAATCCTCGCCCGGGTCGGGATCAGCTATATAGTCCGCCTCCAGCAGCCACACCCAAGCCCCCACGCCACTGCCAAGGAACCGCCGCTTCTCGTCGAGGTCGACCGCGCACCGTAGCGGCGGCAGCTCCTCGGCCAGCACCGCCAACGACGCGATACTCTCTGAATCCAACACCAGACAGACGCAGAAACGCGGGTTCTCCTCGGCGTTGAAACCCGTCTCCACACCCGCTACCCACCGACGAAAGTACTCGCCGAGGGCCTTGAACCTCGCCTCATCACCGCCGCCATCGAGATGCGCCAGCCCCTCCCGATCCTCAATCACCTCAACATAGAAGCGGCGAAACAGCTCCCGGTTGGGCTCATCGTTATCGACGCGGTCCTGCTCGCACAGCGCGCCAAACGAGGAGTAGCGGCCGGGATGGTTGCCCCACCAGTAGACCTGGCCCTTGAGACGCTCGAGCGCGACGGCGAACTGCGTGTCCGAATCGGGGCCGTACGCGGTGCGCAGGATGGTGTAGCCCCACGAGCCGTGGGAACGGCCGCAGGGGAAGCTGATGTGCTCGTCCAGCGACCTCAGGCGGCTGGTTGCGCCGGTGTCTTTGGGCAGCGGGGGGCGGTGGTCGTCCAAGAGGTGCTGGGGGATCCGCCCGAAGGTGGGTAGCGGCGGGCTTGTTGTTGGTGTTGTGCTTGTCATTTTGTTCAAATGGAGGGAGGGATGCTGCTTGATGTCCAGGGTGAAGGCGGGATTATGGGAGCCGGGGAGGGGAGCTTGGTAGGAAAAGCGACCCCGCTGCATTAATTACCTACCTGAGTTTGCGCGGCACAACCAGTTTCACCGTTTCCTTGAAACGGACAGCACTAACAGAGGAAAAGAGGCACCCGTTTTTGGATCCCGAGACTCTCTTTTTTTTGATCACTTCTACCCCAAAAGATAAACTAAGGAGGGTAGGGCATGATTATCTAGCCGAGAGCTAAAACGCCGCAAAAACGGTATTGGCCTCGCCGTTGATTGTTAGGGCAGGAATGTCACGGCCAACTTTTGGGCCGATTAATTATAAGCCGACCCTTCTCTCAACATCCTTGCCTTAACGAAAGCTTGTCTCTACTTGCCTCATTGCAGCCTCTGTAATCCATACCAACAAAACGTACCCATCTGTATTGTGGAATTTTAACCCTCACTTTATATCTTTTTAAACAACTTCTCCATACAGAATTACGTTTGAACCCCCATCCCATCACAAATCAACGCTCGCAGTAACCGACCTCTCCGCCGCAACCCCCGTCCTCGAATTCGTATACCTCACCCTCACACTCACCACCACCTTCCCGCCCCTCGACGCCTTCCAGCCCACCGCCACCTCCCCATCCCCAGGCACCTCCCCCGGCACCTCTCCCTGCGCCACAAACCCAACCCCCTCCGCCCCCTCCACACGAAACCCCACCCCCTTCAACACCCCATCATCAAAATTCCGCACCGTCACCATCACCACGCCCCCCCTCCCCGCAACACCCACCCACCCATCCGGCCCCTCCCCCTCCGTCACCACCCCCTCCCTGCCCACCCTCCCCGCCGGCACCACCCCCGCCCTCCACGCCGCGCGCTGCACCGCCACCGACGCCTGCTCCACGCGCTCGATCAAGTAATTCCCATCCCTGTTGGGCCCCGACCGGCCATAGTTCCCCTCAAACGAGAGATTCGCCACGGCCGGGTCCCCGTTGATACCGTTCTGCGCGAGCCAGGTGCCCGCGTTCAGCAGCAGGTTGTCGGTGAAGGCGTAGGAGGCGGACCCTTCGTCGGTGTAGAGGCCGTAGGCGGCGCGGGCGCCGTCAAGGGCGTGGTTGGATGTGATGCGCGTGTCGGGGGAGTGGGAGAGCGTGTAGATGGCGCCGAGGTCCGTGTGGCTGTGGCCGTAGGCGTGGATCAGGTTGCTGGTGATGAGGTTGCTGTGGGAGGTGGTGGGTGTGGTGTACTTGGGTTGGAAGGCGTACAGGCCGCGGTTGATGTACTCTTGGCTGCCGCCCGCGTCGTTGGAGCCCCAGCCGTAGCCGTGGCAGATGCCGGAGTAGGGGGTGGTGTGGAGTTCGTTGTGTGAGATGGTGGAGTGCTGGGCGTAGCTGAGGAAGATGGGCACCGTGGAGGTGAAGAGGGAGGAGGTGTTGCGGAAGACGTTGCCTGAGATGGTGATGTGGCTGTTGGTCATGCGCGCGTCGCTGGGGTGGTGCGCGTCGGCCTGGATGCCGCCCGCCGTGACGCTGTTGCCCATGACCTGCGTGAAGTAGCCGTCTGCGACTGTGACGTAGCTGGCGCCGAGGCCGGTTCCGGACGCGTGAGCATTGGCGTCGTTTCCGATGCCGACGCCGCCCGCCCCGAGTTGTGTGTAGTTGCCCCCTGAGAAGAGGATGTTGTGTGCCGCGCTCACCTGGATGGCCCCGGGCATCTGGAGCCAATGGGGTCGGGTTGACTCAAAGTTGGAAGGCGTGTACGTCTTGTTCTCTCCGATGTAGCCGCCGGTTTGCTGGTCCACGTAGCCCATCGTGGCGGGTTTCATCCAGGTGCTGTGAGCAAAGCTGATATCCTTGAATGCCAGGTCATGGGCAGGCTTGTCGTAGGTGCCGCCCACGGACACGAAGTAGGAGAGCACGCCCAAATATGTGCTCGCCGTATCCATGTTCTCGCCGGCCAGTGGCTTGTAGTACACCTTGCCAGCGACCGAGTCAACATAGAACTGGCCCCCGTCGGTCATCAGAGCCAGAGCGTTCTGCACCCACACACCAAAGTCGGCGTTGGGTTTGGCAACCGTGTCGTATCCCCACATGTTGTTAAACCATGAGGACTGCCGCATCACCAACTGGCGGTTTCCCGCCGACTGAATCGGCGCCCATCGGTCAGTGAATGAGTTGATGAAGCGGACTTCAGCCCCGGCGATGCCGGCCGTGTTCATGAGCCAGTCGTACTGTGAGTTGCTCCAGCTCATACCGCTCGAGGTAAACTGGAAGTCCTTGCGGTTGGTGAGTTTGCGGCGGGCAAAGTTGGCCGCCTGCCCGTTGACGTAGAGGTTGCGGGACTTGGTTCCAGCTGGTATGCTCGCGGACCACACGCCATTGGAACCTTGTTTCCAGCCGGTGACCCGGATCCCGCCAGAGATGACGGCACCGGGGCCTGACCAAAGAACGGTAAATCCGTTTCGGCCCGAATCTTGGGCCGTGAACGACAGCGTCTTGGAGATTGGGTATAAGCCAGGCGCGAGGTGCACCGTGACGTTGTCCGTCATGGACGCCGAGATTTGGCTGCGGACAGCCTCTTGAGTGTGGGCAATGCTTCCAAACGGTGCATTGGCATTAGTTCCGGTGTTGTTTTCTGACCCTTCCGGAGAGACGTAGAAGTCAAGGGCAGCAGTAGGGGAACTGCCGATGCTGGCCACGGCGAGCCATGGTAGCAGTGACAACCGCATCTTGACTTGTTCTCAACCAAAGTCCGCCGATACTACGACTCCACCAAAATATCAGAAGGAGTGCGGCGCTGCTAGTGGAGGTTAACGGACGAGAAACCTCGACAAACACTCGCGGTCCACTTGTGGTCGGGAGTAGAAGTGATGATCTTCTTCTCTAGGTACCCTCGCAAACACTCGGTAGACAGACTGTTGCCCTCCCAATGGAGCGGATAATAAATGACTTCAGATGTTTAATGTTAATACCCAGCCACGTGCCACAGGCTGTGGTGTGGGATTCAAAAAGCTTGAGTGGAACAATAGAGTGGCTGGCAGGAGGTTGCCGTGGAAATGCGAAGGGTTATTCACCTTCTGCAAATCGTTGCGTTTGGTGGCGGAACACTGCAGGTTGAAAGGCAGGTCGATGCCGAAGCGATCGGACGGATAGGAAGGGTTAAAGTAGCAAGTGAAGGAATTATCCGGTGATGTCAGATTTTCCCTTGGGGCGCTTATACCGCCGGTAACAACATGGATCGCGTCGAGCCATGTGAATACAAGTCCGGATCGACTGTCACGTAGCTAGGACAGCTTCTCGGTTTGTCACTGGAGCGGATATCAACTATTCCCGTGAGCATCCCGGGAAGCCGGGTCCAATTTACCCAAAGCGGTGATGATTGCTGGAAATCTCCAGGTTCCGGTGTTGATGCGGAGGTTGCATTGGGGTTCGATAGGCGAGCCATAGACATAGACTGTATAGGTATACATCTTTTTACCGCTTTCCGGATCGAGAAGGTCCATATTAAAAGTATATACAAGACCATGGCTTGGCTCCTAAACACCAACATCGAACCCAGGGATAGCGCAGCGATCAACAGCCAGCTGCCCCTCACCTCCGCTGTGGCATTCACCAAACCGCCAACCAAATGAAGTCCTCGTCGCTCTCCCTCACGGCCGCGCTAGCTACCCTAGCCACACGGGCAACGGCTGACAACCCCATCATTCAAACGCTCTACACCACCGACCCGGCTCCCCTCGTGTACGATGACCGTATCTACCTCTACACGGGCCACGACGAGCCCAACGCGCAGACTTTCCAGATGAACGACTGGCGCGTCTACTCGTCCTCCGACATGGTCAACTGGCAGGACCACGGCTCACCCCTGAGCCTCAAAACCTTCAGCTGGGCCACAGCCCAAGCCTGGGCCGGCCAGACCATCCCGCGCAACGGCAAGTTCTACTGGTACGTCCCGATGCGCCACACCTCCGGCAGCATGGCCATCGGCGTAGCCGTAGGCGACACCCCAACCGGCCCCTTCAAAGACGCCATCGGCAAGCCCCTCGTCATGAACAACGGCATCGACCCCACCGTCTGGATTGACGACGACGGCCAGGCCTACCTCTACTGGGGCAACCCGGGCCTCTGGTACATCAAACTCAACCCCGACATGGTCTCCTACACGGGCAACATCAACACCGTCACGCTCACGGCCGCCGGCTTCGGCGGCCGCTCCGGCAACGCCCAGCGCCCGACCACCTTCGAAGAAGGCCCCTGGCTGTACAAGCGCAGCGGGAAATACTACATGGTGTTCGCGGCGAGCTGTTGTTCCGAGCACCTGGGGTGGTCGACGGGCCCCTCGCCCACGGGGCCCTGGACGTACGGCGGCGTGATGATGCCCGCGCAGGGCAGCAGCTTCACCAACCACGCGGGCGTGGTCGACTTCCGCGGGGGTTCGTACCTGTTCTACCATAATGGTGCGCTGCCGGGCGGGGGCGGGTATGACCGGTCCGTGTGTGTGGAGAAGTTTGCGTACGGGACGAATGGGTCGATTCCCGTGATTAACATGAGCAAGGAGGGCGCGCCGCAGGTGGGGACGTTGGATCCGTATGTGCGTCAGGAGGCGGAGACGATGGCGTGGTCGTCCGGGGTGCAGACTGAGGTGTGTAGTGAGGGGGGGGATGGATGTGTTGTCGATTAATAATGGGGATTATATCAAGGTGAAAGGCGTTGCGTTTGGGGGAGGGGCTAAGACGTTTACTGCGCGGGTCTCGTCCGGGTCCTCGGGGGGAAAGATTGAGTTGCGGTTGGGGAGTGCAAGTGGTACGGTTGTTGGGACTTGTAACGTGTCTGGCACGGGTGGCTGGCAGAACTGGGCCAGCGTGGGTTGCAACGTCAGCGGTGCTACGGGTACCCAGGATGTGTTCTTCCGGTTTACGGGGGGTGGCGGAGAGTTGTTCCGGTTTAACTGGTGGCAGTTTAAACAGTAAGATAGGGGTGGGCCAGTATGGGGTTGGTACCTAAACCTTGGGGTTGTGCAAGTTTCAATCCATCTCCAAATCTGGGGTGGCCCTGGTTCTATGTCGTTGTCCCATAGCGAAAGTAGTCCAGGTTCTTTTTGAGGTCTATATCTGCAAAACTGCAAAAGTGATATTTGGCGTCCATCTCATTTTCGTTTCAGGTATAGGCTCAGTGTTGTCAATGACACGATATCAACTATGGTCACGCTTGACTCTACAGCCATCAAACAGTGAAGATGTCGCTCACTTGAACTAATCTGCCTTCTCAGCTAGGATAGAGCAGAGTGATACGAACATCCACTTGTAGTGGCTGTAGTGGGCCCTGAATGTGAGTACCAACAGGCAGACTGACCGCAACGGCCTGTTGGCGCGACGCGAACCTATTGGGGGGGGGTTGATCCGATTGGCAGATTTGTTGTTTCAGGGGACACCCGCAAACAACTTGTCGGGAGAAGGAAAGGCTGCTCCCAAAATCTTGACATTCTTTCAACTACAACATCGACCCGCCTAAAGAACTACAGCTGCGCTTTGCTCGCCAATCTTTTCATCCTACATCATGCCGCCCGTTACCTCGGACAATGACCTTCCCAAGCTGCTCGACACGCCGACGAAACAAGTCAAGCGTATTAAGAAGCTGGTGTCAGAGCATCTCGGAAGTGTCTCTAAGCGCATCGACAGGCCGCCCAGGCAGGGCATGTTTAGCCGTACCTTCTTCGTTGCACTGGCTGACGGACGCGACGTGGTTATTCAATTCCGAACCGAAAAGCTGAATCTTGACGCCTTCAAGGGAGTCAAAGGCGCCCTGGGCTAAGTGTCCCCGATGCTGTGACTCTCAAGGACGAAGAGTTGGAGAATGAGGGCGCCTGGGCTTACTCCCTCGAGCGTCTGCCGGGAAAGATGTGGGTTCTCGGCGTCGCCGGCAAGGGTGCTGAAGGCCGCATAGCCATCAACAGGTCGCTCGGATGCGTGCTCTCCAAGGGTTGCCTTGCCAACGACAGCGACGAGGCTGTGGCAGCAAAAGTACGGCCGCATCTTGAGGCCGTACTGGCCAGCCCACTGGACGAGATCGCGACATACCGTCCTCTGCTACAAGGGTTCCTGGACAAGCTGGACGACATCAGCGAGCTGCCGCTTTGGGTCTCGCACTACGACCTCAACGGCGTCAACGTCCTTATCGACGAGTCCTGTGAAGTGACAGGTTTGATCGATTGGGAGTTGTCAACGCCAAAACCCTTTGCCGTGGGTCTGGGCCTCATCCACACTCTGGCTTGGCGAATATACGGGCGGCGAGTTCTGGATGCCGGACGAGTTCGAGGTTGCCGAGCGGGCCTTTTGGGAGGAGTTGTTTGCTGGCATGCCCCAGGAGACTCGTGCAATGCTGGAGAAGAATATCGATCTCGTCCAGGACGCCGTTATTCTCGGCACGCTCTTGGACACCTTTTCTGGGAGGATGTAAAAGTAGGCTGTGGTGGGGTATCGATAAAGGCCCTTCCCAAATTCCTTACCTATCGGATTCCCCTGGTAAGGGGAAATCAGCCTCCGTACGAGTAGGGCTCTCGATCTAGGTGGATGAGAGTGGAAAGCAGGACGTGGTCACGAGAGAGATTCGGATACAAACAATGCAGAAACTCATTGAACACTATGATCGTGCCTTGTTGGACGCGCAGTTGAAAAGCCATGCATGTACTTGATCCGTCGTTGTTACTGTTGGAATCAACAATCAGATGGAAACAAAAATGGGGAGAAATAATTGATTGATCTCTGGCTCTTCCTCTCAGAGTTCTTCAGAGCAAGTGGTTTTTATCCTAAATCTTTCCTTTGTCTCCTTAAGTTAACCCGAGTCTTTGTGCTGCCAAAATTCCATGAATCCGTTTCCGGTACCTTGTCCGTTTCCGGATGTCATGACCGTTTCCGGTGCCATGGCTGTTTCCGGTGCCATGGCTGTTTCCGGTGCCATGACTTTCCAACAGCTGGTATCCGTGAGAAAGTTCTATATGGCGAATCCAACAGTTACCTAGGTACCTATCTTCTTACATCCACATGCAACCGACATGCCCTGTTTTCTCCTGTTTTTGGCTGATTGTTGCTAGTTAGTTATCCACTTCTCTGTTCTAACTAACAGAAACTTCCAGAGACCAGGATATTAACGCAATCCAAACTATCGAAATCAAACAAGGTTTGGGAGAAAAAGTGTTGGCGATGCCATGCGTCCATGCCGGTCATACCCATTCGAGGAGTGATAGGCGGATGCGGCCCCATCCGTCTCCATCGGCTTTCTGTCAATGAAACCCATCATGACGTTTGACAACAGGAACGGGATGACGTCAGTGAAGACACGAGGGCTTATAACTGCCACTCTCTGTCGGTCTGTCCTCGTGGTAAACATTCTCAAAGATACACTTCATCAAAGCAGTTCACCATCTACACTCAATCCGAGGCCGGCATCATAGTTGCACAATTGCACAAACCCAAGCCAACCACCGACACAACTCTTATCAACCAAACAATTCATCATGCCTCGCCAAGGAGACGGATCTGCCGACAACGCGATCGACCCCGGCCACAACATCATCCACGGCGCCGGCAAGGAAGAGGTATAGTTCACCATAAACTTCCCCTCCGCCACCTTCCCTTCTTCTCTTAGTATCAAATAACAGCCGTCTGTGCTGACACACAAACACCACAGTCCACCCGCGTCGCCCGCGCCGACAAGACAGCGCCTATGCCCGAGCCCTCCAAGGGGGCCGGTCTCGAGCAGGCACCCGCGACGGCGGGGACAAGCCAGGGGAAGGACCAGGGCGGCAGGAGTTCGACGAACTAAGGGATATGGGGGGCAAGTGTGTGTAATATTACGTGTATGAAGAGCGGGAGAAGTTTTTGTGGCGTTAGATGTATTAGGTATGCAATGGTCATGATCTGATTACATTTACCGGCGCTTTTGATCAGGCGGGGTGGATGTATGATCGTAGTTACGTACTATGCTGGAATAATGGTGGCAATTGACTGATGAAGACTCGCCATCATCACATGGCAGCTGCTGCTGGATGATGCTCCAGCGGATCCGATCCACCGGATGTATCATCATTCTCGAGACCGCAAGGTGGTAGTTGGTTGACGAAAGGATGCATCATGTATTCATTAAACTGCCACCGACAAAACCAGGATCATTACAATCCTCCCACAAAAAAAACAGCCTCCGCTCGGTGATCAACCTTTCCTCCACAAGCTTGAGAACAAGGCGGTGGAAAGAGCGAGCGGACTCGAGAGCGGCGCCGCGGTTGTTGAGCCTGTTGTACAACCGCCACAGCTGGGTGGAACGGACCATGGCCAGCGTCTTGCCCTCCCGCTCGAGCGTGGCTATGTATGCACAGGCAAGACGCGCCAGTGGGTCCGGTTCATCTGGGTCGTGAGTTAGAGCCTAACGAGCGTAGGGGTTGACGGTTGTGGACGGGGGGAAGGGCGGAAGGCGAGGGGGTGTCTGCGGTGGGTAAGGTAGGTACTTACTGTCGTCCGCGACGGGGTTGGGGTCGGGTGCCGCCGTCGTCGTCGATGGGGGAAGCTCTTGGTGGTGCGGGGGGGAACCGCACTTCTCCATGGTGTAGTTGCTCCGGGGGCAACGGCAGAGTATCAGCCTGGCGATTTGTCTGTCCTTTGCGGCGGCGGCGGCGGCGGCGTGTGCGGCAAAAATGGCAGCAATGCCACCAGCGACGGCGTCGTGCTGGGGAATTTTGTCCGAGTGCTGCGCTGCCGGTGTGATGGAGCCCGAGATATGTGACGTCGACATTTGATAAAGTCAGAGAGATGGAGATGGAGGCACTAGCGGGGATCGGCTTTATCCTCAACTTGCACGCGCTGACCTAGGCATCTTTGTGACAATATCATCCAAAACTTTTGACAATGGTGACGTCGTTTTTGCGGCAGTTATGAGCCATCGTTACGCAACGCTCGTTGCTCGAGTCATGACACCAGCCATCAGTCGGATGTTGGTGATGTGGCAGTAGTTGGCTAGGGGCCCGAGGTCCGAATCGTGATTACACCTGACGTGAAGTTCGAGGTGCAGAAAGCCAGTAGAGATACAGGTGCAGCTCCGTCGGTGGGCTGCTAGCCGTGTGTACCATCTTTGCCTACATGTACATGTACCGCCTTGCTGACCGGCTAGTATAAAGGTGTCTATGATGGACATATGCAAGCCAGTCTTTAAAAAGTTAAGAGGCTGGCTGTCAGTCAAGGAGCTGCAAGGAAGAGGATGAAGCGAACCGTTTGCTTCATCGCCTACTAAATCGACCAGACCTTTCTCCAACTCACCCGCTTGCCCAGGCAAGTCCTCTGCCTCACTGCCCTTGTTGTCTGAGATGGTTAAAAGAGTCAAAGTTCCATAGTTAGGTAACTAGGAAAAAAAAACCCAGTTGTTTGAGCATGATTGGTGAGGAGAGCGATTAAAAGATTGTGGTAACTGGGTACCTAAGTACAAGAAATAGGGGGAAAGGAAGAACAGAGCCCCTCCCTAGAGTCCCCCATCAAACGACTGTCCTTAATCGGGCCCCAAACCCAAACGGCCATTCTTTCTCCTTCAAGAGAACATGCGTAGTTCCGGCCTTGTCAGCGAGTCCACCACGGTGGGCACACGTCCACGTCAACACCAGTCCACGGTTCATACCTCAGACGGTCGACTGCTCATGGACCGACCACCGAAACGGCAGCGGAATGGATGGTGTTGAGAGCGCTGTGTAGCTGGGAGAGGCGGTTGTACGCGTCATTCATCGCTTGTTGGAGGTTACCCCCGGCGGGGGCCACTTCGTTGGCGAGGTTGTTGATGGCATCGGCCACGCCACCGGTCAGGCGATCCAGTGCGATCTGGGACACGTCTCGGATCCCGTACCAGTTGACGTTTTGTCTGGCCTCGAGGCCGCTGACCACGGAGACACCGTCTGGCTCAGCGGCCGGGGCGGGAACAGCAGCTGTCAGGCTCGCGAGGGCGAGGATGAGGGTTGATGTGGCGAACTTCATGGTGAGTGAGGTTCAAGTAAAAGTTGGTTTATGTGGGATGGGGATGAGGTTGTAGAACTGGAGTGAAGGATGTTGGTGCTTGTAACCTTTGGCGGGAGGAGGTTATGTTACGGTCTTATATAGTTAAGTCTTGAACATCAACCCGCCCCCGGACTAGGTACCTGGACTCTCCGTGTCCGGCCCTCTCCCGGTATCTCTCCGGCCCCTCCTTCTCTCGTTACTTTACCGCCGATGACAAATTTAACATGCATGATTTGAGAATGAGTCTGCCGGCTCAGAGTAGCTGTCTTCACACGACCTGCTCCTTTAGTCCTAGCCGTTGACAACTGTCGGTCCCGTCTCATAATCTTTGCCCTTGTTTTCGGTAGTCCAAGCGGGTGGGTGGGTTACAAATCAAACTCTGACTATTTAAGAAGTGCATAAGGATATGTGTCTGCAGAGGGCTTGTGTTGGGTCAGTAGGATGACAACAGGGGAGCAATCGATAGATGTGGGCAAAGGGGCCGCGCAGCGTATTGTTCCAACGACTCAACGGCTTGGCATTCGAGAAGCATACATAGGTAGGTTGTAATGTGGCTTTCGACATGTCTGAATCAGGGCAGGTAAAGCCTCGAAACGGAATTGATCTACACGAAGCATACGCAGTCAGCCACGCAACCTTGGTAACAAACACCCGGGACACTGTTAGTTAGAAGCTCACGAGCTGGTCTTTTTGTCAGCTTCTTGACCACTCCAAGATTGGCCTCGGTCTTTGCGCTTCTGTCTAAGCCTTGTGACTCCTACATGCGAAGTGCGGGGGTTCCAGTCCCGTCGGCAGTTGGTTTTACTTTTGGTCGTGAAGTAACTACCTAATATCCAGACCTTCTCACCCCCAAACCTCTATAAACTCCCTCCGGACGTTCCCTGCGCCTTGGATCTTCAAACTCCTTCACATCTCACCCACAAAGCCACCACCAATACTCCGTAAAAAAGATCAACAAGACATGCGTCTAGTATTTGCCGCGGCTTTACTTGCCGGTGCTATGGCGGCGGCCACGGCCATCCCTGGCCAGCAGCATGAGGCGCCGGCTGTCGATTTGAGCAAGCGGCAATGCGGCTGTGATTGCGTCAGTCCCAAGTTCCTTCGTCCTTCCAGTTTGTTCATGCTCTTTCCCTTGTGTGTTGTGGTGCCATACTAATATTCACTGTCATTCACAGAACAACAAGATCTGTGGAGGGAATTGTTATGGCGACTGCAACACTTATGCTTGCTTCGAGTGTGTTGATTGCTGTCGTTGGACTTGATGGATAATTGAAGAACCATTGGTTGGAACGACGTTCCTCTGTCCGTTTCGACGGCGACGAGTCTTTTTATGTTTTTTGGATGTGGCTGTGTGATGCTGTGCCTTGGAGGCGTGGACAACGAGATGATTCGCAGTTTGGCGATCGTAGCACAGAGTATAGCAGTTGAAGCGGTTGAAGCAGTTCCCTTCACTCCTTTTGGGCTCTGCCAAATATAGAAAACTGTCACCGCAGTCAAAAATCTTTCTTGGTCGTTTTATCCTGCCATGAAGAACACAGTCGTAATAGTTGCTGTGGTTGGAGGCTTATCATACACAAGGTAGGTTCACACAGCGCAGTGGTGTCCGGGAAAACTTCACGGATATTGTTGGTAGGTATTAAAGTCAAGAAAACAGGGCTACTAACTAAATATTATTAGTATTATTATTATTCATACTCCGCTATGCCCTAGGGCGTGCCGGACCCTCAGCTATTTAGTGTACAGGAAAACCGTGCCCTCCCGGGCCGGGTAAAAAACCCATACCAACAATCAAGGAACGATGCGTTTTGGTGAGTCTGCGTATACAAAGAGAGGAGGCCTCCTGGCCTCCGAACGGGGGCGCTTCAGGCCGCCGCTTCCAGCTCGAGCCTCCTGGCTAAATTGTACATCGGCAGCTTACCCGAGTCCATCAGCCAGTCGAGAACTCTCCTCGCGAGCCGTGCAGTCCTGGGATTGATGCCGTGTAGAGCAGAGTAAAAGTCCCGTCGTGTCCGAATTCCAGTTCTCCCCCATCTTCTAGTCAACGGTGGGGCCAAACACCACACTACCAGGTGTTCGGCAGTCTCTCGTCCCTCGCCACACTCGCAGGCAGGAGTCAGAACCTCCGGGACTCCCCGTGTAAACAAGAAGCCCCGTAAGCCTATTGCTCCCGTCTGGATTTGAATCAGCAGTGAGCTCTTTGCCTTGCTGAGACCGTCGTGCCTCCTTAGGGTTTCGTTCCGGAATAGCGTCTCCTGCTGATGGTCAAAGTCGTCCGCCGGCCTGGTGATTGCCCTGCCGTCCCGTTCCTTTAACCACCTCGCTTTCCAAGCCTCTTCTACTACCCTGTTCGTATCAACGGTTCCCCCCGTCCAGCGCATGACCGTGTCCGCGGCTCTCTCCACCGCCGTAGGCCCTTGAGGTCCCAAGGTTCGCGGTCGGCCCCTGTTGCCCCTCCTCGAGCTAAGTCTCTGCTGTATCTTGCGACAGGCGGTGAGGACAACGCTCGCCGCCGTCTTCTTACCGCCTCGACCGTCGTCCAGATCGGGTCGTTGGAGTCGGTTTTCGAAATCTGCAAACCGTTTGTTTAGGTACAAGTCCAATGGTGGTACCCATGTCTCTGTCTCGAGGTTACGGATGAGGGCTACTAAATAAACAACCCCATTTTGTCCTCGTAGTGTGGTGCAGTTGTCGATGTTACCGTACCCAAAAAAGAGCCACTAAAGTACCTAAGGTACCTAAGTAGGTAGGTAGTCTACTGTCTCACTTCCCAGCTCCTTGTAGGTCATTTCATCATCAAACATCTCCACTTCCGTTCGTAAGCTTCTTTTTGCCAGTCAACTTCTCAATAAGAAGCCGTTCCACAATGTCAACAATGGTGGCGAACAGCTTCCGATCCAATTCGGCCGAGGCGGGGCTTAGTTTGGTGTTATGGTGAATCTGCCAGAGATAAAGAGACCGAATCATTGGCAAGGTCATTTTATACTTCCCCCGAAGCTTGGCGAGCATGGCCTGGGCAAGCTCATCAACATTTTGGTCCTCGACGTTACTCCCCAGAAGTGCAACTAGATAGAGCGGTCAGCGTTATGTTCGGGATCTTGCGCTTCGAGCGAGCTTATTTTCTACTTACGGGGGTGGAACGGATCCAGGCTAGGCGAGTCATCCGACTCATCAATTTGAGGAGGCTTGGGGGGAGCGGGACCTGGCTTGGACGCTAGAACCCTTTGCCTAGGGTTGTAGTTGGGTCGTCGGGGCTGATCTAGGTTGGGCGGGTCATCTGGCTGAGGAGGCTCAGGAGGAGCGGGACCTGGCCTGCGCGCCACAGCCCTTTCCTTAGGGTTGTTGCCCGGATTCTTTCTGTTGCGAGGCATCGTGAAGGGAAATGCGACCTAGGCCCGACCGCTGGATGTATTTTGTCGATCCCTGAACCTGTTGGTAGAGGGCAAGGAGGCGTTGGGGGTATGGTTTTGGGGGCGAAGGTCATAGTTTGACGGGAAGGCTTCCGAGATGTATTTATTTACTTCTACAGAGGTAGATTTAGCGTGTCACGGGCAGGTCGTGGAGCGACATCAGCATGATCAAAGCACAAGAGATGCGAAACACAATCATGTAATAACTTTCGACCGCGAGCGCTCGGGTGGACAGTGTTTCGCTGAGTATGTAAATACCGCCTTGAGTTAGTTACTAAAAGCAAAACTGTTTCGGAACAACACCTCTCTTTTTGATCACCGTCAGGTTGGCCTTTATTTGCAAAGCCAAAGCTGGAGGCAGCGTCAAAGAGGTCGCTATCAATAGCTGACTCCCTGGCTAGTCCTGTCCTGTTCAACGACATGTAAAGTACCTAGGTAGGTACCTAGGTATTCTGTGAATTGGCCCGCCACCCCCGGCAAGACCACTGCTAACACACCCCCGGCAAGACCACTGCTAACAAAACAACATCATCGAGGGCGAGAGACGTTGTGCCTGCATCCATTGGCCCCTTGATATACCCAAGTAGTTGTTGCCGCAACAACAGATCAATTAAGGGCCGCTGGTCTAGTGGTATGATTCTCGCTTAGGGTTCACCCTACGGCAACGTTTGCGAGAGGTCCCGGGTTCAATCCCCGGGTGGCCCCGATCTAATTTTCATTTTTTGTTTTCGCCTTAACTAACTAATATCATTTGTCTTCTGTCCTTGCGACATTTCCGAACTGGATTATCTCTTCCTTTTCCCTTGTTCTTTTCTTTTCCTACCTGGCACAGCCTTTCTCCTTTCTAAATGCAGATAGAGTCCCGTTTCTCCCACTCGCTACTCTGTTTACACACAGCTCTCTGCAAAGCACTGAGGAGAATTTCCACTTTTGGTCACGCCGTGCAATGTGAACAGCAGTTGCTTCGACTCTACCTTCAACTACCAAAGTGCCTACCTAACTGATCAATTCTTTTACCTTCAGGTCACCGATGCTGTTCTCATCGTGGGAGTGGTTCTGTGTCATTGGCTTCCTCTTCTCCTTTTCGTCTTGTCGTTGTCTTGTTCCCATTTTCAGTGAGGTATCACGTTACGTAGGTATTTTTGAGGCTAGCCCTGGGTCCGAGAACCACGAAACTTGCCTACCTAGGTAGGTTTCTTCGACAGTGAAGTAAGCCACGCAACTTTGATCGGAAACATGTTATTCAATGACTTGACCAGCACGGCTGGCCCATCCCAACCAAAATGGAGAAAAGAACCCAACGCCTAGCAGGCACTGCCTGCTGCAAACACCCGTATGTAGGTACATACATGCGCCTCTTTTTACAACCCGGCCAACCCACGAAACTTTCCCAAAACCTCAATCCGAACAGAAGAACCAAACCAAGAAAAGCCAACCGGCACCGTGTCAGCAACGGGGAGACACACCCCCGCCAACATCCAGTGCCTACGCTTTCGCGGCCGGAGCAGGGGCAGGAGCCGGCGCAGCAGCTCCACCACCCTCAATCAACTGCTGCAGCGCATCCAGCAGGGTGCGGCAGGCCGTGCCGGGACCACACGGGTCCGCAACCCCAGCACCAGCACCCGCACCCGCACCCGCACCGGCCCCCTCGCCAGCATTGGCACCCTCCCCAGCACCAGCCCCCTCACCAGCACCCTCCCCAGCACCGGCACCACCACCACCGCCAGCAGCAGCCTGCGGCAAGAAGATGGCCCACTCGCCGACCATGTTGGAGACCGACAGCGTCAGCTCGTTCTCCTCGACCTCGAACTCGAGCTCGCCCTCGCCGAAGACGAACGAGTTGGCCTCGGCGCAGAAGCGGCCGACTTGGCCCGTGGAGATGTCGAGGGTGCCTGTGTTGGGTGGTGAGGTTAGTTTGGACCTTTGGGGGGACTGGATAAGGGTGATGTGGGGTAAGAGGAAAGGAAGGGGTGGTTGGGTTGGGGTGATGAGGGAGGGGGGTTCAACTTAGGTATGGTGGGGTGGTAGACGGTAGGGGTGTGAAGAGAGTAGGCATGTTGCAACTTACTATCGGCATTGAGGATGTAGTCAATCTTTTGCAGGGTGAGACCCTGCGCAGCAGCCGCGCCACCGCCCAGCTCAACAATGTACGACACGGGCTCGAGCGCGACAAAGCCGGCCGGGGGTGGTGCCGGGTTCTTGTTCTCGGTGACTCTGAGTTGACGCCCCTGCTGGTTCTGGAACTCGACTTCGAAGACGCCGTTGGTCTTGCCACGGGAGTTAGTACAGTGACTTATCACGCTGAGGTCTTGGGCTGTTATGAACTTACACCGGGGGGGAAGATGGTATCAGTTTTGATGTTGCCGCCGCCCAGCTCAATGACCTGCCCAAACTGACCCTGCTGCTCAACCTCGTTCTCCTCGCCCTCTCCCTCGCCTCCACCGGCACCCTCTCCGGCACCGGCGCCCGCCCCAGGAGTAGCGGTCGTTGAGGCGGCGGCCGCTGCTGTTGTTGTTTGGCTAGCCCTGGCAACCTGCCCGGTCCCGTTGGGCGTTGGGAGGGCAAGGATGGAGAGCACCTGAGCGGCGAGAAGGAGGCTGCTTGAAAGCTTCATGGTCCTTGTTGGTGGCGGACGAATTAGGCGTGTTGTGAATGAAAGAAAGACGTATATGCGGGGTGCGAACTTGTAACTATGTACCGAAAATGAAAGTAACCCGAAGGAGCATGAATATCAATAGAGGGAATGAAAGAAAAGAAGCCACCAGGGGTTCAGAAGAGTAAGAGAGGATGACGGGAGAAGATGGGTGCTACCATCAACGCAGATCACGGACAACATCGACTGCACTTATACTTGCGGCCGTCGAACTAGACCAGAAGACCATTTCTGTCGAAACATTGGCACAATGCAGGAGCCACAGGCATGTCACAACGGTTACGAGAAAGATTGCCCAGAGATACATTTTCGGCGCGATCGCTTATGGTGGCGAGCGAAGCGACCGCTACCAGCGCTGGAAACCTGGAACTCCTAAGCCACAAGGTTGAGGGCGGACGGTAGCGCCTCGCCAAGGCGTCTGTGTCTGGTTTCGCGCCTAGCTTCTCACCCCTTGATGTATGCCCGCCACCTTGGGTTGCTCTCAGAACTCAAAAGCCAAGGCCGGAGGCGTTTGGGAGGTTGGGTGTGATTGGTGTGGTTCCTAAAAAAGGGGTTATACTGTGTATGGGTTTACGACCTTGTGCGAACGAGATAAACAACAGGGGAGGACGAGTGCAAGAAGGGACCGAGGGAGGCTCATGGGGTAAGTTTAGCCTGGAACTGCCACAACCGACAAGCCATCCCTGTCCCCCATGAGACCAGACAAGGCCCACTGGGCAGTCTCGGCAGGTTTGATACCGCGGTGTGGGCGACTACAACGTCTTGGCTAGAAGAATCAAGCTTCGCTTGTAAGCTTGGTTGAGCTTGACCGATGGATTTGATCGCTGCCAATGTCGTCCATTTTCCTGGGTTCGGACATCATCTGAACTTCCTGGTTGTTAACGGAAGTTTCTGACGATCTGAAAGCCACGGGCATCAAATAACATCGAGGGATCCTGAGATAAACTTACGGTAAAGGGAGCCCACACAGTCAAGACCGGGAAAGGGTTTGGTGCACTCGTGCCGTTCCTCTTTTAAGGGGTTAAACTCGAAAGCTGCCAAGCCGTGCACGAAGTTTCCAGGGTTTCTTTGCCATCAGGAAATGGCGACGAAGATGCTGCTAGAGAAAGAATCCAAATGGGGTACGGCGTAAGTATGCAACCTAGAGCCACATGGCAGACTGCCAGGCTGACTACCAGGCTGCCTCCGGACCATCGTTTTTGTTTGTTTGATGTTTCGTGGGTCTGCTCGCCCAATGTGGTTGCGATGGATGAGGTTCCAGGTTGGGGTCAAGGAGTGGGCCCAGGGGAAGAAGGGATGGAAGGGTCTGGCTCGGCTCAACTTGCGATTTGCATTGGCCTCGACTTTGGGTCACAATCTTGGCGTCGGTTCAACTTGCCCGGCTGACGTTCAAGGTTGACGACAAGTCCTCGCTCCCATTATTGAGATGATTTTTTGGCAATTTCTAGACTGCGTACGAAGAGTTGTTGTGGCAAATTTATCGAAGATATCGATATTTGTGGTTTTCTTCGTCGTCTCAACTTTGACGATGGGAACGCTCAGAATAGCAGCACGGTCGAGAACATCAAACCGCCACCGCATGTCGGGACTTGTTTTGCATGAATTTCGGTTTCGTCGCCAACTCATTTGGGCAACTGGTCGCGTGCTCAAAAGCCGCTGTTGTCTGGGCATTGCGGAGCCCGCCCGGCAGCGGGTGCAAGAATACTGACTTTGGGCCTATCAAAAAAAAAACTCTCCCTAATGGCAGACCCATGATGGCCCCACACAGCTGTTGCATTTTCGGTTTCTCCCCCTGCTCTTTCCCCGAGAGACGATCGCAGTCTGATCTGCACCCTGCACTCCCAAAATTAAGATATCGATTCCCCATTTGCAGCCAAAAGCACCATGACTGGTTCCTCACACTCGATCCGCCTTGTCTTGGCAGCGTGCAGGCGTCTCAGCCGGTTCTTGGCTGACACGCCCGCGTCTGGGGCAGGTCCCGGAACCAAAGCGCTGCAAAGCGAGAGGATTGGCTCGCAACTCTCACGCACCGATACAGCCGAGTCTCTTCAACACGGAGTGCCCCTGTACGACGTTACTTGCAAGTTCTAACGAGGAGTCGGAAGGGGCGAAGGGGATGATGGCTGGTGCTGCTGACTGGGACTGAGGCGTCACGCCCTGACCCGAGGAGCCGCCGACCTCCGAGAGCAAGTGACTTATTACCCTTCCTTGGCGCCACTTTCTTTGGGTGAAGATCACTGTCTTGTCTCTCTTGTTTCTTCGCTTCGCTTCTTTTGGACAGGGCAGCTGGTCTGCAATTTCGGCGTTTTTGGTGCTTCTCTCAGCTGTCGGTTCGTTCGTCATCCAGTTCTGTTCTTCGTATATGCTTCTCCATCGGACAGGAACCGACTTTTTCCTGCATTTCTCTTGTCCAGTTTGTTGTCCTTGGGTCCGATACTTGGTAACGGCATCACATCATGAGGGCAACTGGTCCGACGGTACGCCGCCGCAACCATGCGTGGCTGGAGATGAGGCGTCGAGAGAAACAAGCGGGCCAGTTTGCTCGACGCCAACAACAAGACGACACCTCGGATGATGGCGATGTCTCGGACAGTAACTCTGACGACAACTCTGTCAGCTCCCTCGACTCGCTCGACTCGCTCGACTCACTGGATTCACTCAACTCATCTGATGACGAAGCCAACCCTCAGCCGACTCAGACACTGAGCCCCGTCATTGCTGGCGCCAAGGCGCGCCCTTCCCTTGCTGCCTCCTTAAAAGCGCGCCCCTCTGTCTCTGTCTCCGCGAGCGTGCGGGCCCGGACAGGAAGATGGATCAAATCCCTGCCAAGGGCAGAAGTAGCCGCTGGTGTAACGCTTGGGGTCGGTGAGCCCGGCGAGGAGGCCGGCGAGGTCGAGGACGGCCCTGAAGATGAGGTTGAATCCGAGTCTCTCTCTGAGTCGGATGGGATCGAGTCTGATGGCGATGAGTCCGGTAGCGAAGAGTCGGTCGAGGAGTCCACAGCCCCTCCGGCCATCACAACACTCCCACCGGCTGGAGTAGCCCCGCCGCCTCCCGCAATCACCTCTGCCGCAGAGACACCGACCATCAAGCCACCGCCACCACCTGCCGACATTACTAGCACTTCGGTACGCCAGCGTTCCTCTACGGTGACCTCAAAGAGGGACTCGTCGGACGCCCCGGACTCTACAGGGGCACCACCGCAACTAGCTCCGATCGTCGTTCCATCGGGAAGCAGTAGCTCGAGCCTCGACGACCTGATAACGTCGTTGACGACCACTTCGTCGCAAATACCATTGACATCCGCAGACAGCTCGGTCGTGCCTACCGTCCCGGTGACTGGGGCCACACAGTCCGAAGAAGCCCAGGTTGAGCCGCCAAACAGCCAACCCAACGAGCGGGAAGGACTCGGTATCGGCGGCGCGCCAAACAAACTCAACTCGGGTGCCGTAGCCGGAATCGTGCTCGGAGTGCTGGGTACGTTTCCACAAACCGCGTCACTCACCCTACCTCACAGCTAACATCGCGCAGCCTTGGTTGGACTCCTCGCCGGAGCTGCTCTCCTCTGGCGCAAACGCCGCCGCGACCGCGGCCTGCCCTTCTTCCCGCAAACCCGACTCCGCCTAGGCGACGATGACGACGGAGCCCACCCCGGCTCCGTCACCGGACCCCTCCCGGGCAGGATGAGACAGCCAGAACGACAGACCAAGACCAACACGCAGATCATGGACGACCTCATGAAAAGCCGCGTACGCAACCAACAACGGCGAGAAACGACATGCAGGGGCGCTTACGCCCCCCTACAAACCCCCCGCAGCAACAGCAACAACAACAAACCGCCCCCCATCTACATGGACGAAAAAGCCTACATCTCCCTTCGCCGGGGCCCCCCACCCCATGCAGCCGCCCACGCCCCTAGCGAGCCGTGCCCCCCTCCCCAACGCCCACCGCCCAGAAACCCGTCATGCGCTGGCTCGACGGCGTGCGCACGCCGACCCAACCCAACGGGCCCGAGATCCCCCCCACCCCGGCCATGCCCCCCTCCGCCACCATGCCTAGCGGCGGCGGACGCGCCCTCGACCCGCCGAGGCCGGCGTACTATGGTAGGGATACCATGGACGACGGATACCACGAATACGAGCGTGCGTTGGTTTGGTTGAGATGGTGATGGGGGGTGGTGTGTGCTTGTCTGGTGTGTGTTGTTTGGTTGGGTGGGTGTTGGGGGGAAAGGGGACTCGGTGCGTGGTTGGGTTTGTTGTAGGTCGTCGTGTGTGTGACGGTGGCTTGGGTGTGGTGGTGTGCGGTTGATGTGGTATTGGTGGGAGCGTTTCCTCTGCGTCTGGGAGTCAATATGGGTTTAGATGGATGTATACATGTATATAGCCACTGCAAATGCGAATGCACTGTCCTGTCAGATTCGGTGCCTCGGTTCTCAGCGCGCCGCAGAAATGTCGGGCAAGTAATCTCTCGCCCGCAATGTGTTCATCTAGCCTTTGAATGGCGACAACCAAGATCGCATTCCCTTCAGTGGCTTTGTCCTCTAACGGCCAGCGTCACCAGCACGGACTTTCGCGTGTACATGCAGATGACGACAAAACGTTCGACTTTAGAAACGAAAAGAAAACCGGAAACGAAAACTCAACGTGTTATTTTATTTCGTTTCTGTTATTTAATGCTTTTACTCTGTTTCCTTTTTTCCTCTTTTTTTCTTTCTTTTCTTTCACTTCTTTATTTTTTCCTGTTCCCTTTTCGACTTCGGCTTTTTTTTTTTTTCTTTCGCTAGGGCGCGCCTCTTAGGTACCTGCCTTGCCCAGCCAACCTGGAGAAACCAACCACACACCGCCCCTCGCACCCCGCCAGCGCGAAGAAGCCGAACGCAAATTGGAGAATGCGAAAGCACGGATACAACCGACGATCTGGTTCGAATTCCTCAAGTTATACCACAACCTTATATACATGAAAATCCAAGTGCAGTCAAACCCGCTACTCGCCTTAACAGGCGCAGTCGCCAATGTGACAGGGAAATGCTATCCGCGATACCTCCGGCCATGGAAAGAGTTCGACCAAATCCACGAGGAGATTTTCGCAAAGCACGAACGGATGTTGGGCCAGCAGAGACTGCTGCCTCCCTTCATGGATCTAGAAATGCAAGGCCGCCGAGTGAGGCGTGGCAGAAAGATAGCAGGCGAAAGAGATCTGAAACGATTCTCATCGCTCGCTCTCGAGGGCTGCGTCGATGACGTTCTAGATCGGCTCGTTGAGCCGGGAGAGGCAGGACATGACGGTGCACTGCCGCCTATTTATTCTCAGATTCTGCCTGGAGTGCGCGATATCTCGTTTCTCAGCAAGCCATACGGTGTTGTTTTCACGGACTCGGACGAGCCTCGTCCGACGAGGAAGAGCAGGAACTGGCATTGCAAATCCAGTCATTCGCAGCCGGTCGCCAGGCGACCCTCGGTGCGGAACAGGGCCCCGAAAAGCAGGTGTCGCCCGAATTCATGAAACTCCACCCAGGCTTCTGGTGTTTCCGGCACGACGACGACGATTCAATGGTCCCGCTATTTTTCATCGAGTACAAGGCTCCGCATAAGGTCGACAATGACGTGTTGCGCAATGTCCTACGGTCTCCACGCGCGGAAACCCTGATGGAAGATAATTAGTATCCGGAGTATCAATGGAAAACACGTCTCCCAGATACTCCCCGCGAACGAGATCGACATCGCCAAAATTTTAACGCAGGCGTTTGACTACATGGTTGACTATGGCCTGCAGTACAGCTACGTCAGCACGGGTTTGTCGCTCATTTTCCTGTATCTTGAGCCGGGCGAGCCCACCACGGTCTACTACCATCTTGAGCAGCCAAAGACGGACGTCACGTCGACGAACCGTGCCGGTCTCAAACACATGGCTGTTGCATTGATCCTAACGGGTGTGCATTTGTCGCTGGGGGGCGAGTATATGAAACAAAGCTGGAAGAAGCAGGCCAAGGAAGTTCTGTGTAGGTGGCCTCAGCCCTACGACGGCATGGCGGCCTGTGGTGTAAGTCCGCCGCCATCAGAGACACAGCGGCGCCATCTTGGACTTTTCCCGCCGACACGCTGTTGACACCAACGCTGCCGTACTGTTTCCAAGCATGCCTTCTTGGCTTGAAGCATGAAGGGGCTATGGATCCGAGTTGTCCCAATCACTCGCTTCACCGACAGATGAAACAAGACGAGTATGCGAACCTGACGACGAATAAGCACCCAATTTCGGCGGCCGAATTCCGCTCTAAGATGGTGGAACAACTCGCCCGGACCATTGATGAGGACTGTCATAGCCTCGAACGCTATGGCATGTTCGGCGGAACGGGTGCCATGTTCAAGGTCACCCTGGGGGCCTACGGATACTGCCTCGTAGCCAAGGGTGTACAGCGTCAACACCGCCCGCGCCTCGACCTAGAATCCCTGGCATACGAATGCCTCGAGTCCTGCCAAGGGGCGTTAGTCCCGGTATGCCTGGGTATCATTGACTTGCAGGATGAGTACCACAACATGTTTGGCGCACACTTTGCCCACATGATGCTGCTCTCGTACTGCGGTGCCTCGCTGTGGCATGTCAATCGAGACATACAACAAGCTGCCGCTAGGAAAAGGAAAGGCGACGAGAGCGCCGACAGCGAAGTCGAAGCCCGGCCTAAAATGCTGCTCGAGGAGCAGGAGCGGACGCTGACCGACCTCACAATGCCGATAAAACCATGGAATAGGGAACGTAACGCAGCAATTCTGCGTCCATGTCGTTTGCGCCGTGTTGCCTTGCAAAGGCTTCTATGATTGTGACGATATTGGCATTCTCGCGCCCGAGGACGTCCAGCTCGTCCTTCGCCTGCTCGACGTTGGTCTTCTGTCGTTTCGCGCGGTGAAACGGCTTTCGCGTTGCTGGGCGTGGTCTTGATCTTCGTCGGAGTGTCGAAGACGTGGTCATCATCCTCGTCGAAGGAGATGGTCATCCTTTTGCAAGTACGCCTCAAGCTGTACCTCTTCTTTATGCCCTCTGGGACATCTGACATTCCCTCAAAGCCTGAGGCTTCGCCTGGCATGATGAGGGAAAGGTCTCCGCTGCTCGGGCTGTGGTTGAAAGAAAGCCATTCAAAGGCCATTCAAAAGCCTCCTCTTTATTTTACTCGGTTTCTTTTATTTGGGTTTGATTGACTTTGTTTTCTTCACCTCTTTTCCCTTTCTCTGCATTCTTATCTCTTTTCCTTTTCCTCCATTCTTTATCTCCTTTCCTCTTCTTTTCTTTTCCTTCCCCTTTTCTTGATTTCTTGCTTTTCGATTTTTTCTTTCCCTTTTTTTTTTTTTTTTTTTTTTTTTTTTTTTTTTTTTGGGCGAGAGGGTGCTGATCAAGAGACTATCTGACGATAATGAAGAACTATATCCTCCCCAGCACCCTAGTTTTTATTCGAGGTGTAGATTTGGCACCGCATCGAACAATGCCATGAGATCCGAGTCGAGTGTCAACCCTAACCCGCTGAGCTATCGGTCGTGAACCCCACTTTGTTGCCTCCCCTGCAATTTCTGCAACGAAAACCGTCAGCAAGCCGGGTTGGTCACACCAGGTGCTGTGTGCCTTCCTTTAATAAATGCTGTCTCACTCACGCAGCCCTCATCCTTCAGAAGCAACGACCATATCAATTTCACTCGTTCATAGGGTGATCCAACGATCCAACCCTTCCTGCGATCGTTCCTTCGCCCTTCATTCGCAATTCATTGAACGGTACCGAAACTGTGCCAAACTGTGCCCCTCATTATCATCGGCACAGCCGCATCACCGCCAAGATAGGCCGCAGCCGTGGAGGAGGGCCGCGCCCACATAAGGGCAAACAGTGGGACGACCTCGACGGCTTTGACGAGTTCGATGACTTCCGCGTTCAGGGGAAGCAAGCACAATCGAAACCGAAGAAAGGCAAAGGCAAAGGAAAAGGAAAACGGAACAGGCGCAAGATGGGCCAGGAACAGTCGTACATCGACGATGACACCCCGCCTTTGACCCTGCGGGAGCGCAGCCTCACCGCCGTCGCCGACTTCATCAAGTCCGGCCAGGCTCGCCGCATTGTCGTCATGACCGGCGCCGGCATCTCCACCGCAGCAGGCAGTAAGTCCCCCACAACTTTTTCCTTCCTTTTTTAAAACAGACGGAAATGAACATTTTTTTTTTTTTTTTTTTTCATTACATTTCCTACAAAAGCAGACTTGAGCCCTTCACCTCCTCACCTTCCCTCACCACAGCTCCACCACACCACCACCAGTCCTCACAACTCCCCACCTACCCTCACACGCACACTCACTAACCCCCGCTCCCCCTCCAGTCCCCGACTTCCGCTCCCCCACCACGGGCCTCTACGCCAACCTGTCAGCACTCAACCTCCCCGAACCCGAAGCCGTCTTCGACCTGTCCTTCTTCCGCCAAAACCCCCAACCTTTTTACGTACTCGCGCGCGAACTCTACCCGGGCGCGCGCTATCGCCCGACGATCTCGCACGCCTTCCTGGCGCTGCTCGCGCGGCGGGGCTTGTTGCACATGCTGTTCACGCAAAACATTGACTGCTTGGAGCGCGCGGCGGGCGTGCCGGCGGACAGGATCGTGGAGGCGCATGGGAGCTTTGCGTCGCAGCGGTGTGTGGATTGCAAGGGGGAGTTTGATGGCGAGGTGATGAGGGCGTTTGTGGCGAGGGGGGAGGTGCCCAGGTGTGGGAGGGTGAGGGTGAAGGGGGAGGGGGGGGAAGGGGGGGTTGGGGGACTTGGGATCGGTGTGGGAGGGGGATGGGGGAATGGCGGTGGGTGAAGGTGGGAGTGAGGGTGGACGGGAGAGTGGAGAGGGGGAGATATGTGGTGGGCTGGTGAAACCCGGATATTGTCTTCTTTGGGGAGGCGTTGCCCAGAGCGTTTTTTGAGTTCAGCGGCATGACGAAGGAGGCTGATTTGATTTTGGTCATGGGCACCAGCCTGCAAGTGCATCCCTTTGCCGGGCTGCCGAATATGGCCGAGGAAGAGACCCCCAGGGTCTTGTTCAACCTGGAGGAAGTCGGGTCGTTTGGCACGCGGGCGGATGATGTCATGGTGTTAGGAGACTGCGATGCTGGCGTGAGGAAGCTCGCCGAGGAACTTGGGTGGAAGGATGAGCTTGAGAAATCATGGAGGGAGTTGGTCGGCGATGAGGAGGCAGAGAGACAGTTGCAAGGGGCTAGTAAGAGGGTCGCTGCGCTGCAAGACGAGGTTACCAAACTGGCCGAGGAGGTTGACGAGGTGCTTCATATCGGCGACAAGGAGGCTGGGCACGGCACGGAGACAGGTGACCATCAGCAGGTTCATTCAACTCCAGACGTTAGCCCGGCAGAGGATGCTAAGGCGCCTGAGGCAGATTCAGCAACAAGGGCCGCTGATCCCGTTGCTGAACCCCGGCCTGAGGACAAGACCGCGCTACAAATTACCGACCACGATGAAAACCGGAGTTCAGTGGGACAAGGGGGGATGACAGACAACGATAGAGGGACGACGGAGAAGGCAGCCTTGTAATAGTGTTCCATCTATTTAGGTGTGTAGTGAATAAGGCAAATTAAATACGTTGAGTCGACCCAAATCGCCAACAATGGGGAAAACATCAGACCGCATTGCCCACACCAAAGTCGGCGGCGCATTGTAACCCGACTAGGCATTATAGGCGGCGATGTTGTTCCGGATTCATAACTCGGTTAGCGCGGCGTGCTACATGTCGAGAGCAGCGAGAATGGGAACAAAAATTTCTCTCTTAAAAGAGTCCTCATCTCGTCTAGGTAACCGAGCGTTGACATCAACTTTAAGACAACCTGCATCTTCTCCAGGTGAGGCGGTGTTGACATCGTTCAAGATGAGCGCAGGCATCACAGCGTGGATATCGTATCTAAAACCGGCCACCCATGAATCTTCTCTGGGTGACGGAGCGTTGAGATCGGTTTTAGAAGCTTTAGGAAGCCAAGCGCGGAGATCGTGGTTATAAGCGTAGCATGCATCGTGTTGACATCGGTTCTAGAATAGTCTCTAGAACCGATGCCCGGGCTTGGTTTCCCGGACAATGCATTTTCTCTAGGCGACGGAGCGTTAACATGGCCTATAGAAAAGTCGGCATCTTGTCTGGGCAACTGAGCGTTGACATCGCTTCTAGAAGAGTCTGCTTCCCGTCTAGGCAATGCAGCATGGACATCGACAAGGACGTTGTCGACTGCAAGATGGCCCGCCGAACGTCCCGCAAGCCAACGCCGGCGGCAGCCGCGAACGCGGCGCGGGTGCGGCCGATCCTGCCGTCTATCACGGTACTGCCCGAGGCCTCGGAACCGGAAGAACCAGGGCGCAGCGACGCGGTCGCTGCGCCAACGCGCCAACGCGGCCCGACGGCCCTGAGCCGGAACATCCACAACGACGCCGAATTGGAAGACAACCTCCACCGCATACATACCACCATCCATGCCGAGCGGCCAATGACTACAAAACGGGCCTATGCGCCGAAGCAGGCCGAGTTCCAGGGCTTCTGCCGGGCCCGGGGCTTCCAAGATGGGGATACGGTTACGGAGAGCAAGCTCCTCCTGTTCCTCGAAAAGGAGGTCGTACATCGCCCACTTCGAGGTCCAAGCCGGAAGCTGGTACCCGGTATGCCGGCCAGTGAGGCCCGGTTACACTGGCGGTCCGTCCGGGCTTACATCACCGCGATTACGGACCTGTGGCAGCAACAGCGGACCCTCGGCATGAACAACCACCCGTCTCCCCGGGAGAACACAGCCCGGGAGTATGTACGGACCCTGCAACGGCAACATGCAGCCCAGAGCCGGTCTGTATATACCGACAAGGGCCAGGATACTCTTCTTGATGGCTATTCGGAACCGGAACTCCGGAGGATTGCCGAGAAGCTCTGGGGTCAGACCGCCGAGAGCCCGGCCAATACCGAGCAGTGCCTCCGTACATTGACGGACCTCTTGCTTAGCCATTATATGCTTGCCCGGGGCAACGACCGGCGGGCGGCCGAGATCTCGGACCTCTTCACGTTCGAATTCCCTGGCGAAGGGCCGACCCGGTGTATGCCTCTGATCTTTACGACCCGCGCCGGGAAGACGAACCAGCACGGCCGGCTCGAGACAGCTGGAGCGCTTCGGAGCCGGGACCCCGAGATCTGCCTCCTCGGTGCCCTTGCCTTCTACCTACTCCTTCGCTGGGACCTCTCGCCGGAGCCGTTCCCAGACTTCGGGAACCCCCAGCATTGGTAAGCACCCGCCTGATCAAAGCTGCCGGTGCCGATCCATCTGCCGGGATCTCGTACAACACGCAACGGAGCTGGGTTAGCCGGGCTTTCGACTATGCCGGCGTCGTCTCTGCGAAGAAGACCCACGCCGGGTGGAGCTCTGGGGCGAAGACTGCCGAGTTACGGGGGGTAAGCGAGGCACAGATCCGGCGTGACGGGCGGTGGAACCCGGATCAGATGGTCGGGTGCTATCTCGACGCCCTACCCCGGAAGTTTATGCGGAGCATTGCCGGCCATCCAGCGCAGGTGGGATGTTTCAACCTACCCCGGGCTGTGCCGCCGCCGGCGGCACTCCTATCGATGATCTGGCCGGAGCTAGACCAGTGGGTTGAGGGTGCCCGGAAGCCGAAAGATCTCGCCGGCACTGGTACGGTCAACCTCCTTGTCTATCTACGCGAGGTAGTTCTCAAGACTCGGCATTCTTGATCGATCGATACCCCGGAAGCTCGGTATGGAACCACCCAGTCTTCCGGCACCCTGAATATCGGGCCCTTCACTCGCCGGGTGCTGGCCCGGGCCAACGGCAACGAGGAGCCGGACCGGCTTACGCTACTTACACAAGCGCTCCCGCAATTTACGGAGCATCTGTTGGCGGCAGAGGCACGGCATACGGGACAACTAGCCGAGGCAACGGCCGCCATGACTGCCGAGATCGCTGGGTTGGAAGCCCGGCTTACAAGCGCGTATACCAACCACCTCCGGCAGATTCTTACCGAAGCCACCCTCCAGATCCGGCTACCAGAGGCAGGGCCAGGTCCGGGGCCGGGGCCAGGGCCGGGGCCGGCGTCTGTACCAGCGGTAGCCACAGTTACGATGCCAGATCCTGAGCTCGAGCCGGTGTTGGAGGACAACGACGTCGACTTGCGTATTCCTGGCGCCGAAGAGACCCCACCGGAATACCGGATGAGCCGGGCCATCAAGACTGTTGAAGCCCTATGGCAGGAATGGATGACCGGCTTGCCGGGACAACCATCCGTCTCGGCACTGGATACGCGGTGGGGGAGCCAGTGGCGGGCCGGTCGGCGATCGGAGGTCCAGTGGTACTCTCTCCGCCTCGAAGTCATCCGCGAGATCCGTCGTATAAGCAAGGCCCGGCGTATGGCCGAGATCTCGGCAATGCACGCTGTGGCGGCGGACCATAGGCAGTCGAGCCGGTCGTTGGATGCCTTCTGCAAGCAGCTCCGGGCAAGCCGCAAGCTCCGCGAAGCCCCCCAACGGGCCCCGGCGAGGGCTAGAAAATAGATATATCCAAGCCTAGCCAATAGACTGCATTTCTGAACCCATCGTGGCTATAACCAGCTGTAGTTGTTGCAATGCCATGCGCTGCGTACGATGCGAGCAGTGGCAGTATCTAGACTTACACGCAGGGTTGTGGATATTGGGGAATATTGCCACCCGCTGATTGAAGTGGGTCCAGCCTGCGCCATTTTTGGATCAGCGGCCGGATCCGCCACTGTGGGGCCAGTGTGGTTATTCAGCGACGGGTCGGCCAGAGGGCCCGCTAGGGACACCGGTCCCGTGTGTAATTACATGAAAACCCCGCGGATGTTATTACAAAGATTTGTACGCGAGCGTTGCCTCCTGCTTGCCACCTGCATCACCCAGCAACCACAATAATACGACTTACCAGCTCGATGGCCAATTCCTTTCCGGACAACTGCCTCCCCCCCGAACGCGAATACAACTCCCGAGAGGCCCTGTATACGTCAATTAACGAATGGGCTATTACTCGAGGCTACGCCTTTACGATCAAAAGGTCAGCTAGAGAAAAGAGTGGGAAAGCAACGGTCACGTTTGCATGCGATCGAGCCTGCCGACCACCTCCACCAGGAGAGCGCAAAAGGAAGACAGTTACTCGAGGGACCAATTGTCCCTTTTCTGTGCTTGCAAAGGAGTCTCATAACGGCACCTGGACTCTAAGACATCGCCCTGATCAACGCTTCTCTGTGCACAGCCATGAGCCGAGCCAACATCCGTCCGCCCACCCAGTTCATCGGCAGCTGTCCTCTCTCGAGAAAAGTCAGATTGCGTCCCTTTCGGACAATAGAGTTGCCTCGAAAGATATTCAGTCTCTTGTTCAGCAAAGAGGTTCTCTCGCAACTCGGAAAGACATCTACAACCGGGTTGCTGACATACGTCGAGACGCTTGCAAGGGCCAGAGTCCGATTCACGCGCTAGCAGACCAGCTTGAAAAGGAAGGCTTCTGGAGCCGGATACAATTTGCACCGGATGGACGGGTTACAGCCGTTCTTTTCGCACATCCCGACTCTTTGGCCTACCTTCGAGCCTACCCAGAACTCCTCCTCCTCGACTGCACGTACAAGACAAACAAGCACGGCATGCCTCTTCTTGATATGATTGGCGTCGATGCGACACAGCGGTCATTCTGTGTGGCATTTGCATTCCTAAGCGGCGAGGCAGAGGAAGACTATGCATGGGCGCTTGAGCAGTTGAGATCACTGTACGAACAATGTGGCATTACACCCCCATCTGTTATTTTAACAGATCGCTGTCTTGCGGCGATGAACGCGGCTTCAAATCTATTTCCTTCTGCCGCTATACTCCTCTGCCTTTGGCATGCAAACAAAGCAGTCTTAGCTCGATGTCAACCCAAGTTCCCAGAGGCTGAGGAGTGGAAGGAATTCAACGAGTTCTGGCACTCGATCATTGGCTCACCAACGGAGGATGAGTATGCCAAGCGACTTGTCGAGTTTCAGCAGAGATAATACCCCTGAGCACCTCGATGAAGTGGGGTATATCAACGCTACATGGCTTAACCCTTTCAAGGAGAAGCTTGTCCGCGCGTGGGTCGACCAGTCAAGTCATTTTGGCAACACGGCTACCTCACGAGTGGAAGGGATCCATGCCCTCCTCAAGTCTTATTTGAGAAGATCGACACTCGACCTCTTCGAAGCTTGGAAAGCAATTCGGCTTGCTGTTCTCAACCAACTATCAGAGCTACAAGCACGTCAAGCATCACAACAGACTCTAACTCCTCTCGAGCTTTCAGGAGCTTTATACGGCGCTGTCCGAGGCTAGATATCTCATGAGGCGTTGAGGAAGGTCGAGGAGCAACGGAAGCTGCTTCTGACGAAGAACCGCCTTCCATCTCCGATTTGTACAGGCAACTTTTCTCGAGTCTAGCTCCCATGCTGCCATGTACTACGCACTCGTCAAGGCGAGCCTCTTCTGTTCAACGACTTCCATTCGCACTGGCATCTAAGACGCAATGGGGCCCCACAATTACTTCTTGAGCCTCGCCAGCGTACTGAGCCAATTCAAGCGCGAAGCTCACCCCCAGAGTCGAGTACCAAGCGGGAGCCGAGCCACTTTGAGGTAGTGGAGGCTCAAGCAGCCCAACCGCGCCGGGCTCCAAGTCGATGCACTAAGTGCAATGGAATTGGTCATACGAGGACCTCAAAGGCATGCCCTTTACGGTATTCGGATGTGTTGTGATTATTGAGATTGGTACGTTATTGGTTGCTAGTGATACATGTGGTGGGGGAGGCGGCAGCGTTTGTATGTATTGTTTTGTAATAGCATCAGCTGTATTTCATGTAATTACACACGGGACCCCCGTCGGCCAGTAGTTATGCTTCGTAGCTTAGTCATGGCGAGTTTATTTGTAAGTGCACACGTTGCAGGTTTTCTCAGATAGTGTTGATTTAGTTGCGAGTTTGGTCAAGGTGGTGGCTAAGGTAGGTACTGTTGAGTGCCCAAGGCCCGTCTATTTATGCCAGTCTCCCGGTGACTCTTCGTCTGATTTAGGTAGAGTATAATCCATCATTTAGAACGGTATTGATGTCATTGATTAACTAGGCGTCATCGATTAGCTGACGTCATGATCAGGCGTGGAGGAGGTAGCTGCGAAGTTATGGTCTGATTTCGAGATAGAAAAAACAATGTAACTTGCCGGAGTTTCCGAGTCATTTTTCGCATGTTCACTCACTACCTGGACCTCCGCTTTAGCAGCCCGAGCTATCAACGCCCCAAGCGGATAGAAATAAATCTACGAGATTGAAGGCCCAGTTGCTCCTCCTTTCCTTGAATCTAATATCGTGCTTTGATGTTTTATCCACCCGAAACGTGGTAGTTATTTTTTCTATCTGTTCCTTTTTCTCGTACAAAAACTCAGTTTCTTGATGACTGCTCCTTTTCCGGTGTCTACAGGCCTATAACGCCCGTGGTCACATCGTCAGAGTGAATGGGTCAGCACTGTCATCCGCGTTGTCTGTATCTAGACAGGGGCAAGAGGCTCGCCGTCCCTGATCTTGCGGGCACCGTACTTCTCCAGACGGATAGCCTGGATGGCAATGAAGCCGCTCGTGTCCTTTATCGCATTGTTAGTTTCGGGTCGTTTGAGATTCCCTTTTCAGAAGGTTACTTACAACTGGGGAGAAGCCCTCGAGGGTGTCCATAGACGACTCAGTCTCGGAGTAGAGGTTGGAAGTCTCGCTGGAACGTCCGACGGCGAATGCGCTGCCCTTGTAGGCCACCATGTTGACCTTGCCCTCGATGTGCCTCTGGCTGAAGACGATGGAATTGTGGAGGAACTCGCGTTCTGGGCTGAAGTACATGCCATTGTAGAGGCAGGTCGTCCAGTTCGAGGTGACCATCTGGTCACGGATGGCACGGACCTTAGAGTCCATGCAAAGACCCTCAAGATCTCTGTGAGCGGTGCGCAGGATCGTCAAGCCGGGTGTGTCGTAGCAGCCACGGCTCTTGAGACCAATGAACCTCGATTCGACGATGTCGACGCGGCCAACTCCATTAGCCCGGCCAATCTCGTTGGCAGCCTTGAAGATCTCCAGCGAGCCGGTGATGGTCTTGTCACCGACCTCTAGCTTGATTGGGATGCCCTTCTCAAAGTGGACGGTGAACCTGGTTGGCTCATCAGGGGCCTTCATGGGATCTTTTGAAATTAGCTCCCACGCCCCGAAATTGTTTGGGGGCTGGACAAACTTACCCACGGTCATGGTCCACATGTCGGCCGGCGCCTCGAGCTCGGGCTGCTCGAGCATACCCGCCTCGTATGAGCAACTGTTTTTAGAATGAATGGTCAGCGGCGATTCTACGTAGACACAATAAACAGCGGGTATGTTTAGAGGTCTCGATGTGATGAGGCGGCGGGCTTTTGCTTACTGGATAAGGTTGGCATCCATGGAAAACGGCTTCTGCTTAGTCGAAGTCACAGGAACGCCCTTGGCTTCAGCAAAGTCCAAGAGGGCTTGACGTCCACTGTCTGGGTCAGCATCTCCGAGAGAGGGGGGGTGGCAGGGGCACGGACGCGAATCGCTCGTAGAACTCCGGTAGGCGCCACGGGATGATCGTCTTCGTCGTTTGATCGAGAGCCTTCCAGGCCAGCTCGAATCGCACCTGGCTAAAGAGGATGAGTGTGTGACATAGATATCCAGGACAGCTAAACATACTCATTCTACGCGAGTTAGCATCCGGGACATGATATACGTGGAGAGGGAAAGAACTTACGCCCTTGCCGGTACCTGAGGAGGTAAGAAAAACGGCAATCAGTATGATACGACAGTGAGCAGACTCTGAGAGACAATGTCGATTGCTTACATCCGTGGCTCAGGAATTCACAGTTATACTGCTTGGCCACTTTCATCATGGCCCTCGCGATGACAGGCCGGGCCAACGACGTGCCCAAGAGGTAGGCGTCTTCGTAGAGCGCGTTGCCTATAACATGGAATGTCAGAATAGCCGTGGGCAGGTGTTGTGCACTTCGCACGGGGGCGGCCAAACGAACATTGCACAGCTGGCCAGACCAGCTCTTCCACAAGCTCCTGCTGGAGATTCTGGATGATCATGCGCTCGGCACCGATCTTCTCAGCCTTCGCTTTGACTGCGTCGTAGTCCTCATTTTGCCCCTAGTGCATGGGTATAAGCGAATGAAGCCGACATGAGTAGCAAGCTAATTCTGAGAACGAGCTATCTCTTGTCTCCACCCGGTCACCGTGAGCAGGGCTCGGGTCAGGATGCGAGAGATAGTTTATGCGTCGGGGCGACTCTTGTCCTCAAGTTAAGGAGCAAATGTCGAGGAACAGTCTGTACGTACCACATCTGCGAGGAACGCCTATTCTCAGTCAGCTTGTGGCGCAGGAAATTATCGACCGGGTTATTCGTACAACAACGGTATAACCCTGCTCAATGAGCCAGGCCAGGATAACAGAGGTATCCAACCCTAGAATTTCTATTAGTATACCGTGGTCATGCTCATGCAACACGGGCCGTCCATGTAGGAAAACACACCGCCAGAGTATGCCCTGATTCACGGGGATCGTAAAGTCAGCCTATCAGCACTCGGAAAGCAATCGTGGCTCCATTCGACTCACAGACAAACGCGCTTGGCAGCCATGTTGATCGTTGGTCGCAATGAAATGGGTAAGTCGGAAGTAAACTAAGTTGGTGACTGTCAGAAGTGTTGTTGCTCCTAAAGGTTTGCAAGCTCCCCACTGCCGAGGCGGGGTCGATATGACTCAACGAGGGGTGGTTATCTTCGGGACAAAAGATTCATTGTGGCGCTAGGGGCGCGTCGCCTGATAAGGGTAAACGACCCTGGTCCCACAATAATTGCTTCTCCACAGGATACTGCAGTGGTACGAAGTACATCCTCAACTTTATGAGAATGATTTGTAGAGTTTACTGGTGATGCCAGACATTTAACTTCCCAAATATTATTACTTTAACTCAGCTCGAGGGTTTCACGTAATGAAGCAAGACTGCAACGACACCGCCGCATCCGTCGTCTAAACAGCCGCATGGCAAACCATGTCACAATGTTGTCAAAACCTGGAACTTGTGATTGGGTGTCAAACCTCGAAGATTTTGATGCTCTAGTCAGGATGGGGAAAGTCCAACAAGCTTCGGATCGTCCACGCCAGAGCAAGAAGAAACCGAGACATAAACACAAGGCCGGCCCTTGCTCTAAACCGATGGGTGGCATCGGGTCGTTTCGGCTATCGCGTTAACAGGAGAAAACATTGACTACCTACCTAGGCACCTAACAACCTGGGCGAATTGGACCCGACATCCCCCAGATTCTTATCCTCGATGATCCTGCATATCTGCGATCTCGAGCTTCTTATTCCATCTAGGCATTCGGTCCTGTCAAGTTCAATCGATCCCGTATTGCACCTCTCACAAACGGATAGTCAACATATGGATTTTGGAATCCCGTCCTAGACCCAATGGCGGCCGCCTCCCCAATGTACTGCCACGGCTTGGAAATCCCGCACCTACCCGCTACCTTCTAGATTAAGCCTAGATGCGTAGTAAAATCCAATGGATGCCCGCGGGACCTTGATAATGATTACGGCCTACGTCGGCGATCAAAGTAACATTCTTCCTATACTTAGCCCCTGGCATCTCTGAGCGCCTGGATTCTGGAGTAAACCGGATTGGAACTAGTCTGCCCAGGTACACATGCACTCTTCACTCAGGGAATACTGCGAGATACTCTAAAAGGTAGGTTCTACCTTGACAACTGCGGGGCATCATACGGATGGATGTTGTAACCACAACACACTTATATCCAAATCTTTGTCAACAATGGACAGCACTCCAAGGTTCGAATCAACCATAGGCGGTTAGCCTGGAGTATAGAGGAACTAGGTACCTTAGATAAGTTTCCAACTAGTTGTTTACCGGTGACTGTTACAAGTCATTCCATCTGATCTGAAGATTGGGTAGGTAACCTGTGAGTGAATCGTCTACACAAGTATGTTGCCACACTACCAAGTAATTACTTCCACGTAGGTAAGTTGCTTTCCCCACACTCCTCGAGTTTAGTAGAGTGCCTATGTACGCAATGTACGCAACTAAAGAAGTATCTAATTTAGACGGCCCTTTTGCATTTCCTCTGTCGTGTTGAGTCTCGCCTCTCTATCACCCACCTCCACACCGCCGATATGGCAGCTTGTTATTCCTACAGCATAGAGTTTTTGTACTAGTTATAGAATGAAATTCCTGAATTCTACTTCCTATGTTTATTCATCGGATGCTTGCCGGCTTCGAGCCTGTCGAAACTGTTCATCGAGGAACAAGGGATTCGCGTCAGCTTCTCCTAACAATGGCCTTGTTTCATTGCACGAGTCGCTGTTCCGTGGGGAGTGGCATCACACAAGCAATCTGTTCATGTTTTGCTGTTGATGTCTGAAACCATAATAACACGCAGCACACACCTTGATCGGTGCCACGGTCCCCTCCTCGATTTCTCAATCTGATCACATCCATAACCAGGCTTGAGGACGTCTCAGTCCCGATCAAATCGCACATTGACTAGCCTGCTCGACTATTTACTCTACGGTGTACGGACGACACCTTCCTAATCGATTCCCACGATGCCTACTACGATTAATTTCGTCGTTCCCCAGTCCTGGAGAGACTCGAACAACAGCGAAAACATTATGGCCCTTCGGAACGTTCCACCGCCGACACCCGTGCCTCCCAAGGTAATTGCCGCCTATCCGAGGGTGTTCGATAACGACGAGGAGAACTTCAGTGACGGCTGCGACGACTGCGACAACAAAGACGGCAGCGACGCCAAAGTGGCCAGCCCCTTGACATATGACAAACGGCCAATCATCCCTTCGCCATTCTCCGCAAGGCGCTCCGGCGCGGAACTTGAAAAGCCCAAATCACTCCTCACCCTCGCTGTGGCACGTTCTCGTTCCTCGGTCTCCGCTACATCTTTCGACAGCGGTGACTGGGTCACCGATTCCAGCGATGGCGAGACCGACAATGACAGTGGCGGCGATTATATGCCTGTCGCTCAACAAGTGGCCGAGGATTTCAAACGCGACAACCAGGCCATGGCCGCCACACGCTCAGCCGTCAAGTCCCTAACCTACCTAATTTCCGAGATTGACGTTGCCGCTGACCACTGGAGCGCCCCCAAGCAACCGCCTCCTTCTCCCGTAGGCGGCATCTTCAACGCCATCAGCAAGAACATCGCGACCAACCTCAAATTGTACGGCAACCTCGCCGCCCGGCTGCAAGTCTACCCCCGCCAACAACAACAAGAACAACGGGAACAAGAACCAACGGGGAACAAGAACCAACGGGAACCAAGAACCAACAGACCAAGCACCAACACCAGCCCCCAACCTAATCATCAACAACCACAACAACAACACCAACGACCTCAACCCACCTCCCCCTCCGCATCCCCTCCCGCAAACCCAACCCCAACTCCAAACCCAAACCCAAACCCAAACCCATCACCCTCCCACCCCCCCTTCCACCATCACCACGACCCCCCCACCCCACCACCACCCCCCTTCAACTACACCTCCCCTCCACCCTCCGCCCAACACCCCCCCAAACCCAAAACCCCCCCAAAAAACCACCACAACACCCCCCCGGCCCTCTTCCCCGCCAGCCCGTCCCCGCCCATCACCATCCCGCTCCGGCCCGCCCAGCGCGAGAAGGTCCGGCACAGGACCGAATACAACCTGCCCTTAAACATCTCGATGGTGCAGGACCGGCGGCAGCTCGCGGCGGGGGGGCCGTTGGGGCTGGGGAGTCGGGGTGGGAGTGGAAGAGGGAAGGTGATGATGGGAGAGTGTGATTTTGAGGAGGGGTGGGACGTTGGGGTGGGTCGGGGGTGGGTGTGTTGTGGGTGCGAGGGGAGGAATGGGAAGTGGAGGCTGGATTGTATAAGGTGCGGTGCGCATGTGAATAGGGGCTGTTGCGTGGCGGTGGAGGGGGATGAGAGCCGGAAGGGCTGCTTGGTGAGGGATGTACCTTGGGAGAGGGATTGGTTGAGGGTGGGGTGCTGTGCTCGGTGATCTTGGGGAGCTATGAAGGCTATTAGCGTGGATGGGGATGGGTATATGACGTGGTGATGGATTTGGGGTAATGTTTTCTTTTTTCCTTTGTTGTCGACATGGGTAGCGGTTAGGGATTGGACTCGGTAATGGACTCATCTTGAATTTTCACTCTTTAGATGGTTAGCTGGGATCATTTCTGGGCTCTGATGACCTGCGAAGTTGAATATTATTCTACCTGCTTTCTGATTTGTTCTTGATTGTGACTCTAACAGATATCAGCAACTCATGTGGTACAAAGCGAGCCGGCCATGATGGGATGATGAACAATGAGAAACAATGCACTGCCCCATAAATGCCTTGCTGTGAGGGTACATACAACCATGAGATATCTTCAGATACATCTAACTGAAGGGTACCTTATTCTCTAACCGCCGGTTTGCCTCCGAGTCTCCCGAGAGCCTCTCGATCGCCAAATAAACCAACCGGGCGGAATGAACTTTGCGTGCTCTGAGCCCCGCTTCCAAGTTTCCAGTGAAATCTGACAACCATCACATCTTCATTAATTCCATTCCATTAACCCCTGACCGCAATCCTGTTTGGAACTACGCATTTATCAGAAAGGACCTCAACCAAAATAAGTTGACACACAACGAGAGAGCATCTGGGCAGAAACGAACTGCAAGGAAAATAAAGACAAAGAAATACCCGATTACTCCCGGTCCAGTCCTGACCCGCGACTCCTCACGGCTAGATACCCACCGCCGCACCATGACCAGCCGAAATCTCAACCAAACCTGGCGCGACGTCGTCCTCAAGCAATACGAAGCCGACCACGCGGCCGACGTGCCCTTCCCCGTGCGCTACCTGATCCACGCGCCCGAGTGGCAGAGAGACATCTCCATCTCGATTCCCACCAAGATCGACGTGGCCCCCTTCCGTCAAGCCGTCCTTGCCTTTTGCAAAGCCAGACGCCTCGCCGACGACCCGGCCTACGACGGCGACCTCCTCAGCGTCCGAGCACGCGTTTCTCCACGTCCGGACCCGTCTGCGTCGGCTCCACGCAATGATGATGATGCTCCTTCCCCGCAAGACGACATTGACCAGCCCGAGCCTGGTGTTGCTGGTATCAGCGGCTGATGCCTGGTCGGCCACCTACGGTGATAGCAAATGTGAGACAGAGTTAATCGCCCATTTCTATTTTGGAAAGCGCTCGCGATTCACTTTTCCAGGGCCCAACGGTGTGATACTTGATGCCATCGTTGGCAACTGGGGAGAAAAGTCAGAGGATGGCAAGCATTTGTATATCACTTCCAATACCCTGTTTTCTACAGCAGCGCATATCTTATTATTCATACTCCGCTATGCCCTAGGGCGTGCCGGACCCTCAGCTATTTAGTGTAAAGGATAACCGTGCCCTCCCGGGCCGGGTGAAAAACCCATACCAACAATCAAGGAACGATGCGTTTTGGTGAGTCTGCGTATACAAAGAGAGGAGGCCTCCTGGCCTCCGAACGGGGGCGCTTCAGGCCGCCGCTTCCAGCTCGAGCCTCCTGGCTAAGTTGATACATCAGGCAGCTTCCCCGAGTCCCATCAGCCAGTCGAGGACTCTCCTCGCGAGCCGTGCAGTCGTGGGATTGATGCCGTGTAGAACAGAGTAAAAGTCCCGTCGTGTCCGAAATTCCAGTTCTCTCCCATCTTCTAGTCCAACGGTGGGGCCAAACACCCACACTGACCAGGTGTTCGGCAGTCTCTCGTCCCTCGCCACACTCGCAGGCAGGAGTCAGAACCTCCGGGACTCCCCGTGTAAACAAGAAGTCCCGTAAGCCTATTGCTCCCGTCCGGATTTGAATCAGCAGTGAGCTCTTCGCCTTGCTGAGACCGTCGTGCCCCCTTAGGGTCTCGTTCCTGAATAGCGTCTCCTGCTGATGGTCAAAGTCGTCCGCCGGCCTGGTGATTGCCCTGCCGTCCCGTTCCTTCAGCCACCTCGCTTATCCAGGCGTCTTCTACTACCCTGTCCGTGTCTGCGATCCCCCCCGTCCAGCGCGCGATCGTGCTCGCGGCTTTCTCCACCGCCGTGGGCTCCCGTAGCCCTACGGTTCGCGGCCGGCCCCTGTTGCCGCTCCTCGAGCGTAGTGTCTGCTGTATCTTGCTACAGGCGGTAAGAATAACGCTCCCTGCGGTCTTCTTGCCGCCTTGGCCGTCATCTAGGTCGGTTCGCTGGAGTCTGGTCTCAAAGTCCGTAAGCCGTTTGTTGAGATATAGGTCCAACGGTGGCACAGCAGCGCATATAGGTTCATCCTAGAAGTTTCCTCCCTTAGTTGACGTAAACTGGTAAAGACTTCATGATCGGACTTTTCTGAGCCGTTGCCACGGAAAAAGAAGACGGCGGCACAGACATAGCTCAGAATTTGCTGCCTATAGGTGATGCATGTCCTAAAACAATTCCTCATTACACCCATTGATGTAAACTGGGTTATACTTCATGATATGAATACATCTCGGTCGTTGCCACCGAACAACAAGCTCTCCAAAGGCATTTGGCCAGACGACTCCGTCCTCGATTTCACTCTCAGAACCTTCGTCGATGCCCCAATACCAAGTGGTTATTGTGCCTAGACGTACAAGAGGCGTATTCATAAACCCGAAGCCTTCCGTTTGGAATTGTCGCAGGTGCGATACCATGCCCTCATCCAACAACGCCGACCGACGCACCATGAATTCATTCGCGTATGCAATTCCCCTTGCCTCACACTATGCGGGGGTGATACTGAACTGGATACCAACTGTTAAATCGGCTGAGACGAATTGCCCATGTCGCGCCACAAACTCGATCTCTTCGGGGAGATTTTCAAGCAGATATCTGCGAAGGCCTGCAATAATGATTATGATACTCCTTGGGCAAGGGAAGAACTGGTTGGCTAGCGCGAGAGATTGCTCCACCAGCTGTTGCTCGGAGAGGAGGGCGAGGTTGCCTGAGTTCAGTTGCATTGGGGGGGCGGCAGGACTCGGAGTGTTTTGCAATGGAGATATCGAGAGATCGGTCAAGCTCGACAGGCCGGAATCCAGCACAGAGCTGGTAGGACCAGCGGGCGATTGGAAGTCGACAGTATCATTCACGGGCATCCCGGAACCGGGGTCAACAGGCCCCTGAAAGCCGGGGCCAACAGGCATCCCCAAGTCGTGAGGTGAATCTGAAATAGCACTTGCGTCAGCCCAAGTAGAAGAATGTCAGCAAAGAACCCTACTCTGTGTATCATTTCCACCCATTCCGGCCATTCCTTGGCCGCCACTCCCGCCCCTAGCGACACCTTGGCTGTTGTCTCCCCCGACCCCCCAAGGTACTTCGGCTGGAGCCTCGGGGCCAGCAAGCGGCAACTGGGCGGCTTGTCCGCGCGCGCTTGCTGGCTGGTTAACACTGTGCCTCCATATCAGGGCTATAGCTGCCGTTAAACTAAAGGATCCGCAGAGAGGGTTTCCCGACGAACTTACACGTTGTACCCTGTGGCCTTCCGCTTGGGGCACAGGCTGGTTCTAGACCTCTCTCTCTGCAATTTATACATGGGCTGCCTCCATCACAACGCCATCTGTCGGCAAAACAGGGTATGCAGGGCACCCGTTCGGGATTCGCGGGTTGTGTTCCCGACATCTGGAGAGATGTAAGGCTGGTCAAGGGGTAATATAACGTAGCGCGTCGAGCAGTGGTATCAGGCGGCAGACTTGAAAAACAGACAAGGCGTAATGGGATGCTAATGCTGCGTAATAAACTTGCACCTAGATATCCAGATGGATGGATGGGTCAAACAAATAGGTTGAACTGACTGATAAAAATGGAAAAGAAAACAGAGACGGTTTCCATTAATATCAATTACAATACCTCGGAGGGCGCTTGCCCAAAGAGTGGTCACGCGCGTCCCTATCTCACCATTTTTTTTACCCGTAGACCAACCCCGCCTTCCAGTTGTAAGGTTACGAAGTATAGGTAAGGAGCTGGTTTCTGTCATCAAGGCGCGAGTCGGAATGCCCCGGCCCCCGCTGGTGTGACTTGAAATGCCAGAAGTATGGACTTCCAAATTCGAGATTTTACCACCATCGAAACAACCACGAGCTGCAGGAAACATCATCTATTCGTAAGCAAGGAAGAGGGTATTGATTGGGTCCCTAGTTGGTTATCAACGGACTCGAGTCAGAATACAAACGCCAAAATCCCATTGCCCTAAACAAGCCCAACCTAATGAGAGAACCCCAAACCGCTCAAGGCATGGCAACAAAAAAAGTAAAAACGGAGAGAAATATACATATACGCCCGCTTTCCTTCATACTCGGCCAAAGGGGCCGGAACGAGTGACGCGATTGCAGTGGAGGAACGGAAGCCGGTTCAAATATCAGGCCCGTCGTCTGTCCACCATGGGGAAAATGTTGAAAATCCTTGCCTTCGCTAAGAAGCGCAGAAAAGTGACAAAGGGAATCGGTAAGATAACGTGTGACGGTAGGTAGTAGTGGTCGCAACAAAAGAGCAGGAGGATAAATCGGGGAGGAAGGAAAGCAAAAAAAGAATAAAAAAAGAAACCATGTCCAGTCATCGTCTGTCCATCCCAAGTAAAGTATTACGCCTTCGGTTGGTGGCAGCTTTTAAGTTGTTGTTCTTTCGTCGTCATCATATCAAAAGCCATCGCCGCCGCCGCCGCTCATCATGCCCGTGTCCCGCGCCCGTTATGCCATGCAATACGAGAGTAGTATCCTAGGGGCAACCTCCAAGGAAACACCAACACGGACCAAAGGTCCATCCGTCCAACCTACTGTCTTATAACGAGAGGTCTAAGTGGCATAACGCGCCCCTGTTGGGCAATGCGCAGTTGCCGCCACCGTTGACGTTGACCCCTAAACTAGCGGTCCAGTCTCGACTGCGGCTGCCAGCCGTTGAGGTGAGGCCATCAAGCCCATGCCGAAGACGACGACCGTAAGTATGGACACATATGGTAGTGCCTGTAGTAGCGGCCCGTCCTGCGACTGCTGGCCCTGGACCTTTAGGGTTCCCACATTGGGTTTCATGGTATTTCCCCGGGAAGGCGTGGGTGCCGTATTTGAAGTCTCCTCTTCCAGAACGCCGCCGGTTTGGGCGGCTGGCGTCACCTTGGTGCTGCCGTTCGTCACAAAATCAGGCGTCTCCGCCGCGGTGTCTTCGCTTGGCGCATGCCGCCTGCCCTTGGACACCGACCTGGTTTTCCTTTGGGTCTCTCGCCTCTTCTCATCTTCGTCACGCTGCCGTATTTGGAGTACCATCTCGGCGAGTGTCTTTCGGTCGGCGTCCCGCTCAGCCTCGGCCTTCTCCGCTCGCAATTTGAATGCCTCGAGTTGTTCCTTGAGGCTCGTCATTTCCATCGCCATCGACTCAATCCGCGCCTGGAAGGCTGCGGTGAGTAGCTCGGCCTTGTCTGGTTGTTGGAGAGTGGTGGATCCATCATCATCATCGGGGCTGTCGGGAGCCTTACCGGCTTCGGCAGCCTTAATTTGCTCGCTGGGGGGTTCAAAAGCGCTGTCCAGCTCAGAATGGCCGTTGACTGACGGTGGCGCTTCGGCGGAACCGTTCATATTGGCGTGGCTCGTCTCCTCCATCTTCTGCATCATGTCCTCCGCGTGTAACCGGGCCTCCCGTTCCTTGGTCAACATCTCTTCGAGATCCCGCACCCTCGCCGTGTTGCTGTCAAGCTCCTTCTTGGCGTTGTTCAACGCTTCTGTGAGGAGAAGGATCTGGTTGAGGTTGTTGTCCTGCCGGATAGGCGACGTGCTTGCCAGCTTCGGTCGCTCTGTTATGCCTCGTTTCAGCGAGGGCGCGTCCGAAGCTCGGGCAGTGTCCGGTTTTTCTGGGAGTGGCTGGGACGGCGGGGGAGCAGGCGGCTCAGAAAACCGCGTTTTCCCACCGTCGGACCGGAAGGAGATGTTGCCGTTGGGCAGGTGCCCTTTGGGAGGTTCGGGGGCTTCTGTTTTGTCGCTGTTTCTGACGTCTTCTTTCGATAGAAGGGCGCTGATGAATTGGCTTGTCCGGGCCAAATCTTGGTTTTGCAGCCGCGCATTGCGCATCTCGGTCTGCGTTACGGTCAGTACCAGCCAGCCTAGTGGTATAGGGGACACAAACATGAAGTTTCTTGACAATATGCTCTGTCGTTACAGGGTTCTGCCAGAGCTGGCGCTGTTGCGCTAATGTGTTCATCTGGCCTCCCATATTCCCCGGCGCTATGCGATTGTTGGCCGCCGTCCCGGGTTGGCCGCCGGCCCGGCCCCGGAACGGGCGAGACACCCCCTATGGGCAACATCATGGCGCTGTTGGAGGACTCGAGATCCCCAAAGTTCATGTCCAATACGTTGCTGGTCGGAGTAATAAAACCCGCATGCTCAACCTTGGCGGCCACTTTGTGGTGTACCACCGTCTTTTGGTCTTCGCTGACTATGTCGATTCCAAGCTCGAGGTGGTCTTGTGTTTGTAGCTCGTGAGGGTCAGAGTCTCGGTTTTCGGGTGACAGACGAGTGCCGTTCACAAAGGTCCCGTTGGATGACTTGACATCCCGGATCCAGATCTTCCCGTTGGTGTCGGCCCATATTTCAGCGTGCTGCCTCGACAGTACCTTGCTGTCGAAGAAGCCGTTAATTGGGGTTGGCACCGTTTTCGCGTTGGTCTGGCGCCCTATTCGGAGGGTATCGGGAAAGTAAGGAACTGAGATGGTCTTGCGTTCGAAGCTGCCGTTCAGAGAGAGCAGGTAGAGCACTGGCTGCCGCCCCGAGCCCATGCCCTCGGTGCCCGGGCGGCCGAGTCCCGTTTGGCCCCCGAGCTGGATCGGAGTTGACATGACAGATTGTTGCTGGCCCAGCCCGGACGTGCCATTGATCCCGTTCGTCAGCGGCGCACGGCCGGACGTAGCTCTGTGAAGATCGCCTGCCCCGTCGGGTTTCCCATTCGACCACGGGCCTTTGGGGGTCGGTCGCTTGCGGCTTGCAGGATTTGACCAGCCATCTGTGCTGCCCGCCCCTGGCATGGGGACGCCGTTCGGCTGCGAGGCGGGATTTGATGTCACGGTCGAAGTCGACGAGTTCGAGGATGTCGACGAAACGGACGACGACGAACTTGATCGTTGGAGGGGTTTACGCTGCATAAGCATGTTGACTCCTCGGACGTCATCCGACGACGGGTTCATCGAGTTGAGCGTCTGCGCCCCATTAATCCATCCTGGTCGATTCAGATTCGCAAAGCTGGGAGGGTTTGCCACGGCAGTCATGGGGAAGGCGCAGTTGAAAATGGGAGAGGCACTGGGCGGCCGGGACGATGAGGATCGCTGTTCGCAAGGTTAAGCCGGGCCCCAGTGATGGCATGCGTGTCTCGTTTTCGATGGAGGTACCGGGGCAAAGGCAATATTATTATTGCTCTTTTCGAGGTGGACCCCACTAAGGTACTCGTCCAAGTCGGCAAGGAGAGTCGCGGGCGACTGTGTGGAGTTGTCCCAAATATTAGTTCGCACTAACGTCGAGACAGGTGGGCGCAACGAAAACCTGAAATGGCAATTGCCAGAAAGTAGCGCGCCGGGTCGATCGCGGGCTCGGCAAGTTGGAGGTAAATCGGTGGCAAATGGTAGATGAATTGAGTGGAGCAGGCACCGGGCAAAGATCGGTCGATTTTGGTGGTGGCAAGCACGGTCACAGGATGCGACGACACGGAGAAGTGAGGTTGACGAATTTTGATGGATGGCCCCTTAGCCCGGGGCCGTCGAGGCGCTTAGCGAGCGGACCAGAAGGTGGCCTGCGCGCCGTGCCCCTGCTCGAAATCGGCCGCCGCCCACACGGAGTGGCCGTCCCACTGTGAGACTGCCTGGCCCAGCCCACTCCCTCTACTCCCTCACTGCTTCTTTGACTCCTGATTTGCGGGCCAGACCATGAACCACACCAGATCTGTGACAGCATCAACCAACAGCGTCACGCTTTTCCTTTACAACAGCCATTTGCATGGTTATTCTGCGATCCTTAGGAGATGAATATGAATCCACAATCCATTGCCGCTATCATGTCATCTCATATTTTACCGTCTCATCTTTCCCATCCGATCCCATCTTTGGTGTCTCTCTCAATTTTGCCACGTGAGCTTTTAGCCTTCCGGGTACCTTAGCTCCTTGCTTGAGTCAAGACCAGCATGAGCATCCAAAACGGTCCAGCGTGTGGCTCGTGCGCCTCGCTCCAGGCCAATGGTTGACAAAATTCAGCGTCAAAGATAAAGAATCCAGGTCCGGTGATGGGGGTATCGAGCTCCATTTCGTTCAATATTAATTTGGCAATGATTTCAAAGCATCTCGAAGTCAGGTCAGTGAATAATTGCCTAATTCACTATCTTTCAGATATCCATGGTTAGGTACCTGTTAACTGGATAAGTATTTTAAGTATTTATGTAATTACCGAGGAACTTGTAGTTACCCACAATAAACCCCGGAAAGTGTCCCGTGCGAGGGTCGGCTGATGGAGACCTGAGCCCCGACCTGGAGGGGCTCCGTATGATCCGTGCGTTTGAGGACCCTGCTTTGCCCGCGGCAACTTCCCGCTGTTGAAGCTGCATCGCATTGTCACCTTGATTTTTTGGTTCGAGCAACCGACTACGCAACCTCGAGTGTTCCGCTAAAACATCATCCCCGCCGAATTCAACCCACGCAATCTGTAACCACAATGCCTCCTCCTCCTAGCCACCCCGGCGGTGTCGGGCCGTCGAACTTTGACAAGTGTATGTTTAACAGTTGGAAATAAAAGAGGAGGGAACAATGGGACAATGGAGCGAGGGGCCGAGGGGCTGAGGGGCCGAGTGCGCGAGGAAGCGAGAGGGGGAGAATGGGGGTGCTGCAAACAACAGCTAACTCGGTCGCAGTCAAGATGGGTGCTATGATGGGCGGCAGTACGTGTTTCTTCCTTCCTGGGTTACATGATTCCTCAACTGCGCTACCCCGGAAACAGCTGACTGAGAGCTCCACACAGCGGTTGGCACCATCATCGGCTTCATCTTTGGTGCGACCCTCCCCGCGAGCCGTTTTTGAGACAGCCCAGCTGGTCTAACGCCGAGCTTAGGAACCGTCAACATTTTTAGATACGGTGCCGGCCCGAACGGTATCATGAGGACACTGGGCCAGTACATGCTGGGTTCCGGGGCGACATTCGGGTATGGCTGGTCCCTGCAGATCCAAGCAGGCCCTCGAGTGATGGTTCCTAACTTTTCTTCCAGTTTTTTCATGTCCATCGGGAGCGTGATTCGCTCTGACTCCTCGCCCATCATCCAAGAAGCTTATCTTCGCGCCCAGCGGCGACCCATCATCATGGCTTCACACGCCTTCCGCCCCTACCGGTCAGCTCCTCGCAACAACTGATCGATCAACCGCCAAATCTTGGCCCATGCGGAGAGCACACGCCGGCCGCCAGATATGAGCAGTTCAACTGAAGACGATGTAATTGATATGATGTACATACGGTTTGCCCACAGGGCGAAACAGGGCGAAATGGGACGGCGTTTTGGGAGGGGCAGAAAATATTCAACTGCAGCATGTCGTGTTAATACATCATTTGGCCCATCTCCTAGCCCCTTTCAACCGCTACTACCCGGACGTTCCCGACTGCGATGCAGCTTACGTGGAGCCGGGTTCTAGATGCGGTCCCTGTCCATCAGGCCGCATCTTATCCCTCTCGTCAGCAGACGCGCCCACTACCGAGAATCAATTATAGCACTCGCCGGCCAGGGTCTCGCTTTTTAACCACTCGACGCGGTGTTTCTACACTATAAAATACGAAGACGTGGAACCCAGCCTGGCGGCTTCATCCCTGGAAAATGAAATGTTTGACGTGGTACAACAACGCCATGCCTCGGTCTATCTGGACATCCGTGAAGAGATCACCGACAGCTGGGCGATCCTCCACTCATCGAGATTGATGGTTTGAGGCTGGCTCAAGTCCCAAGAATCGGACCAACAATGGGCAACCCCCTAACGCCAATGAGACCAACTTCCGGCGACGTCACCGGAAATTGGCCGCTCAGGCGCTCGTGATATAGCCATAGTAGATGAAGGAGCTTATGGTGGCGTCGGCTTGTTGCAGATGGCATATGCGCCAAGCAGGCCTCACTTCCGGCCTCAAACTAGGACTCACACCGAACGTGCGACCCTCAGCGGCAAAGACTGCATCCATTTCCAGGGGCGCCAGGTTACCCAAACAGATACTCTGGTTCTTTGACTGGAAGGCCGCGGTGCCGGATGAGCCGCCAGGGTCGGTCCGAGGCCCATGACCTAAGAAGCATTTTTCCTCTCCGCCTCGTCACTCGCGTTCTCCTTCCCATTTCGGGTGGTGATACAACATTCTGAGCAGCTGAAATAGCTTACCACGACAGGCGCGATTCAGGGTGCTTCCCAGTTGCAGCCTCCCAAACGGACTAACCGTCGTACAGTCCTCTGCTGCCCCCTTTTCCAGGGAGCGAAGTATTCTTCCTCGATGATGGTGTATCCCAAGCCTGACATTGAGCTCATTCTTCTACACCGAGACCGGTCCCAGATCGGCTTTGTTTCTATCCAACACTGCCGTTTCTCGCGAGGTTTCTTTTGTTTTCTTTATGAACACCATCTCTATAACGATCGACCCGGCGCTCAGGCCTCTCGGGGGGTCTTGCGGTTGAGCGGCTCTGCCATATGCATTATTGGTCTCAGCGATACCAGAGCCACTCGCTGCATCAACGGATCGCCTCGGCGTAGACCGTCGATCCCCCGGACCCCAACGTTAGCCTACTGGTCCCGGGACGCGCCGCCCGGATCTGACCCCTGAGCTTGGCGCTCCCAAGGACCCGCGCCTAGACGTGACGACCGACTGGACGATAACTACGGCCGCCTTCAACATACGCCGTCCGTATGTCTTGGACGCGTCTCTTCGTCGCGGCCGGCGTGGACAGGAAAGGAATATGCCAAAGAGGCTTGCACCAATATGGCAAGAACCGGGAGTCGATCAGCTTGGGGCAGCCCTGTTTGCTAACCATTGACTGTCAGCTCTGCAGTGTTCCGTTCACAACATGTGGCGTCTACAGGGGGGCTTTCCATAACCATCACAAGCATGAATTCTCACCGGGCCCGCTCGCCCCTTTTCTCGCTAACTCTCCCCAGCGAGTTTTTAAATATCCCACTGTATCACCCTAGCCCGAGCGAGTCTTCCCCGTCGTGGGTAGTGGGATCACCGTTCATTTCTCCTCCCCCGCTTGTTGTTGTGGTTTCTGTTATATATCTCGTCTTTCATTTCTTTGCCCATCATGGGCCTACTTCGCGGCCTCATCGAGAGCGTCGTTGACAACGCCCTTACGGTGCTTTATACAGCAACTGCTACTTTGACACAGAGCAATACCAACGGGTGAGACGCGCCCGCCACATTGTGTGGTACCTCACCAGACATCTAACCAGGCACTAGACTTTCACTCCTGGGCACCCTACTAGCCCCCACATTACCACTCTTTCTGACAAACAACCCACTACCCAACGAGTATCCTTGGGGAAAGCTGACCGACTCGGACAACAACCCATACACTGAATATCCCAAAACCGGAGTAGTCAGGCGCTACGAGCTCACTGTGAGCCGTGGGTTTGTCGCTCCGGATGGGTATCTGCGGGATGTTCTTCTTGTCAACGGGGCTTTCCCTGGGCCCCTGATCGAGGCAAACTGGGGCGACACTATTATCGTGAACGTGCACAACAACATCACCGGCCCGGAAGATGGCACAGCGATCCATTGGCACGGCTTTCTGCAGCACGAAACACCCTGGGAAGACGGCGCCCCGGGTATCTCACAGTGTCCCATTCCGCCGAGGAAAAGCTATAGTTACGAGTTCATTGCTAGCCTATACGGCACGAGCTGGTACCACGCCCACTACTCTGCGCAATTCGCGGGCGGTATCCTTGGTCCCATTGTCGTTCACGGGCCTACGAAAGAGAAGTACGACGTCGATGTCGGCCCCATCTTGCTCAGTGGTGAGTTTGTTAACCCAAGGCCACGCGGCGGGCGTCAGGGGCTGACATTGTGTAGATTGGTATCACAGGGAGTACTCGGACATCATCGAGGAAATGCTGGCTCCCAATGGCAGCCCCAAAGTGACCTCCGACAACAACCTGATCAACGGCAAGATGAACTTCGACTGTTCGACCGTAGCCCCAGGTGATAAAACACCATGCGCCAATAACGCCGGCATCTCCAAGTTCAAGTTCCAAACGGGCAAACGACACAAGTTGCGTCTAGTCAACACCGGTGGCGACGGTGTCCAGCGCTTCTCCATCGACGAACACGTGCTTACTGTCGTTGCCGAGGACTTCGTGCCAGTCAAGCCATACAACACCTCGGTAGTCACGCTGGGTGTTGGCCAGCGTGCGGATGTCCTCGTCACGGCCAACGTCGGCAAGGCCAACTCGGCCTTCTGGATGCGGTCCAATCTGACCACATGCGCACCAGCGCGGCAGCCCAACGCCGTAGCGGCGGTCTACTACGACCAGGCCGACACCTCCACAACGCCGTCCAGCAAGGCCTGGGACATCCCGAACCCTGACCTCTGCGCCAACGAGGACCTCCACATCACCGAACCGCTGTACCCGATCCCGCTGCCGGAGCCCACGCTCACGCAGAACATGGACATCGAGCTCTACAAGAACGCGTCCAACGTGACGCTGTGGAAGTTCAACGGCGTGTCGATGCGCACCGACTACAACAGCCCGGTCATCTTGCTCGCCAACGACGGCAACTTCACCTACCCGGCCCAGTGGAACGTCGTCAACTACCACAAGCACACGTCCATCCGCATCATCGTCAACAACAAGGGCCCCGTTGCGTGCGTTTCCACTCCCCCAAGCCCTGCCCATGCTTTGGTGCACGGAATACTAATACAGTCTCGCAGTCATCCCATGCATCTCCACGGCCACAACTTCTTCATCCTGCACGAAGGGCCGGGCGATTGGGACGGCACCATCGTCCGCCCGTCAAACCCGCATCGTAGAGATGTCCACCTAGTGCGTGGCAACGGCCATCTCGTGATCCAGTTCGACGGCGCACCAGGTATGTTCTTCCGGTCCCCCTTTCTCCTATTCCATCCACCCCCCGCCCCCCACCGTCTCAGCACCGGTGTGGGGATGTGCGATATTAATGAAGAATGTACTGACAAAAATGGCAGGCGTCTGGGCATTCCACTGCCACATCGCCTGGCACGCATCCGGCGGCTTTCTCGCGTCGCTGATCATTGAGCCCGAGAAGGTCGAGCGCATGCATATTCCCCATGATGTGGAGAAGAATTGCCGGGCGTGGGATATGTGGTCTAAGTATAACGTTGTTGATCAGATCGACAGCGGGACATAACGCCGGACGGGGTGATGACGGGGAGGCAGCGAGAAAAAGGGAAGTGGGGAGGGAAAATGGGATAAGTAATAATTATTGACTTTGAAGTTGTTTGGAGATGTCGAGGAGAGTGAGCATACTGGTAATTGAGATTGCGTTTGTTGGAGGACTTAATGGGATATAAAAGACGGACTGTATAGACGAGCATAGCATTCCAACAATTGGTAATTGCCTGTTTCATTTCTTTCTGTTGCCTGCAACAAGCGATTTCCGAGGACGGCTCAACCAGATAACAGAGCACTCCCAGAAATAGGGGCCGTGTATCTACCAAACAACCCCCCCGATTTAGGCCATTCCTGCAATCCCAAACCCGCCAGCCCCAAAGCTGCCCTCTAAATCCAAATCTATCCCTTTAAACCCATCCTCCACGGCCCATGACCGGCCTTTCTCCGGTGTGTACAAAGCCTCACAGGCACGGCCAACAACAAGCAACCCAGGTGGCCTACTCCCCTCCTGCTCAATGGCCTCGGCCACAAACCTCAGCGTCGTCCTGATGACCCGCTGATCTGGGCAACTCGCCCGTTCGATAACCGCACAGGGGGTGTTGAACGGCCAGAGCGCCCTCTTCCGTCCTTGCCGCTCTGGTGACTCTGTCTGCCCCTCCTGGCCAACTCCCTGTTCTTCCTCGGTATAATCCGTCAACTCCTCCACCAACCCGCCAATCCGATGCAACGCCATCAAAAACACCACCGTCCTGCTCTCCACGAACTCGGGCGGCTGCGGTGCCTTGCCCTTCTTGCCCGTGCCCGTGCACACCAGGACCTGGTCCGCCACGTCCCGCTGCGTGGGCGGGATCCCGGCGAACAGCGGTGCGCTGAGGCTGCTGGTGATGCCGGGGAGGACAACCACGCGGTCGCCCAAGCCATGCTGGCGGAAGAAGGCGAGCTCCTCCCCACCGCGGCCGTAGATGTACGGGTCGCCCTGCTTGAGACGCAGCACCGTCTTCCCGGCGCGCACCCCGTCAAGCGCCTGCTCGAGGAACTCCTCCTGTGCGCGGTCCGCGTTGCCGGGGAACTTGCGCGCGATGGACACGGGCGTGCGGCGCGGGATGAGATCCAGCACGCCCGCAGGGACGAGCTTGTCGGCCAGGATAATGTCGGCGGCGTGGATCGCCTTGTACGTCGCACGGGTGAGCAGGTCCGGGTGGCCGGGTCCGCTGCCCGCGAGAATGACGCGCCCAACCGGCACCCTCGCACCATCCAGCCTCACAGGCCCTTCCCCCGTCGCCCCCGGACCGCCAGGGTACGACTTCAAAATGCTCTCCACATCCTCATCACTAACCTCGGCCAACCGCCTCAACGGCCAGTACTCACACATCTGCGTCAGCCACCGCATCCTCCTCGTCCGCGCAGCCTCCGCATCCCCCTCCAGAACCAGCTTATTCAACTCGGCCGGCTGATCCACCGAGTCATCACTCCCATCATCGACCACCACCAACCCCCCTTTCCCCATCCCCAGCCCCCCCTTTCACCACCACCCCCCCCTTCCCCACCAATGGCCCCTCCCCCCTCTGCTCGCCCACCAACCGCCTCCTCAACCCCCCCAACCTCTCCACCGCATCCCCCAACCCCACCGGCAACCCCGCCGCCACCTCGCGCCGTATGCGCCCCGCCAGCTTGCACCCGCGCCCGCTGGTGGTAACCCCGATCTGCAGCGGCCCGTCGACGTGCACGCTCAGCAGGCTGAAGGAGCAGAGGGTGGGTGCGTCGAGGGCGTTGAGGGGGATGCGGTTGCGGGCGCAGAGGGCGGCGATTTGGGAGGCGGGGGTTGTGCTGGTGGCGGATGGGGTTGTTGTGGGGGAGGGAGGGGTGGTGATGAAGACGGCGTCGACGATGTGGTCGACTTCGGGGCGGCCGTGCGTGAAGAGGTCGGCGGGTTGGAAGGCGCGTGGGATGTGGGTGAGGGCGCCGGAGGTTATGAGGGTTGTTAGGCTGTAGTGGAGATGTTGGGGTTGGGGTTGTTGGAGTTGTTGTGGCTGCTCCTCGTTTTCTTCTGGGGAGGTTGGGATAGAGGATGGTAAAGGGGAGATGAGAATTGGTTTTGCGCCCGCTGCGATGGAAGAGGAAGCGCGTGCTGCGGCGAGAGGATTCGAGCCGATGATGAGGTGGACATGGCCTACACAGTGCTGGGCTGTCAGGAGTGGCCGAGGTGGCATCGTGTGTGGTTGTGATGATGGAGACGCCATTGTCTTTGTAAATGGTGGTTGTGGCGAAACTAGAGTTGAGGATATATTGCCCACTAGGTCACCTCGCCTTTCAAAGAACGGATGAGGTGGAGAGGGACTGAGTGCCTGCAGTTAAAGATGAAGGAGGGCACACATGAGACGATGGGCGCTGAGATGAGAAATTTGGATTTGAAAGAGATGAAGAGATGATGAATAATCTATATACCTCTCACCCATGACTTTCCCAAAAACCCCAAGAACACGATATCCACATCTCCGCTGGTGACTCTTTTTTCCCGCGTGGTGGCATGTTCAAGTTTATCAAAACTCAAAGTTTCAACACGGAAACAGGGGCATTCGAACCAACCAGAGGCGGCCATTTTCCACTTACACCAAATTCTTTCTCAGCACAGTTAGCGCCCGCTGACGCCATTTCACGGGGTCCGATTGCGGCTTATCAGCTAATCGCCACCCCACCCTGCCTCGAGGGAGATCTGAGGATCGGGATTCCGCGGGGTTAATTCGCAAGCCCGGAGATCCTAAACCAGATCTGCCCGGGAACGAATGGTTAGCCAACGGCTTATCAAGATTGCAGTATGTTGTGTTTTATGCTTCTCCGGGCTCAGGTTTCTCAACGTATGGTCGATTTTGTCTCTGGGTTGCATACATGTAGATCAATACCTAGGTAGTTAAGTTGTATCAACCGTTCCTCGTGGGCAAAGCCACTTCAACAATAAAACAGCACTTGCATGCTCTTTCCCATGTCAACGTCAACTCTTCCGAGATACAAGACAAAGATAAAAATTTGATTCCCGTCATGATTCTTGACTCCTGCTAGTTCTGAATAGAGGACAGTAAAAGATAACAGAACGCCACCGCGACAGGGTAAGTCGTCGAAATTAAAACTCTTTTACAACAAAACTAAGGACGCAAGCCGCCAACGGTCCCTCCCATTGCAGTCGCAGTCCGCAACCGCCCAGACGCTAGCCCCCCTTCCCATGGCCAACTGCCCGTCCCGTCTGCGCCTAATCGATGATCAACAGTCTCAAAATAACAGAACCACATTGGTACGGCGCTCCCTCAAAACATCCTGCAGCCGCATAGGCGGCGCAGGAAATTGCATCAACAGCAGACTCGTGTTCCGTGCCGCATTGGGGGCAAAGCTGTGAGAGGGCCGCCACGAAGAAAAGTCGGTCAAAATATGTACAGCTTAGGACCGCGTAATGGTAGCCCAAATCGTCCCGTAAAGGTCACGAAAAAAAAAAAAAAAAAAACCTTAGAAAGGTGACGTCAAAAGTGAATTCGGCGAAAAGGGATGCCGCGGGGCTGTGGTGCCCGGTATTGGTTGGTGACGCCGACGAGTTAGGTAGCTAGGCTTAAAAGCAGGCACCATCTGTCGGCGGGTCCGTGTCCGTATGGCGTCCGAAGGCGGTTCAGACGAGGGTATCGAAAATCATCAGAACCTGTCTCGCCGCCTACATGATGACGCACTTGGAATCATCGCGCTCCTTCCTCACTGAAAGGGCAACACGGGCAGCTTCCGTGAAGGCCTCGTTGACTCCCCGATTCCGCATGGCCGAGCACTCGAGGTACCGGAGCGCGTGGATACGGCGGGCCACTTCGAGCCCTTGGTCGTAGCTGATCATCGGCTTCTTCTCCCGGGGGTTAGCTTCCTCGTTGGCGCCCTCCTCCTCGTCCGCCGCCTCGCGCAGGTCGCACTTGAGCGCTACCAGAACGAGCTTAACGCCTGGGCAGTTGTCGGCGATCTCGCCCACCCATTTGCTCTCGACGTTCTCGAGTGAGTCTTTGCTGTCCACCGAGTAGCAAAGCATGATTAGGTCGGTATCGTCTACGTCCTATCAGTTTACCTGCCAGAGTGGTGACCGGAAAGGGTATGGGAGGGCTCACCATATGACAAACTCCGTAACCTGTCGAACTCTTCTTGCCCGGCCGTATCCCATAGTGACAACTCGATATGAACACTGTCGACGAAGATGTCTGTGTAAACGAGTGAGTCGGCCGCAATCACACTGATAATTGGACCCCGCAAGGTAGGACACACCGTGAACATAGTTCTCAAATACTGTCGGTTCGTAGACAGTGGGGAAATAGCTGGGTAGTGTTAAGCAAGGAACAATCGAGGACTGCGTCATTGCATCGAACTCACCCTCGTGTGAAGACGTTCAGCAATGAGGTTTTCCCGCACGCACCGTCGCCTCTAGGCCAGGGCATGCCGTGTTAGCTCATTGTCTAGCGCACAAAGCATCCCCGCACTCCCCATCCCAAACAGCAACCGATCGATCAGGGAAACTCACAGCAAGACAAGCTTGCGCTGAACAGTTTTAGAACCCCCGATACCACAAGGCATTGTTGCGAGTTGTGCGAGATGTGAGGCTATAACGGTGTTCGGTGGTTGCAGTTGTGGCGATCAAGTGATGGCAATTAGGGAAGCGATTCTCAGTTCTGTTCGTTTCGAACTTGGGTAGATTTGGATTCGGATTGAAGGCGTGAATCGCGGGGTTCGGTCGGTGGAAGGTGGAAAAAAGATAGGTAAAGTCTTTAGCGAGCGAGGTTGTGACGAGGCGGCGTCAGGAACCGCAAGGCAATGACGGAGGGACTGATTGCGCAGGTAGTAATCGCAAGTCCAGCCTCAGATTCAACGTAAGCACGGTCCAGAACTGGGCGTGGGATTCATCCAGAAGGAGCAGGCGCCGAGAAAGTAGAAGGGCTTCAGGCTGCCGTAGAAAAAAAGGGAATGTGTGGCACAAGAATGCGCGATTCCTGTAAATGGGCAAGTCAAACGAACGAGCGAAAGGACGAAAGGGAGAGAACCGAATCTGGCGAAATTGAAGCCGGAGATGAAGTCAGCAAGGTTCGAGCGCGCCAGTGACGCTGGGACTGGCATCGAACAGGGGTTGACAGGCCCGACTCTTGAGCCAGCCGGGTGTCGCCTGCAAGGATTGGTGGTTTTTTGGGGCTGGGACAGGTTCACAGCCGCTCGAGAAGAAATGGGGAAGTGACAGTGGGGCGTTTCTGCAAGTCAAGGGGGACGGACGGCCCACCACCATCTTCTGCATCCTGCGTATCGGTAATACAGCAGCGAAACCATGACTATGTTTCTTTCGTACGAAGGTTATCGAGGTAAGGTATTTCTTATTTTCTCAAATCAGGGGCGGGAGGACCTGTCATACCATGCATGGCATTGAGGTAAATTCATGTTATAGTATTTATATACACTTCCTTGCTATTAATTACGTCTGGGTAAACTATGTATGTATCTCGTTTCAATAAAGACACCTCGACACCCACTTCACTGAGCCAAGACCATGTTGGTAATGCACAACCGAATGCGACACTCTCCTCCCCAGCCCACTGCCAAGTTTTCGATTCAAGATCGAGCTCGCTGTTGATCTGCACTGCACAACGGGTGATCAGGCTTCCCAGCGTTCCGGATTCAAGGCTAGCAAGCTAGCGCGTGTCGAAACGGCAGGATACAGCGATACGCTCTCACTCCCGGTTTTTTACGGCAGAGACCATTAACACCCGGGAATAAGGTTGCGTAGTACGTACGTACAGGTTCTGCGATCGAGAAACCCGAAACCCAGGCCGAGTTGGCATCCGCGCCACAGCTCGTATCTGTCGAGATGAGACCATCCGTCTTATCTCAAGCCCCCGTCCCAACCCTACCGCCTGCCCACGCGATCTGCCACCTTCAACTCAGTCGCCCTGCTGTGGAGCTGGTTCATGAAACCCGCGTCGCCGCCAAACCGCTTGTTGCGCTGCCGCACTTGGTCGTCCTTCTCCTGCGCTGCACGCTCCTGCTCCGCCAGAAGGGCTAACCGATGCTCGCGGTCCTTGTCGAGGTCTGTGGCGGCTTCCTGCATGGCCGCGAGCTTACGCGCACGCTCCTCCTCGACCGCCTTGTCGTTGTTCGAATCGCGGGTCTGCGGAGGACGGTCGCCTTGTCTTGGGGGAGCGCGGTCGCGACGGTGGTCGTGGTTCCGGCGTGAGTTGTGAGAGCGGTATCCGTCGGCGTCTTCGTTACGTCTTCGTGGTGATCTAGGTCGCTCTGACGATTGGTCTCTTCTTCTTCGATCGTCGCCATCTGGGGAGTACTCCCTCCGACGCGGTGCCGGGGATGGCGACCGGGATTCTACCCTAAATCGACCATCCCTATTCCCATCTTCCCGGCTCCTACTCCGTCTATCCCTCCTATCCCGGCTGCTTCTTCGATCCCGATCCCGATCACCACGCCTGTCTCGTCTTTCTCTCCTATCCCGCGAGTCCGCGGATACCGACCTGTCCCGCCTCCTGTCGCGCGAGTCTCTCCTCCTCCTCTTCCGGTCCTCTTCCCCTGAACCGTATCCCCTCGGGCTCCGTGAACGGTCTCTCGAGTCGGACCTACGCCGGCGAGAATGCCTCTCTTCGTCTCGGTCATCGTGATGACGGCGCGATCGGTGTGAGTGGCGGTGCTTGTGCCGTCTCTCTTCTTTGCGCTTGGCCTTATCCTGTGAGTCGTCGATCCCCATCGATGCCAGTAGTTGCCGCCTCCGGATCGGGTCGTTCATCATTGCCTCGTACGCCTGCTGCTCCTGTCGCTTGATCGCGAGCAAGGGATCCTCCCTAATCTTCGTCGCTACGTCCCGGGGATTGGCGAGGGCGCCAATCGGCGCCGCTTCGAGTGCATCCTGGCTCGGCTGCTTCTGTAACTTCTTGATGTCGTTGTCCTGGAGGAGCTTGTCGATTCGGCGTTTGCCAAGTAGGTAGGATTCGTTCTCGGCCGCGTCGCCCGCTTGGCCGTCGGTAGGGCCAGAGTACATCCATTCCACCCGTTGCAATCTGGGCTTCCCGCCCGCGGCTTCGAGCGCCTTTTGAATTTCCTCCTTCTTTCGCTCCTCCTCAATTTCCTGAAGACGCTGCTGTAGCTTCTTGCGTTCGGCGATTGCCTCGGCCTCGGCCTTGTGTGTTGCCGCGACATTCCCCGATCGTTGGGGATGCCAACTCTTCTTCATGTTCAAGTCGCCGGAACCCATCTTGGCGGTGTTGGTGCTGCCGGTGCAGCGCGAGTTTCAGCGAGATGACGGAGGGTGTTCGAGCAGCAGGTATTCTGATAGCCTTGTCAGCGCGTATGAACTTGGGGTGAGTTTTGTGCGCTCCGGGTTTTTTTTGTTGCGTTGGTTTGTTGATACGCGAGAGTCCATTGCGTCTACGACGAGAGTGGCGACCAGGACCCTGATGACCAAATTTTGGGTGGCTTAGCTGCAGGGGTCAGTCATTGTTCCAGTAACCACCTGCTTACTGCATAACCACTTATACGAGCATTTGGGACAGTCTGCAAGTGACGATATGAACGCCAAATAGACAGCCTAGCCGTGGGAAAATACCAAGTCAATTACCTATTTAAGGCGCTTCTTATGAGCAATTTTACACAGGATACACAGCATAGAAACGTTCAACATACAAATGCATTTACCGGGCTATATTCCCTGTCTCTTTCATCAGCATGAGAGCTGCGGCCAATCGATAAGAACCACCCCACACAGCTCCAGGCATCTTGGCTCTCAGCCTTATCACTGTATGCCTGCCTGGATACCCCTCCGCGACTCCAACAAACAAATCACAAGCAGCATCTGCAACTTACGATATCACCCAATTTCTTCAATACGCACGCCGCCGCAAGTTCATAGCTCGTTCTAGCGATCATGTCTGACGACGACTTTATGCAAGCCTCCGATGAGGAGTACGACTTTGAATACGAAGACGAAGAGGAAGAGGACAGCGGTGACGTCGACATCGAGAACAAGTACTACAATGCGAAGCAGACAAAAACCTCCGACCCGGAAGATGCTGTAGAGGAATTTTTAGGCATACCGGCATTGGAACCGGAAAAGGGCGAATGGGGTTTCAAGGCCCTCAAACAAGCCATCAAACTTGAGTTCAAGTTGCAGCGGTACGAGAAGGTCGGTAGACACGGGAAAGCCGAATTCCAACCTGAGATCTAACCAGTTACAGGCTACCGAGCACTACAAGGAGCTCCTCACCTACGTAAAGGCTGCCGTAACTAGGAACTACTCGGAAAAGTCGATTGACAACATGCTCAACTTCATCGAAAAGGGCGCCGACAACCCGGCAGCAGTGCAGTCCATCGAGCAGTTCTATTCGCTCACCCTACAATGTTTCCAGAGTACCAACAATGAGCGTCTCTGGCTCAAGACCAACATCAAACTAGCCAAACTTCTACTAGACCGCAAAGACTACCATGCCGTCGGGCGGAAGCTCAGGGAGCTCCACAAGGTGTGCAAGAGGCAGGACGGCACCGACGACCCCAGCAAGGGGACCTATTCGCTCGAAATATACGCTCTCGAGATCCAGATGTACTCCGAGACGCGAAACAACAACCAGCTAAAGGCCTTATACCAAAAAGCGCTGAAAGTGCGTTCCGCAGTACCGCACCCCAAGATCCAGGGTGTGATCCGCGAGTGCGGCGGCAAGATGCACATGAGCGAGGAGAACTGGAACTCAGCCCAGATCGACTTCTTCGAGTCCTTCCGGAACTACGACGAAGCCGGCGACCTCCGGCGGATCCAGGTGCTCAAGTACCTGCTCCTCGTCACCATGCTCATGAAGTCGGACATCAACCCGTTCGACAGCCAGGAGACCAAGCCCTACAAAAACGACCCGCGCATCGCGGCCATGACGGAACTCGTCGACGCGTACCAGCGCGACGACATATACAAATACGAAGAGGTGCTACGGAAGAACACGGACCTGCTCGCCGATCCCTTCATCGCCGAGAACATCGACGAGGTGACGCGCAACATGCGCACCAAGGGCGTGCTCAAGCTCATTGCGCCTTACACCCGCATGCGCCTCTCCTGGATCGCCGACCGCCTGCGCATCAGCGAGCCCGAGGCCCAGGACATCGTCAGCTACCTGATCGTGGACGGCCGCGTGCAGGGCCGCATCGACGAGCACGCCGGCACCGTCCACATCGAATCGAAGGGGGATGCTGAGCGCGCCAAGGCGATTGAGGCCATGACGGTGGCTGTCGGGGAGCTGTACGCGGCCATCTTTAGTGACGCCGATGGTTTCCGCCTGGTTGGGGACATGTCTGGCGCTGGGCTTGGTGACCCGATGGGTGACTTTGGTGGTTCGTTTGGATACCCCGATCGGGATAGGGGCCGCGGTGGGAAGGGCGCACGGGGCCTGCGCCGGCCCGGCATGAAGGCTGTGGGGATGGGAATGCCTTGAGGGGCAGGTTTGGGGCTGGAGCATGCAACCAGCTGGGCTAGCTGGCTGTTGACGAGTATCACGAGCATTTACATGGACACGGGTACGCTGAATGACTGGGCAACAGGATTACAAAACGTGGGCAAGACGGCCCTGGGGTAGCCCAGAACAGTGGGTTCCTAGCTTGATGAACTACACGGCACCTTGGAGACTGAGAAGGCGCCGGTGACTATAAAGACCGTACCCACGAGACGTGTCTGGATTGTGAGAACACATACAACTCAAATCGGCTCTGGCAGTGCTAATCTCGATGGAGCTACTTGTCTGAGTACGACTTCCTACGACAAACAAGGGGTTCGTCTTCAACGACTCGCTTCTATCCGCGTCTACCAATCAATGACTTGATACTCCCAAGCAGTCTTCCGCACTGAACCTAGACGAACGGGATCAACTCCCCCGTTGGTGGATTTCACTTGGTCAACATCTCCTCAGTTACTCTCTGTAGGCGAGCCGTTTTGGACACGTGTAGATACCCGACGCACTGTGGTGGAGTATAGAATATCTTCGCTTGGAGTCGAACGTCGTGCCAGCAACACCCTGTAGCTGCCCGTTCCAATCCACTTTGCGTCCTCCGGTACGAATAGTCTTGTTGTTCGTTCTTGCTGCTGCAGGGAGGCTGGAGGCAAATCCCTCAATGAAACGTCGCTGAACGGAATGCCCCGCGCCTTGCCGCTGTCGTAACAGAATAAGTGGTCCCGCCGAACGTAACGACCAGGGGTGTGTTTGGGCAATGTTGATTGATGATCCATCTACGCTCTCCACTCTGCCCGTCCTTGATTGAACGTCTGGCTGTTTGCCGTGGTGGTCATTGATATCTCCGGCGGTCCAGGCTCTTAATGAGCCTACGTAATATGTATGTACATACAACGGAAGAAAACGCGCGAGGGGGGCGGTGAGCCTGTCTCGGTTGCGGCCTCGAACCACGCCAGGGCAAACCGATTATGCACATCCCGGCCGAGGTAGCATGGCAGATACGACTCCACAGAAAAACACTCTTACCATAATAGTGTAGCTTGATCAACATTGACGGAAACAAAACTCTTGAGCCCACACACCGATCGCTCGCGATTTCGAGAGCGGGCGAGAGGGGGGCACGCTACCAAATCAGAACCGGTGCTTTCTCGAACTTGTGAGACACGGAGCACAGGATCAGTGGCGCCGGCTGGGCCGAGACGGGAACACGCAGCTGCCGTGACGAAACAGGCCGTGGCTGCAGCTGGCTTTCGGGACGCCGTCGGCAGCGCACATGGGATGCGAAGACACAAATGATGGGACTCTTGCCACCCTTGTCACGCAAAGAACGGCATGGGCACCCAGCTGAAGGGGGCGGCAACGCGCAGATCGGATTCTCTTGACCGGTGGGCGGAGAGAGGGCATTACGGCCAACGCCGCCGAGATGGGTAGGAGAGACCGAGCTCGCGATCCGGTCGTCACGGAGGAGCCTGATGCTTTGATCCTGCTCGGTCCGGACATGGGCATAAGCCGTTCGGTTCCCTACCTCTTTGGATGGCGTTGCGGCACTGGTTGCATGGAAGGGGCTGGGTGTCCTATTTCGAGCACCCTCCCCACGCCCGTCTTGCAGGATAAGCCCCTCGAGGTTAACATGTTGGTGGTAGAAGGTCGGTTACGCTGTTTCAGGTTATTTCTCTGTTGTCTCCGACACGCAAAAAAACAAAGCTCTGGACTGTTGCGAGCAAACGGGAATTATGAGATAGATCAGCCAACAAAACATGAAGAAAGAGATCGGGGTTGTCCCCGGAATCGGGCCCCCATACAGGGGACTCCTCTCAATGCCGGGCCAGCTCTCTCCTCATTGATGTTTGCCAAGAACGCATAATGTCAGGCAAGGACGTTTGGAAGGATACCTACCGATGGACCCGGTATACTGATGTGATGATCGTCTCAGAAAAGATGCACGGTAGTTACCGCGATAAGGTGCTGGGGTGGTTTGTGACGACACGGGAAGCCAAAGGGGCCCCGGAAGCGAGAGTCCTGCATATCGTGGGCAGCTGCCCGCAGCACGATGACGGGTTTGGGTGGGCGGGGACGGGTAAACTCCTGAGCTTGGGCGGAAAAGCCAATGGTGTTTTCCCCCACCAGCGATCGGAGGGGAGGGTAGGACGAGATGAGCTGTGGGGTTGTTGGAGGTTGGTTGCCGGAGCGCGGGAGGGAGCACCTCAATTCCAGCGACCTCGGGCCCTGTTCAACGAGTCGCAATCCCGTCGAATTTAGTGTAGTTTATGCAGGATATTATGCGGAGGCGGGTCTCGAACGTGCCCGCAACCTCGACTCGAAGCAAAGCGGCGTTGCGAGAGCAGCTCCAAACAAGTTGGAGATTGGCAACGTTGGAGTGCCGGCACTTGCCCGACGAGGGGGTAGGTAGGGGGGAGGGGGGGAAAGCAAGGAAACCTGGAAGAACCAAAGAGCTGGAAGTTGATTCTGCTTGGGGTGGACCTGCTGGCTTCGTGGGCAGGGAATACCCCAGAAGCAGGGAAGGCACTACCGGCATCCACCGAAATCAACACCCCACGGGGTTGACAGCCCTACATAATAAGCACCCACTATGGGTTTAGCGTTTGAACCCCAGGAAATGACGCTCTGTGGCATCAACACCCATCCATCCAATGTTGAAGCTTCAAGTTTCTTTTCCTTGCAACCTTGGGACGGCGCCAAACGCCACATTACTGGTTTTCCAGGTTCTTAGACGTCTGGAACGGCGTGGTGCAATGGGGACGATGCCCGGGCGAAACATGATTAACGCTATCCGGGTAAGCATTCTTTTTGAAAGAGCGGCTTGTTGACGGCTGCCGCTGCCGGAGGAGATTCCAGGTTCCTCCCCTCCTTGTCTCCTGGTACGCCTAGCTGGTCCCGTCGATGTCGGCCTGGCGATAGGCGACGCGCACTTCTCCACAACTCTTGATGTTGCATCAGGGAAACGCAAGCTGTGACCACTGGCATAATGAGGTGCATTGGCCCGCCGCAGGACGCCCCCCTCCCCGCTCCCGTTATGCAAGTTTTTGGTGCTCGCCGAAACTCACACGGGCACGCCAATCATCCTCCACGCTAGTAACAGACTTGCAAACCATGGCTTTGCTGAGCACCACCCATCCCCATCATGAACACGAATCGGATGCCACAACCGAACGGGTATCCATGCCATTCGGGCAACCTGGGCCCCGCGGTCTGCCCAGCACTCTCTCCTCTTTGGTGCCGGCGATGCTCATCGAGCCCCACTGGTGCCCCGTTGTGCTTGGAACAACGGCAGGGCAGCTGGTTATGGCGGCCGTCGTCGAGCATGATGGTTGATATTGGTGCTTCTGTGTCACATCTCACCCGACGAGTCCGGCACGGGGTTGCGGCGATGGGAGCAAACACGACGGCGGCGGATTGGTTCCCATGCAAGCCACCCAGGGTCAGAGCGGAGACGCTGCTGTGCATGTTTCCCCTCTCCGACGGCACGATATCATTGTTGAGACGGTCAATCAGACGCCTCAGGGACTCGCTCGCCTTGGGAAGCTGCGGTGGCATCGCGCCGTGTACCTCTACTTGTACATACATATCGTACACCCCGTGGACGTGCGCGACGATCGTCCGGTCCTGACCGGAGGCGTTTTAGTGCATAGGCACGGCAGGCTAACTTTTGACATGGAAACATCGGACAGAACCGAGAAACCCACCACAGAACCAAATTTAGCGATGAGCCAACCACATTCCGGCGTGGCAGGTCGTCGAGAGCGTGGGCAGCCCCCTTCAGACCGGACCCCACACGAGCGACCCATGAGCTTGGGACGGCCCAAAGCCAATCAACCAAGCCTCATTCATGGTTGTGCATCCTTCTTCGAGGAGCGAGGGAATCCGCCCACAAATCCCTCGCTTCCCAACTGCGACATCAAGCTCGAGCTGCACTGCTAACTAGTGAGCGGCCTCGCTTCATCCAAAGCGACCATGGACGTCTGTATTCCGTCTTGGCACTGTCACATTCTCTCGGCCGTTGAAACAAGTCAGCCCTCAGCATGGGAGCCGGCCCATGCCTCGGTTCGGTATGGTGGTATATCATCGCAAGTCTAGCTCAGTAATCGTGGATGGAACAGATCGACGTCGCTCCGAGCCATCGAACAGGATAACGAGGGTCGCATTATCCATGACACACAGCCTGCCCATGGGGGAGAAGAGGGGAGGCCGCGCAACCACAGACTGCAGCGTGTTGCTGCGCAGGGTGCATGTATGTACCCCAGATGGCGTGGTCACTCGCAGTTTCTGACCCAAAAGTACCACCAGCTCCGGTATAGATAGTCTTTTACGGTTTACCCCCTTCCTGACGTATATCAGAGGTGGCAGGGCATCCTGAGCTTCGGGACGAAGGATGTGATGGTACCGAGCCCAAGCATCCGAGAGGCGCTGGTGCGGGCTATACATAGGTAGTTAATGGTGTGCCGGGTATCACTCACATAACTGGATAACTGGTCCGGTGCCGGGGTTGCTCCTGACCTTTACTTCCTCTCGGCGAGCCTGTCAACCTGATCATCACACCAAGGCCTGGGATTTAGAAGGGAGTTCGAGGGTCGGCCTGGGACAGCGTCGCGGCACATACCTGGCTATCAATAACTACACCGGGCGCTAGGCCTGACCTAGACGAGCTCCGTTGGGAGGCCGGCACTGAACGTCCGTCAGTGGCCACGCCGGGGCTCTCGCAACTTCTCGGACGATCGGGGTCCGCAAAAGACCCGCCGAAGCGGCACAACCCGTTGTTGAAGGACGCCATGGTCGGATGGACAGTCATGATGTCTAGGCTCAGATCCACTGTCCTCGACGGCTGTTCTCTGGGCATCACATCATCACATCCGCCTGCATGCTTCATACGATTTATTCATCCTCACCACGTTGTTGAATGACTGACCAATTCGGGGCCGTCGGGTCCAGCAAGCCTCCTCGTGGTGCAGGGGGGGGGGGGTTGGTTTGCGGGAGCTGCAGTCAGACCAACAGCTGTTGGGGCGGCGCTCGTCTCTGTGTTCACACCTTCATTCGCGAACCCCTCCCCTGTTGCTCCCCCAGAAAATGGAGACCTGTGGTGTGCTCTGCGGGACCCGGCAGACGGCGCTAGTACCATCCTCCTTTGGCACATTTTCTCGTTCCCACACACGGGTGGGGAGCGTCAAATAAGAGCGGGAGATGCCACGGGACCACCTCGATGCCGGTGGGGGTTCGATGGAGTGCTCATGGTCAAGATACGGCGCGGGTTTGCAAAGTAGTGTAGTGTAGAATGTAATCTGTAGCGCGCACTTGTCCAAGTGCTGACGCGGAACATGAAGATTTGGTTGGCAAACGGGACCCCCTGTCTGAAGACCCCAAGCAGGGGTGGGCGGCATGTGGAACTGCCAACGGAGGTTCCTGGAAACGGTCCAGTGGGTCGCCGTCAAGAGGCTGGCCACACCCCTGGAACCCGCAGCGGATGCTCAGGGGGAGCTCCCCAGAGTCAGTGCACCCACAAGAGGTACTTGTACAAGTACCTACCCAGGATCGGGGGCCGGCCGAGGAGTCGAGGTTTGAGGATGACAAGACAGCATCGCATCACAAAATCACGACAGGGACCGCAGTACGACAAGCTCCACCACGCACTCGGCATGAGAACAGGCGCACCGAGAGCTCAGACCGCCAATCCCCTGTCTCACTGCGTTGCCGGTTTCTCATCGTCAACGGCAGAACTCGAGGTTCCTCATTGGATCGAAGGTTGGCGACCTGGGGGGTTGCTGCGTCGTGGTCGGCGGGCCGTGCGTCTGGGACCGGCAGGGGCAGGGAGGGTGAGGCACTAAGGATCAGGGATCCTCTCCGACACTTTTTTTATTTTTTGTTTTTTTGACAGGGAAGTCGAGCGAGCGTTGTGGCATCCGTCTGCAAGCTGAGGTGCCGCAGAGGAACATCGTGGCATCGCAGCCAGTGAGCGACAGCCAGTGAGCGGCAGCCAGTGACAGCTCGGCAGCCACCGCAACAAGAAAGCAGGAAGGCAGGGCCCATACAGGCCCCAACAAACCGCTGCCGCCAATTTATCTGGGCCAGGCTCGACCAAGCACCTGTGGACCAGAAGCGGCAGCAGCAATGCACCAGCATCAGCCTAGCATTCAAAAATGTCCCCACCTGACTGACAGGTTGGAGGCTCGGGTCTGGCCTGCCTCATCCATCCAAGCATTGCTTCCAGGTTGTTTGGTGGGCGGCGGTCGCTAATAACACAAACGTACATAATTATTGTTCCTTCCTTGTCCTATTAGTATCTGGCCGCTTGCTCTCTCTCCTCCCCTTCCTTTATCATCACCGTCCCATGCCCGGCTCTTCGTCTCATCCGTCCCGTCCTTCCGCCCATCCATCCAACCTTCCAATACCCGACAGACATCCATCCCGTTCCATTCTGCGCTTCAAGCTTCGCTGCGTGCGCCCTGCCTGACGTAGTTTGGTCCCGGTCCCGGTTGTGCCTCTCTCCCGATCGGTTTAAATCGATCGTTTGGTTGTCTCCTTGCCATTTACCATTTACCATTTACCCAACCGCAACATTATTTGTTTACTCGTTTATTTTGGGCTGTGCCGTCCAGCGGTTACTCTTTGTGGTCCCCCGGCCGGTTAGGGACATACAAACTTCGGTACAGTACATACAGCCGACGCAGCCGACACAGCTGGCGCTACCAAATCTCCACTTCGGCTTCCCGGAGCCAACGCGCGCGCAACAGGCAGATAAAAAAAAGAGAGACCTCTCCCTTCCCGTCTGCATATTTTGTTGGTGTTTGGCTGCTTGTTTCTTGTTTGGTGTTGCTGCTTGTCTCCAACTCCAACTCCAACCGCAGCCGCAACTGCAAACTGCTGCTAGTTTCGGTGCACACATGCTCCTAGCACGACGACTCCACACGCTGAAGTTCGGCACCTCTCTCGGCTCCGTCCGAACACGCTAAAAAGACCACCGACATTTCCGTGGACGGCTGCTCCGCATCCATCGCACTCCGGCATGTACCAGCCCCAACCTACGGCGTTTCTCCAGGTGTCGACCGGGTATGCTATCCCGCACAGCCTCCCGGACTACACATTCGACGAAACACCATTGCGTCTGAGCGACGGTCGAGGTTCCGCTGCAGCAGGAGCGGGCAGTAGCGCGACGAGTGCGCTGCTGTACGGGACCTCCCTGTTCAGTGCCAATAGTGCAGGTGTCGGCCCCGCACCCTCCGCGTCTGGTGGCTCCTTCAGCTTCCACTCCACCTCATCTCCATCTTCCACCACCACAGCTGCTGTCGCCGCTTCTTCAACCATCACCGCACCATCTCACCATCGACCTTCACTACCGATCTTGCTCAAGATGGAGCCCAACACCGACGACCTCGTTGCCCAGGAGGCGGCAGCCCGGGAATACCAACCACATCTCGAGGTAAATAAAAAAAAATGCAGTTCTCAAATTCCCAATGCCCCGTCCCGTGTCTGTGTTTTTAGTGGTTCAAGGACCCCGCGCTCACCAAGCCCCGCGCCGCACACACAGGGACCACTCGTCGGCAAGAAGACACCTAGCTCAGCAATTATGGAGCAATATGCCGACGCCGACGCCATCTACGTGCAGAAGACAATGGTGGGTAATCATCCATTCGGGTGACGATTGCCATTGGCTGTTACTCTTTGCTAACATGGCTCGCAGGCGCTGCCGCAAACATATTCGGACTACCGGCCTATTCAAGGAGACGGGAATTGCGGTTGGCGGGGTAAGTTGGCGCGAGGCCGCTTCACACGGTGCGCATTGGACGTCTGCTAACGTAACGGGCAGCAATTGGCTTCGGCTACTTTGAGACATTGGTCAAGAGCGGCAGCAAGGCCCGCATCGAGGCGGAGAGGCAGAGGTTGGAAGGGCTGAACAGCCTGATCGAGAACGTCGGCGAGTTCTCACCCTATGTGTCTCAGGATTTCGTCGACGAGACCCTGGCCCTCCTCTCGAAAATGGCCGCCCTCGTTGGCCATCGGGAGCAGGCCATGACAGAACTGCGAGAGGCATTCAACACACCCTCCATCTCCGACTCGGTCATGTACCACTTCAGGATGCTGGCAAGCTCGTACCTCAAGGGTCACCGGGAGACCTACAGCGCCTTTGTCACCGGCGGCACGGGTGTCGACGGGTACTGCCTCGAGGTGCTCGAGCGCCACAACGTCGAGATCGATCATCTCGGGCTCATTTTGCTGGCCAACGTGCTTCTCAAAGATGCCGGCTTTGTCCTAGAGGTTGCGTACCTCGATCGGAGTCCCGGGCCCGAAGTCAACACATACCGGATTCCCGAGGAGGCCAATGGCCGTCACCCGTCGGAGTTGGGCCCCATCATCCACCTCTTGTACCGCCCGGACCACTACGACATCCTATACGTCCCCGAGCCGGTCGACTTGCAGGTCCACCGCGTAGCCGGCTTCTCGCAAAGCTACGAGATTGGGAGCGCGCCAATGGCGGTGCACAACTTCAACTCTGTTGATATGCACACGCTGTCCCTCATTCCTGGGTTCGCTAACTCTGCCCCGGGACTGGCGTCCATGCTCGACACCACCCCATCCCCTCTCACCACATACAGCCCGAGCCCGGTGTCCCCGTGGGTATCATCGCCCTACGTAGACGCGATACAACAGGCATCGCCGGCACCGTTGCCGGTACCTACCCCAGTGCCCGCGCCACAGACGCATCCCCTGCGGTTTAGCGAGTACTGCCAGTTGCCCGAATATGTAGGTAACAACACGTGGCGAGAACAGACGTTGCAGACGACGACGTTTAAGAACAGTCACTTTAACGTGGCCCACTACAACAACCCCAATTTCCAACCGGAAGAGTACAAGCCCGGGACGGACGAGAGCGAGACGCCGCCGCGGGCCAGCGGCCGCAAGAGAGGCAGTGTATAGAGCAAGAGGGCTGGCTGTGCCAACCAGGACGCAGAGTGGCGGATGTGAAAGGCAGGGTGGCACGCATCGGAGGATCTAATACCGGGCAGTGAGTGAAGAGGGCCGAAAGTGGCAAACCAAGGAAGCAACACGGGGTATTCTCCGAATTCAACGCTCTTTTTGCGCCTCTTATCTAGTAGCGACAACAGCGGCTTCTCCATCTCGTCCTAGGCATCTCGATTTTAGGTATGGTCGACCTTGGTCGACCAGTTCCGGGAAGAGAAGAAGACAGCGGCCTCCCGAGAGAGGTTCGCCCCTTACGACTACTTAATGAGGATGTCCAGAACCAGGCTGGACATTCGACGCACCGGAGCTCCCTTCGGTCGCGGCATATTCAACGGCATTTCATCGGGTTTCATTTAACGGCGGGCAAACGGGGGTGCCCTGCCGGCTTTCCACATCTCTTGGTTCTTTCTTTTGTTACCAGCTTTCATGGTGCATGGTGTTCCCGGATGGAGAATCACGGATTTGTTTTTCATTTTCATTTCCAGTTTCTTCCCTTCTCCCTGGAGCCTTTCTGAACATGGCATTGGCAAGTGGCTACGAGGTGGGGCCAAAAAGGAGTCGAGGGGCCAAAGAGCCAGGCCGAGGTCGGCAGGTTGCATGGAACAACAGAGCGCGCAGGAGGCCCAAAAATTGGCGAGTCAATAAAAGGCTGGTTGGGGAATCCCTCTATGGTGAGGCGGGAGGGGGGCAAAACGCGCCTAGATGACACTGCAGATTGTATGCATATCGCTGCGGGTCGGTGGCTCTGAGCAACGGACGGGAAAGGTGTTCCGTGGTTCTTCCGTCGCCCGGCTATGGGCGGTTGCCGGCGACGACTTGGGAGGAGCGGTCAACGGCATGCATGTATCAAATGGTTAGTAATTATTGGCTTGGGAAGGTTGTGGGATAGGTTTCAGGGGGTGGTAAGGGACGAATGAATTATTTTGGCCGCTTCGTGCCACTTAAAAACCGGTTCCTGCGCTCTTCGTGTGTGCGTGTGCGTGTGTGTGTGTTCCCATCGATCCCGGACTCGAATATTTTGCCACGAGGGAATGAAGCCAAGCCGACGGCTTCCGAGGGCAGGCCGCGATGGTTTTGACAGATCTGGTATCTTTTCTGTAATGGGACGAACAATCCTGGCTTTAGCCCAAGCGGGTCTTCTCAAAGCAGACATTCACTGCGCTTGGGGATTCACAATAAAGCTGCTGCCTCGTAGTAATCTTAGACGAGAACTCAACTCTGCCAGAGAGGGACGACGGAGAGTACACGCAGTACTCCGTACATACAATACGTATGTACAATACAGCGTCCGTCGAGGGTGCCGATGGTCGTCCAACTCGCCACAATGTTGATATTTGTTTTCTTACTCTTTCTCTCGCCCCTAACCAATGACCAGATGATCCGAACCTCTGGGTCTCCGAGACAGCGCACACCACACACCACATCCACACCCACACCCACACCCATTCCCAATCCCACCACTCCCATTCGCAATCCTCCTCCCCTAACACACCTCGCAACGCCACCATTCCCACTAGCGTGCTCCCGCGCCCTTTTTTTTTTTTTTTCCTTTGCTTCTCACGTTCCGTCATGGACGGGGGTGAGGGGAGGGAGCGGAACTTTTGAAGGAGCCAAAGAAATACTTCCTTCGTAAAGGAGGGGTGGGATTTCGAACAAGCCAGTGACAAGGCAGGGCCTTGTTCTCCCGCCACTCGAGCCCATGCAAGCTTAGCTGAAGCGGCCGCTGCCATGCGTCGGCTGAAACAGCAGTGAACCATGGTGCGGTGCTGGGTGGTGTCAAACCACCGTCGCGCATTTTGGGGAGAGGTGGAAGAAAAACTCGCCGTCGGAGGTGTGTTCGGACGCAAACCGGGGGGTCGGGTCGTGTTCTTTGTCTGCCCCCCCCTGGCACTTTTCCCTCCTCCCCCTGGGCGGTCGGTGGGAAAGAATCAGCTCTTGGCTACCTTAGCCTTGGTGGTCTGTCAGTCAGCGACATCGGGGTTGTTGCCTTCCCTGGAGTCTGGGCTGGCTGTGGGCGGTTGGTTGTGGGCTGGGCTGGACCGGGCTGGACTCTGCTCGCGTATCGTGATTGTGACGGGACTGCAAGCCGTCGGCGTCGGCCTTCCTGAGTCGTGGGTCGCTGGCTGTCGGCTGGTTGGTGCTGCGCCGCTTCCTGGGGGAACGGGGGGCCCGGGATGTGTGCAGGGTGCGGTACCCTTGGGGGATAGTGCTTGACGCTTGGGCCATATACACCGTACAGGGAGGAGGTCAGGGGGTAGGTGGGTTTGAGGTCGTGGTATGGTGATGTTGAATGGATGTCAACATTTAATACCAGGCAGACGTACACAGCAACAGGACACATGTTGTACACGTAGATGATACATCTAGTCCCTATAAACAAATCATTTCCCCCCAACGACGTCCCTCACCCCCTCCAAATACAGGCATCTCCTCTTCCACCGCCTCCCCCATCCACCATAGCAGCCCTCAACCAACTCTCCCCATCAACTGCATCACCTCCCCTACCCTCCAAAGGCCTCCACCCCGCCCTCTCCCAACCCAATACCCTCCGCCAACACCCCAGCCCACGCATGCGCCACGGCGCCCTCCCTACTTCCATAACCACCACCAGCCAAACCCAGAAGCCGCTCATCCACCCCCGCCAACCCATCACCACCCACAGCAGCAACAACCTCCCTCGCAAGTGACGTGACCCCCTGCCCCGCTAGCCCGCATGCAACGAAGCGCGCCCAGGGGTTGGCTACCTCATCATCATCATAACCCGCCGAAGCCGGAGCCGACGGCGTAGAGACATTGATCGCGGTCCCCAGCGGGTTATTATGCCCCCCGCAGATGCACCTCCTAGCGCGGTGGATTGTGGCGGCGCTCCAGGGCTTGTAGGAACTCACCACTCATCACCTACAGCCAGAGCCCCCTCCCTTTTCAACCCACACTCCCGGGATCGTCCCGTCGTGAACGCCGGCCACGCCAAACACCCGCCGCAGCGTGGCCATGGTGGTGGTCTCGAGCAGGCGCGCGTAGCATTTCACTGAGAAGTGGCGGTGGTGTGGCGATCGCAGGTCCAGCACCGGCCAGAGCACGGCCTGGCCGGGCCCGTGGTAGGTGGTCAGCCCGCCGCGGGGGGAGTGCAGGATTTGGGGGTGGAGGGTGGTGGTGGTGGTGGTGGTGTCGGTGTTGGGGGGGGTTGTTTTGTTTTTGCGCCATGGTAGCGGGGATGGGATGGGGATCTGCAGGGGCGCGGTGAGGCGGGCTGCTTCCGGGCTGGTTAGGGGTGTGATCTGGCGCCGGCCGAGGGTGTAGATGGGGGATGGGGTGAATGAGATCAGCGTCGGTGGCGGTGGCCGGACGGCCGATCCATCTTTGAAGTCGAGGTGCTGTCGCCGGAGATGCTGTTGCACGCGGTCGGCGAGGCGGTAGGGGATGTAGTGGGGATGGATGCTAGGGAGGTGCAGGTGCCGGAGACGGAGCGGGGCCATCGGGACGGAGACGGGGACGGGGCTGGCCGGGTGCCTACCCGGTGCCGGCTCGGTCGGGATGTGGGAGTCAATCGGAGCCGAGGGTGTGTGTGTTGTGTTGTGTTAGGGGGTGTTTGGTCTGGGCTGGGGTTGGGGAACGACTGCCGGAGATGCACGACACCACCCTCACATTCCATTCCTTTTTCCCCGCTTTTTGATAGGATTGGGGATTGCGACCAGTGATTGTCTCAAAAAAACCCGGCTCGTTGGTTTCGTCAGGTTCCCGTTCGCTTCTCCGTCGCAGAATCAACAAAAGCCCGTGCTCTCCCGTCCCCCGCTCCGTCCCGAGACCCCATGCTTTCTTGCGCGCGGTGGGGCCACTTGCTTCCCGCAATCCAAGACCCGTCAGATCAGCCCATGCTAGCATGCCTCGAGCATGCCAAACCGTCTGTGGATCTCGCGCGACCTCGCGCAGCCAGGACGAGCAGCAGGGAGGCAGGGTCCAGGCCAAAACGAAGGACGCCCCGCAGCGGCAGAGGCCGCGCCCAGGTTGCGGGTCTCAACGGCTTGGCGTTGCTGGAAGTCTTTGCCGTTGTCTTTGTTTATCAATGATAAACGGACTTTTAGGTGGGGCGGGAGCCGCGGGGCACACACCACTCGCACATCGCACATTTGGGGTTTTCCTGGTTTTGAAGGGAACAAGCAACAAGGCCCGTGAGGTCGCATGGCAGGCACACACGAAACACTGGACTCATTCTATGTAGGGCCTTTTAGGAGCATCCGTCAGCATCAGCATCAGCGGCAGGAGTAGAAAGTCTGGGGGGCTTTGTGACTAGGTAGGCAGTAGTGAGACGACATCAAATCGCGGAAGAAGAATGCACCATGGAAGGAGGCGGCATTTATTGGTTGATCATTGCTCCGTCTTACCCGTCAGGACCCAACGACTGAAGCCTGCAATGCAAGGACGGAGTTCCTCCTGCAAGAAATTGATAGACTACCGGTGCAGGGCCGAGGAGTGCAGCCGGTTCGTCGCGGGATGCAAGCCGTGGAGGGTTATGCCCGAAGGGGGAAAGCGAAGGAACGTCTACCGAGGCCGGTGCCGATTGTGGGGAGCCGACACCCGCCCGCGCCTGCTTGCTCTTGGGGCCACGAGTCACTTTCCTTTCCGAGGGGTGGAGTGCGAGAGGAGGGCTGGCTTGGATGTGCGTCGGAGCCTGCTCTTCGAGGCTCGCAACGGCTGATGATGTATGGACATTGAGTTGTTGTTTATCTTACATACCGCTTGCAGTTTGCATATCCCATACATAACCCATATTGTACAATCCTCGCTCACCTCCCGCCTCGCATAAACTCGTCATCCTCCTTCTCGTCAGGATCCTCCACCTGGTCAATACCCATCTTTTCCATGATATCATCCAACTTAACCCTCCTGCCGCCCTTGGTCCTCCGCTCCGGCGCCGCCCGGCCCCTCTCCTTGGCCCCGATGATGCCAAACTGCGGGTGCACATTGACATCCACCACCTTGAGCTTCTTTGGGTTCGCAGCCGCGGCCCGGGAACGGACCCCCCCGTCGCCGGTATCAACGCCGCCCTTGCCGAGCCGGACCTGGCGGACGCTGCGCGTCTTGGCACCGAGGGCCCACAGGTCGCCCCAGTCCGCCTTGCGCGCATCGTGATATGCCTGCTTGGAGAATGACTTGGGCACCACCCACCGCTCGATCTGACCCGCTGGCGTGCACAAGTCGAGCGTGACGTGGCCGCGCCGCTTGAGCGGTGTGAGGATGTTGCGCGGCAGCGAGAGTGGGTTTGGCGCCTCCTCGCCTTCCGTGTCGCCGTAGCCCTTGAAAGCCCTGTCGGTAGCCTCCTTGCCCTGTTGGACGCCAAAGATGTTGGCGGGCAAGGCGCCGGGTGGAGCCCCTCGGCGCACCGCGAGGTAGCTAAACTTGATATCTTCGTGGCTGCGGTGTGACGCACCAAGAACCTTTTGCAAAAACCGGGGGCGGATGAAGCGCTGGTTGAAATGGCAAAAGTCCTTGCGCCCGTGGCTGAGACCGGGCGTGTGGTACATCGGGCACTTGGTGTGGTTGGTGCACGGCGCGATGATCATGCCAGGCTCCCGAACACGCTCCGAGTCTGGTTGGATCTCTTCGCTGCGCGGCTGCGGCCCAGGCGGGATGATGAACTCGTCAAGGATGCGATCCCGCACATTGGCCACAGCTTCGAAGCCACGCGGGTGACCCTTTTCAAGCACGATAAGCACGCCGCCTTCCGGCGAGAGCATGGTCCAGAGGTTGTCTAAAAACTCCTTGCGCTTGTACGCCTTCTCGATCGGCATCAGCATGTGGGATGCGATGATGACGTCGAACACCTTGCGCGGTGCCGGCCCACCGCCCGAATCCAGCTTCCGCTCAGCACCCTCGAGAGAGTGGATGTAGTCGGGGAGACGGGGCAGGAAGGTCGTGTTATCCAAGAATTGGGAAACACGCTGCCGAAGGTTCTCTGAGCCTATGACAACCGTCTTCTTGCCGAATGGCTCCCTGCCATTGGCCCTGCCGCTCTCGCGAAGGACTTCCCACTCGGCCTGGAGCACATCCTTCCAAGCAGACAGGCCGGCACCGCCAGCGCCGACGTCGAGGACACTGAGGACCTTCAGGCCGGTTAAGGAGGCCCTCTATCCACTTGTCGCCCAGCCGTTTCCGTACCTCAACCAGCACGCTTGTCGCCGATGCATACAAGCCAGGGAGCACAGTAGCGAGGTAGGTATCAGCCTCGATCGGTGACATCCTGTAATGCCCAGCCTCCATCAGAACGCCCTTCTGAGGCAAGTTGGACTTTGACTTTGGCGTCGCCGGGCCGTAGGGCAGGCCCGGCCCGCCAAGCAGACGCTCTGCCGCCTCCTTGATATGTACAGTATCGGTCCTTTCGAGTAGTGTGCTGATGGGCTCGACAAAAGTAACCTTGGGAAGCTGCACCGTCGTGGGGCTCGTCTTAAACTTGCCAATTCTCGTGAATTCGTGTAGCCGCGTGCCAGAAGACTCATAATCCTCGAGGAACGTGGCATCCGGTTCGCCTTCATCTTCGTCGATCTCCTCCTCTTCACGTGGCTCCTCTTCCTCATTGATCTCCTCGTCTTCCCGAATTTTCTCAACTGGCTGCAGCGATGCCGTCTCAAAGTCACGCTGCAGCTTCATTATCGCCTTGTACTCTCGTTCGTTGTTGGCTATCACCTGGAGGTAGTCAACCGAGCCGCCGGCAACTGGCTCGAGGGCGTCGGCCATCTCCGGGACCTCCTCGGCTGCCTCAGTACCCTCCGCCACATCCGGATCTTGCACGCCTTCTGCTTCGGTGGCCGTGGTGCGGTTTATTGTGTAATGGACCTCCTCATATGCGCCGTGTTCCGTCTCCCTCAACAGGGTATGCTGCCCATCTTCCACGGTGCGGGGAATTGGAATGCCCACATCTTCCGGCTGCGTCTCACGTAGAGGCGGCCCATACAGCCTTTCGTAGACCTTGTACTCCTCCGGTGATAGGTAGCCGGCGGGCAGCGTGTTGCGGAACGTTTGTCTCGCCTGTCGCACGATGGTCTCGATATCCTCCGCCTTCGACGGCGCAGTTGTGTCTAACGGCTCCACGGAGGTATCTTCCTTTGTCGGGTCTTGCCGAACCGGTGTGCTTGTAGAGAATTGCCGGACAGAGTTGGGTCGCCAGGGACGGGCTGCAGTGCTCATTGAGGGGGCCTGCAACCGTTTGCGAAGGAACGGCTGGGCTGACGGCCGGCCACGTGGTAGCAAAAGAGCATCGTAAAAACTCAGAAGCTGGGCACGGCACCCAGGACACCGATTCTGCATTTTCCCGGCCGAGATCATGATTTCCGCCGTCGTTGGTGATATGAAAAAAGCTGGGCGTGGGGAGGCAAGGAAAGAGTTTCACAAGGTCCGAGCTCGAGGTTAGAGATATCCCACCAATACCCCTGCACGTGATGACGACCCCTGGTGGCAAACACCCAACAGTGGCACGATACGGATACTCAAAACAACCAATTCATCGAGTCAATGGAAATAGGCTTCTCTTGCGTTCTAACGTAGTACAATGGGTAAAATGGAATCTCCCACGCGCGACCTAAAACGCCCAAAACGCCAAGCTTCCCAAACAAAAATGCCACATTATTCACTACCCAAGTCGGCCAGCGTCTTGAACCCAGGGCGGGGAGGAAGTCTCGTCCCACTTCCCCCTGACTGTGCCTTAGCCGCCTGTATGTTCCTCTTGTTGAACGGCGAGTTCTCGGCCGCCTTGTAAGGGTCGAGCTATCACCCGTTAGCATCCCAACCGCACCCATCCAAGGCCAACAAACAACACATACCGAGAGCAACGACCAAAAGTACAAGCCAAAAAACGCAACCAACCCCTCCACAAACCCCTTCATATCCCACTTCGCCGGCCTAACCACACTCTGCCTCCCCACCCCGCTCCCCCCCAACCTCTGCCCAGACCCAGCAAACATCGCACCACCACCCCCACCCGCACCACCACCCGCCAACTTAACCGCCTTCTCGACCGCCGCCGTCAGCGCGGGGGGGTTGGCGCCCTGGATGGTATCGATGACGGAGCCGTTGCGGAGGATGACGAAGGTGGGCATGGCGCGCACGCCCGTACAGCTGGGCGACCTCGCCCTGGCGGTCGACGTCCACCTTGCAGAAGGCGATCTTGTTGGGCTTGGCGAACTTGGTCGCGAGCGAGTCGAACGCCGGCGCGATCATCTTGCATGGGCCGCACCAGTCTGCGTAGACTGTGGGGTGCGAAGGAGGGGGGGTTAGTTGGGGGGTTGGTGGAACGGGGGAGGGGGGCGCGATGCGCCGGAGGGGACGTACAGTCGGTGACGACGATGGCGTGGGAGCTGAGGGTTTGGCGCCATTGCGCTGTTGATGTGATGTTGGTCAACATGGTTGGAGATGTGGTGGTATGGTTGTTTGTAACTTCGCGATGGGATGTCCGGAGTTGCGATCGCAATTGTCAGCAGCGGCATGTGCAGGCGGGCTGATAGCTGGCCAGATCGCCGGATAAGGAAAGAGGGTTAGGGTTGTGGATTGAATACCCCTGTCGGAATTTACAAGGCGGTCAATTTTTGCGAAATTCTGCCCGGCGCAAGCCAAAACTTCTGGAGCCATCGCGACCCAGAAGAAGTGAAGCATTGTGTTTTGAAGGTTGCATTTCAAGCGATTTTTGCTCTTGTTTTGCGCATCTGAATTCACCATGCCACCCCCATATGAGCATCAGTCAAAAGTAAGTTTCAGACATATTCCCGGAACCCATGAGAAGAAGGGGGATAGATTACAACGATGGCATGAGAATCCGGTGGTCATTTTTCTTGGCTTTCATTGCGATACTCATGTTGTGTAATCCATAGAATGGAACTCCGGGTCGTTAGCATATCCTGAGACAATAGCTAATGCTGGGACAGAGGCGCCGGCTTGACACTGAGGACGGTGGTGCTGGTAATGGGTCAAACTTCAAGGCCTACCCCCGGTTTACGCCAACCGCCCCCAGGGAATGGACAGTTTCTATTGCCGTGCCCACAAGCCTCATCACAGAGTAAGTCTTGAATCTCTTGCGGCTCATGCATGCTCTTGCTGACTTGGCAGCTGCGTAACACGAGAGCAGAGGACAACCAACGTCGGCCGTGTTGCGCGTGCCTTGGCCATCTTTTCTGTGGATGAGGTGGTCATCTACGATGATAGTCCCACGGACAAGCGCATCACCAACGCCGACCCAGACGCCTACACCGGCGACGTGGACCCGGCACATTTCATGGAGCACATCCTCACTTACCTTGAGACGCCGCCCTTCATGCGCAAAGTACTGTTCCCCTTGCACCCAAACCTGAGATCGCAAGGTCTGCTGCCGAGCCTCGACATGCCGCATCACCCACACAAGGATGAGTGGCTACCGTACCGAGAAGGAATGACGTTGGAGCTCCCAGCGAAGGGAGGGAAGGGGTAACATCTCCCGTGCCCGGCAAATGCAGACTGCGTACTAACAATCCCCAGCACGGTCGTGGATATCGGCATGCCCAACACTGTCACCATAACCGAGTCGATCCCGCCCAAGACGCGAGTGACCCTCAAAATGCCCGACGACCCCTCTGGAACCCCTGAACCAGTACACCCGGCCGCACCAAGGACGGAGGACGGCTACTTCTGGGGCTTCAGCGTCCGCAAGGCCTCATCGCTCTCCAACGTTCTCACGGAAAGCCCCTACGCCGACGGCTACGACATGAGCATCGGCACCTCAGAGCGTGGCATGCCGCTGTCAAGCGCGTTTCCCGGCCACGAGCAAGCCAACTTCAACCACTTGCTGGTCATCTTTGGCGGGCCGCGGGGGTTGGAATACGCCGCAATGAACGATCCACAACTGGGTGAGATGGGGATCTCTGGGGCGAGAACCAAGGAGCTGTTCGACCACTGGGTGAACGTGCTGCCGAATCAGGGAACGAGGGGAATCAGGACGGATGAGGCACTGTTGATAGCGATGACGGGACTCAGGAGATTGTGGGATAGCAGCTGACCCGGCTGATTTATTTTGGGACAATATATCACTGAGGCGTTCTCGAGGCGTTTGGTTCATCATCGTTTCATCGGTCGATATTTCGCCGTGGTGGTTGGAGGGTTTGCTTTCCGAGTCCCCTGCTTGCAGTTCAACATCAGCTGGTTTCGCAATCTGAGGTTATCGAGAAGCTTGTCAGCCGTAGCTTTCTGACCATAATTTGCCGAGCCGGCCAGACACCGTCCCGAAGATTACGCCTCGCATCTTCTCCCGACCAGTGCAATGCTCACCCGAGGGCCATGTGTCGTGATCTATCCACCACAATCAATTCCCGGCGCCAGTCAGCACACGGGCACCCCCCACCAAACCAAGAGCTCCTACTTGTTGGTTCAACCCCGCAAAACCATGACAGCCATTGTCACCGTCGAGATGCTTGTCTCGCTGCCGGTGCGACATCGTAGCGGCTGACATGCGTCAGGTTGTCGGCACCAAGGGAGCCGGTTGACTTGGCTGCCTCGGAAAACACGCACCGAACGGGTAAGGATAAGCTAGCGAGGGAGGATTCCCTCCGGGCGAAGACCTCAACAAAGACCAGAAAGAACTCGCAACCCGAGCCAGCCTCCGGACACCGACCCATCCGGCTGGGCCAGCCAGCCACCCCTCCCATCACATCACACGCTCCTGCACGTGAAAGAAGAACCATGCATGTCGAAGGTGCAAATCCCCGGGACCTGACATGGGTAGTGTGTGGTTGGCCCCCAACGCCCACCCTCCCAAGGACCCGGGAAAACGGAAGGAAGGCTTGGGCAGCTTCAGAATGGACACGCCCACCCACCACACGATCTACCCTTCGTCCGTTCCAAAACGGTCCAAAAAGTCCATCCATAAGCTCGCCGGACTTGCAGTGCGGCATATATGCAAGCCTGCTCGGCTGGCTTCTTCGGGGCTGACAATAGGCGGGACGATAAAGAACGCAGTGGAGAGAGAGAAAGACAGCGGGCGCGAAGAGCGAGCGGCTTACACGAGGCATATCCAGATTATCGCCGTCGGGGAAACTTCCGGGTCCACGGACCGCCGATCCCGCACGGTCTCGCTTGCTCCAGGTCTCAGCCTCACAGCAGGGTCCCCGTCCCAACCAGTGGTTTTACCGAAGGATCGCGCCCGGCGGCGGCTTTGGCATTGGCATTTATTGGCACGGCTGCCAATCTCTCCTGTCTGGCGGTGGCAGGATCGGGGATCAACAAGATACCCACAGAAAGGACCCAAGATCAAGCGCAACAGCAACATGTACCGGTACATACCTGCCCAGGCTGACGAATATTCCTGTCGCCCTCTTCAAACCACACACCCCCCCTCCGTTTCTCTCTCCATCCCTCCCTCCATCCTCTCCATCCCTCCTCCCTTCCTCGACCCGGGGTTGGATGGTCCGACCAGCGGTGCAGCGATGCAGCAGCGCCGCAGCATAACCCAAGCCACGGTTACACCATCCCCGCGTCAGACGCGCGCGCGTGTACCGTACCCAGGCAGCTGGTCGCTGGTCGCTGGTTCGGTGCCGCAGGCCTGCGCTAGCTCTGATGTCGTTGCTAAGCGAGGGACTGGGGGCGGGGGATGATGTGAGTTGTCGGCGTTCTTTTTTTTTTGCATTTTCTTCTTTAGGTATTTTTATTTTCTGGGTCTGGGTCTGGCTGGGTCCACGGTTGGTTGGTGGTTGGTGGGAACACAAGGTCTCTGCTGTGTGACCGCAGCACGCACGGCAGCAGGAAGGCGGGCGGGTGATGGAAGGCTTCTGGATCACACTCACTCATCCATCCCGTCCCTCCTCCTGTTAGGTTAGGTCGGTTCCGTGGCTTGGGGGGGCCAAGCTGGGCACTAGTGTACACTGCGGAGCTGGGTCCTGCGCCGTTGGTAGCCGTTGCGGCGCGGTGTTGGCGCTTGCTTACTCCCTCCCTCTCCTTGTGCGACCACACACCCCTTAACCCCCCCTTTCTGTCGGCGCCGTACCGAATCTGGGGGCCGTCTGGTCGGTGGGTGTGACGAGTCGGGGGGTTCCATCCTGCCGGTGCATTGTGGGTAGGGTGATATTTGGTGTCGGGGTGCTTGGGTGGCTGATCGGTAAATGTGAGGGATAGCCTGGGGGACTGAGACATATTACGTGCTCATTCCCATTGCATCCGCCCTTTTCCTCGGGCTAACGTGACTTTGCGGCACAGTCTGTCATGTGTCCTCTTTGCAATTACCAGCAATGCGCCCGCGGAGCTGCGGGTGTACGTACAGGGTATAGCTCGCTGTGGGGGCTTTGTTCATTGTAGCGGCGATGCTGTGACGGTGCGGAGGCGGTAAAGCCGACCAGTGGGTTTGACTTACACAGTAGGGCGACATGAGAGGTGCGGTTCCATGATGGCAACCCAGCATGTTTTAACCAGTGGAGTCCGACCCCGTTGGCTGTGACTGGCCCAAAATACGAATGTAAACAAACCCCTGAAGAAGCCCACCATAGATCTTCCTGAGAAATAACCACCACAATTTGATGGACCACTCTGCAATGGCTCTGAATTTATTGGGAGCACAACAATTAGGAGTTAATGTTGAAAGGTAGAGATCTAGGAAGATAAATGTTGATATAAAGTTAGAAGAAATAAATAAGCAAGCCCTGAGAGGCTTATTTGTGTGGTACGTGTGCTGCTCTACCAGATGTTTTCAACATATGAGCTGTTTGAAAACTGGGTTCAGATTAGATTTTTTAAGCCACTTTTACGCGCGAGGTATTTGGTAGCTATATGAGGAAGCATATATGCTGATCGGCCTCATTGAAACGAAATCCGTCGCAGTGTTGTAGCCGAGCACGAGTAATATCATAATGTAGAACCTCAGCTCGGCCTTAGGGAGACACTAAGACGATAGTCTTTATGGAATAGCATAGTACAAAAAGCTCACCGCCCATCATCCATCGTCTTCCTTTGATGGGTTAGACGGCTACGAAAACCCCTGAAGGGATTTTACACGCCCGACTGGTAGCTAGTCAGTCAGAAGGGTTTTTGCCCGTCGGCTGGAAGACTGCGGGTACCGCTTCCCACAAGGTACTTCGACCTGGAATCGAACCCACGACCTCTCAGGTCGTCACCCAAGAGTTCGCAAGCTCGGATTTCCAGATCACGGATTCCGCACCCCCTAACCGCTGCGCTACGGGTCGGGGGATTGGTGGCATGGGGCGAGTTGGAACTTCTCTATCAGGGGGCCTCGGCCTGCCACTGTTTCATAGCGCGGTGCCTTACTCCAAGAGCGTTGCCAACGCACCACAGTGCCATACCTACAAGCCCACACAGCAGATACAGCGCCGCCGCAGCCCCAACGAAGGCATTCCCATCCGCCATTACGGTCTCTCTCTATCGCGATCGTTGATGATCTACCTACCATTACACGGCCCTCTTCTATCCGTCACCACCACAACCCCCCTCTCAAAACTTCACATGCTGGCCCTTCTCAACAATCTGCCCCTCGTTAGTACCCACCCTCGTCTTCCCCTGCCCACCCACAAACAACGCCTCCGCCGTGACCGTAACCGCCCCGGTAACCGCATCCTCCACCTGCGCATCCACCCAGCATTTATAATGCCTCTTACCCCTCTCCCGCTCGGGCAACTCCTCCTCCCCCCCTCACCTTCACCCGCACCACATAAAACCCATTCGCCATAGTCACCTTCTTATACTCCAGCACCAACCTCGCCGTCATGCCCGTCTTACCCCCCCACTCGGTCCCCTTAAACGCCGCCCGTCCACAACTCTCATCCAAAATCGTCGCCAAACACCCCCCATGCACCACCCCAGGCCACCCCGCCGTCCCGCCCCCAAAAAACACCACGCTCACCAACTCCCCCGTGCCCCGGTTCCACCACACCCGCTGATAGCCCCCCACGCCGCGCGATCCCGCCAGCGCCCCCGCCGTGACGTGCTGCGCGCGGTGCGCGGGCGGCAGCGATTCGTACGCATCCCACGACTCCCAGGTGGTGGGGTCCGCGGTGAGGCGTTGGACGAGGGGGAGCTGGGAGGCTTGTTCGTGGAGAACCCGGATGGTGTAGGCGTCTTCGGGGGTGCCGGGGGTGGGCGGGGAGGGGGGGGAGAGGATCAGGCGCAGGGAGGAGTCGCTGAGGGCGCCGGCCAGGGTGAAGAGGAGGGCGAGGATGAGGCGTGGGGCGAGGCGGGTGGGTTTGTTTTTGTTGGGGGGTTGTTGGTGGTGGTGGTGTTGTTGCTGTTGGTTGGGGTCTGTGGGAGGGGGTGGTGTCGGTTCGGGGGGTGTTTTTCGGGGTGGGATTTCCCATATTTCTGGTGGGTAACGAGACGGCCTGGCTTCTTCGGAAAACGGGGGAGGGTCTCTCCGGTTCCTCCCCGGTTTTTAAAGGAAGTTCAGAAACGTTTCCTGTGGGCGGAAAGAGGAATCCGCGTATGGGTTTTTCCCTCGGAAACGACCTGTCTTTAGTCGCTTGTTACTTTTAACGCCACCGGCTCGCCCTCCACGAGGGAGCGTTCCTGTTATCTCGAAGCCATGGCGGCTGGTGTTTTCGTCGCGGTAAAGGAGAATTTTGTGTTTTGGAAAAAGATTAAGTCGCACGCCCCGTTCGGAATCGGAAACCGATAATCTGCCCCCTTCCCATGGCCAATTCTCGCTGTTCCCAGATTGTGGGGGGGGGGGGGGTTGGGTTTGTGGGTCCTCGGCTCAGGAACCTCGCGCGCCAAATTCACAGCAGAAACGAACACGGAAGTCATTTGGCGAACTCTGTTTTCTTTTAGTTATAACTAACTAACTATATATATATTCTTCGATTTCTCAAAAAGCGAAAACAAAAAAAAACAGACGGCCTTCTTTACCCAACTACTTTTGTTGGCACCGATGGAGATCCCTGATGCAAGCTCAAACTGTTGTCATTGCCCAGCGGGTGGAATACAAATGTACTTATACAAGACCCCAAAGCGCCCCGAATCGCAGTGAATCCGGCCCTGGGCCCTGGCCTTTATTTTTATATTTAGCTTCTGTCTGATCTCGCGCTTACACGGGCACCGTACAACAATAAATATCCCCTTTCTGTTCTTCCCCTCAATCCTTTCCCACTACCGAGACCTTTTTTGGAGATCGCTGAAACTGTAGGCATTCAAGTCGCAAAGTTATCGAAATACTGCTGATACAGGATCGTGCTAGGCTCTGTTAAATCTGATAACTACGCGTTCGGAACCGCCATGGAACGACTAATTGCTGTGTGCTTGTCCCACCGAGACCACTTCTCCGAAGGACACATGCGGCAGGTTTTTGGCTACGAGGCTTACCACTGGGGCATCATGATCACGCCCGAGGCCAGCCAGGGACAAGACTGCGACATCTTTGACGCCACCGACGCAACCGAGATCGACCCTGTCACCTTTCGAATGCGTAACCCTACCATGGACTGGTGGTTCCGGGACCAGAAAGACGTCGACCCTGCTCTCAGTGCGAAGCTCATCGGGCGTATCATCATTGGGCGGGTACCGGACGAGGTATCGCGCGATGAGGTTTGGCACGTTTTCAAGAATGTTCCTCTGCCAGTCAGAAATCGGGACCCGCAGCAGAGTTGCGTGACGTGGGCCGTGAACGCCATTTTGGCCCTCCAAGCGCTAGGTTGGGTACGGAAGTTCGAAATCGATCAGTTTAAAGACTGGGCGCTCTCATATGCCGATATGAGGATGAAACAGCGACCGGGTTCGAGTGAAGACGAAGTGACGCACTACGCTGTCGAAAATTAAGAGGGGCTTGTAAAGGAAGTTTCTCTTTATTGCTAGACGCACTATGGCAGACGGAAATGCTTAGATACAGAGAGTTACTATGTGTATTCTCCCCGTTGCGCAATGACAACAGTTTGAGTTTGCCTAGTTATGCATCAGAGACCTCCATCGGTCCCAATAAAAGTATTCCGGGTACCATCACTAAAGGTCCCAGTCAATGGTGGCGGCGACGCGCCCGTTCCGGACGACGACGCTTTTCGGGGAGAGGTCCGCACGGGCGAAGCGAGTCCGATAAGTTGCATCGTGCACTTTATCGACTTCCCGGCTTGGGAAAGCTGCGACGTCTTCCACGATCTAGCGCCCTCGTGCTAGCGAATGGAGCTCACTGTGGTTCATTGGGCCGAAAGACCGGACTCCGATACGGCAGTCATAGGCAGGATTTCGAAGAGCCGAGGACAGTAGGCCAATGTGTCGCCCCAGACATACGCCATCACGATGTACATGAACCCATCCTCTTCGGCGTGAACAGCGTAGATCTTAGGCACTGGAATACTTGTATGCGAGGCAACATATCGCATGGCCTCCGCCTTGGGTGGATAGCATGGTCCCTTGATGACGCGGTGCCAGCTCACTCTTCGAGTCAAGGGGCCGAGGGAACGAAAGAGCAAGTTTCCACACCAAAGTCCCAGATGTAGTGGGAATAAAGCTCCGATGGATTGGCCCATGGTTGCGGAGTAGTATTCAGGGGTTGAGGCAAGAAAGCATTATAATGTTGCGGCCGAGAGAGAGCCGTTGTTGGGCCGCGGTTGTTGTCGCGAGAAGAAGGGTCGTGAGTCCTAGCGGTGAGGAGACTCTCTGTATCAATGGCATCCATTTCTTGTGTATCTACGTTGGTGCTAACTACCTAACAGGGAGGCCATCTCAAAACGCCATGCCACATTAAGCATCGGATCCAAACAATGCTTGGCTGGAACGAAATACTCAGGGGTATACAAGATCACTCGCTTGAGCGGACCACCATAATCATTGAGTTGACTCAGCCCCTTCCACATCCTCAAACAGCACCAAGACCGTCCCGGCCTTGCAGATATCCTACACTCAAGTTAGCACACAAATCCACAGAGTCGCTTTGCCAAGAACTTACCCCTTCCTTGTGCGCCAGCCTCTTGACCACGCCCTTTTGTGGCGATCGGATAACTGTCTCCATTTTCATGGACTCGATACTGTAATCACACGTCAGCCCCACCCCTCGTTGCATCACTTTGTGTGGATCAACTTACACAACAAGCGGAGCGCCCTTCTCAACCTCCTGTCCCTCGGCCACCTCATTCCTCAGAATCTTGCACGGCATGGGCGCCACAACGCTGCCAACAGCTTCCTTCAGCCCCAGCGCCTTCTCAAACCAACCCGGCGTTACCAGCGTCAGCTCCGTCTTCTCCCCCAGTTGAAAGACGGTCAACTTCTCTGGCGCCGCCGGGTCCTGCACTAGGGTCGACTCGACGCGCGCCATGGGGAAGAAGGAGGCGACCTTGGTCTTGGTATCGGTCGCAAGGCTAGGTTCGCAGACGACGTTCTCAAAAACGACGGGTGTTTCACTGTTGTGCCGCGCCACCGACACGCTGTAGAGCGCATTCGCCTGCTGGGAAACCTCGACTTGGACGACCTCGGGCTTCTCCCCCTCGGGGGCGGCATCGTTCCGCACCTGGAAGGCAAACTTGCGCTTGGTCTGCAGCCCCTTCTCGCCGAAGCCGAGCGTTCCGCCGTGGGGCCCGGCAGTGACGTGTGACTTGATCTGCGCGCTGAGCAGGCCCAGCGCTGCCTGCGCAAATACCTCGTCCGAGGTAGGTTTCGCCTGGAACAGCTCGTCCTTCCACAGGTCGATGAACCCGGTCTCGACGTCGCCCTCGATGAAGGCCTGGCTGCGGCACAGCCGCTTGAGGAACTCGATATTCGTGCTGAGGCCGACGACCTCGTACTCGCGCAGCGCGAGCTCCATCTTGCGAATGGCCGTCTCGCGGTCCCGGCCGCGCACAATCAGCTTGGCGATCATGCCGTCGTACGCCTCGGACACGGTGTCGCCTTCGACAAACCCGGCGTCGATGCGCACGTCGGGGTCTGTCGGAGGGGTGACCAGGTGCACCAGCTTGCCCGAGTCGGGGAAGAAGCCCTTCTCAGGGTTCTCAGCGTAGATGCGAGCCTCGATGGCGGCGCCGCGCTCGAGAATGCGCGCCTCGATCTCGTCCTGCGTCAGGGGCAACCGCTCGCCGGCAGCGACCCGGAACTGCCACTCGACCAGGTCCGTACCGGTGACCATTTCACTCACGGGATGCTCCACCTGCAGGCGTGTGTTCATCTCCATAAAGTAGAACTCGCCCGTGTCCTTGTCCAGGATGAACTCGACGGTGCCGGCGCCGACGTACCCCACGGCGAGCGCAGCCGTCCTCGCCTTCTCCCAAAGATCATGCCGTGTTACATCATCCAGCAACGGCGCCGGGCTCTCCTCAACGATCTTCTGATGCCGCCTCTGCACGCTGCAGTCCCGCTCACCCAGCGCCACGCAATTCCCATACTTATCCGCAAACACCTGCACCTCCACATGCCTCGGCCGCACAACATACTTCTCCACCAACATAACCTCCCCACCATCCCCAAAACTCGCGCGCGCCTCCGCCCTCGCACTCTTCAACTGCGCCTCAAACTCCTCATCCGTCCTCACAATGCGCATCCCCTTCCCCCCACCTCCCTTAACACTCTTCAACAAAACCGGATACTTAATCTCCCTCGCCCTGGCCCGCAGCTCCCCCGGGCTCTGTTCCGCGCCATGATACCCCGGCACGCAAGGCACCCCTGCGGCGGTCATGATCTCCTTGCTCCTCGCCTTGTCGCCCATATCCGCCATCGCCGTGGCGGGCGGGCCCACGAACACGATCCCGGCCTCCTCGCACGCGCGCGCAAAGGCCGGGTTCTCCGACAGGAACCCGTACCCCGGGTGCAGCGCCTGGATGCCGTGCTGGCGGGCCAGCTGCACGATGCGCGGGCCGTCCAGGTAGGCGGAGGGCTGGGCGCCGAGGGCGAGGGAGTGGGCTGCGCAGGCGGCGTGCTGGGAGGTTGCGTCGACGTCGGTGTATAAGGTCGTGGTGCGGATGCCCATGGCTGCGGCGGTGCGCGCGATGCGGAGCGCGATCTCGCCGCGGTTGGCGATTAGGAGGGTTTTGATTGGGTTGATGGAGGTGGTGGTGTGCGAGCCGGAGGGGTGCGTGGATATGGGGCGGCGGGGGTTGGGGCGTTGTTGTTGCTGGAGGAGGAGGGGGGAGGAGGAGGGAGAGGCGGTGATGGGGGCCCGGAGGCGGCGTGATGTTCGTTTGAGGGAGCGCATTGTGTGTGTGAGGTCTGATGTTGGTGGGACTGGGAGGGCTCCGGGTGTTGATTGAGTGTGGGGAGTAAGGAACTTCAATGGCTCAGAATCAAAGAGTCTCGGGATCGAGAAAAGAGAAGAGCAAGAGGAATTGACGATGGAAATTCAAGAGGTTGAGAGGAGTTGGTAAGTTAAGACCGAGGATGGCACAACGCCGACAGTAGCCGTGACCCCCTGTTTCCCGAACCCAGCATCGGCTCAGGTGCACTGAACTCGTGACCCGAAGGCCGCTCGCTTTCAACATGTTCTTCGTTTTCCAGCCCATATTCCGTTATCCAATCGAATTGGGAAATACCGGCCTAATTTAGGGCTCTTTGGCTGGTTTTCTATCCATCCTGGCTGAACTATGATACACAGATGGAAGGAGGAATACAGTTGCAACCCCGGATTTCAGACGTCATTTTATGTTCACTCCAACAGGGGTTGAGCGGCTACCCCGCATTAGTCATCAGCACTGGGGTAAGGCGGCAGGGCGGATCTCTTCCCCACCCTAGAATCTCAGCTGTCAACCCAACTCCAAACATCGAACCACCATCAGACGTCTTTTCAGACGGTCAAGATATTCACGACATAAAACCAAAGCCAACGGATGTTTTAGTCGAATTTCTATGAAGTTCCCAATCTAAAGTTTTGGCGTTTCAAAAATCAACCACAATGGAACAGCAGCAAATACCCCTCAGCCACGAGGCATCGGCTGGCAACACCAACATGCGCGTGACGGCCTCACTCCCGCAAGAAGTTGTCCAATGCCTAGAGAATGCCCGTTTTCTTCACCTGGCCACTTGTTCCGACAACATCCCCAACGTCTCCCTCATGAACTACACCTACCTCCCGTCCTCGCCCCACTCCCGCTCCCCGATCATCATCATGACCACCAACCCGGCAAGCAAAAAGATGAACAACCTCGCGAGCAACCCCAACGTCTCTCTACTCGTCCACGACTGTACTCTCCCCCTCCCCTATCACCCCCCACCCCATAACATGCACTAACAAACAACCTCCACCCAGGGGTATCGCACCGGCCAACCCCCACCGCCCAAGCGCGGCGCCTCTCCGACGGCGCCAGCGCATCGCGGTCACCCAACCGCGAGCCCACCTCCTCCCTCGCCGCCCTCCTCTTCAACCTCAACACCTCGGCCGTGTCCTCCATCAGCGCCACCATCAACGGCAGCGCCCGGCTCGTCGAACGCGGGTCCGAAGAGGAGAAGTACTACCGCGAGGTGCACCTGGAGAACAACACGTTCGACAACGCGGCCGAGACGGCGGGCCTGTTTGGCGCGGTCGCGGATGGGGCGGAGGGAGCGGGGAATAATAATGGTGGGGCGAATCGGTATGCGGCGGGCGGGGAGGACGTGAGGGTGATTGTGGTCGGGATACGGGACGTGCGGATCGCGGATTGGAAGGGGGCAGTTACGGATTGGGTGATTGGGGAGCCGGGGGAGGAACCGGTGATAAATGGGGTGTGAGGGGAAGTGGTTGCACTGTATGTACAAGTGGGTTGTATAATTCATGAATGAGCGGGTCGGAAATAGATGTCGGTAATAAAAGGAAACCATACGGCAGCAGCTCGACGAGCAAAGGGGGCCGTATAGTACATACAAGCCTGCTCAAGTGGGCTGGCTCCCCTTTTCCACGGAGTATGATGGGTAGTCTTGGTATTGAGTCTCCTTGCTCCGTATGTTTCTTTCTCCCTCATACACTCTATTTCCCAATATATCATCCGGGGCGTGGCAGCCGAGTGAGTGCTTCGTTGGGACAGCTTGAAGACCACCATCCGCCGGCCTCTTCGCCATTGAGTTGTCCCAATCGGAAATAATCGATTTGGGAACCCCTGCATCAACGACCCAACCAACAGACTCACCGGGCTGTTGGCAACATTAACTACCGTAAATCAAGTCAACAGCTTGTGGCTGATAAAACTGCACAACCGCCCTGAAACCCCCATCGCTGTTGAACGCGCCGCACCCCCACCGCTCGCCCGCCTCCCCCAACAGCCCTGATTATAATTTTAGAAACTGGGTCACAAGATCGGGCCCAGAGAGTTTGCAGATTTGGTAGAGCCCAGAGGAACGGTGTGCAACAGAGAATAGACATTATTTAGTTTTGACCCCCAAACGCCAAGGGTGGGTAGCGAACGCCACCACCACTAACCCCAACCATGCAATCATTATACAATAAGTCATACCAGGCAGATCATGCCATTTCCCCCCCCCAACAGCAGTTTCGTTATGCTGTAATAATAATAATACAGAGTCCTCGTCCCCGTAGAGTCATAACCATACTCGATACCACCCGGTGTCCCAATCTGTCTGCCCCGTCCAGACACCAGTCATTCTATTTGTGTTCCTAATTCCCCCACCAGGTCGGGGCCGGGTATGGTGTTCCAACCAACCCGACCGACCAGCCCAATGCTTTTCGTAGTAAAAAAGAGAAACAAGCCCGGTTCCTGTTTGCAGGACGAAGCACCCAGAACCAGACGCGGCATTTCCATGCCCACGACCATGCAGTATGGTATGCAAAACCCCCCACAAACGCCACCCGTAAAATCCAGATTGTTACAGTCGTCCCGCCCAATGATGGGTGGTCAGAAGAGAATCAAGGAAACCGCAGCTACCAAACTGTTAACCCGCCAAGCTGTTGACCCGCTAACCTGCCAATCTGCCATCGTCCCAACCCCCGGCGAAACCGCCCTCTCACTTAGCCCACTCCACTACCTCCAACGCACACATAACAAGAATGAGCGTCGACGGTAGGATCCTGTCATGTATTAGCACACATTCGTCTTCAAGAACACCACGGAGAACCAAATACATACCAAACGACATAGCTCTGAAACAGGATACGCCCCATGATCGTCTCGTACACATTGTTGATCTGGCAGATCTGCGCCAGCTGGAGGGCGCTGGGGGCGCCGGTGAGGAGGAAGCAGACGATGACAAAGATGGGGTCGTCGAGGATGCTGACGGGGACGAACTTGGCGAAGAGGGCCAGGATGGGGGCCATGACCAGGGTGGGCAGCAGCATGCGGCTGACGAGGCTGGCGACGAGCAGGCGCGTGCCGATCTCGCGCTCCTCGGGCTCGACCTCGTCATCGCGCGCCTGCGTGTTGCGGGCCAGGTTGGCGCCCAGCACGACCAGGATGAGCGGCACGGCGACGCCAGCCGACGAGCTGATGGCGCTGGTGACCGACGTCTTGATGAAGGAGCCCTCGCGGAAGAAGAGGGCCTGCAGGTCGGGGACCGAGGCGATAAAGACGGCGATGAGCATGGCCCAGAGTGGCGGGTTCATGAAGTCCCAGAGGAACTGGTAGACGCGCTTCCAGGCGTGGTGGAGCTTCGTGAGCCCGACCTGGACGGGGCGCGGGAGGGAATCGTATGCGCGCCGGCCGGTCGTCTGGAGGTAGCTCCAATACTTGAGCTCGGCCTTTCTGACGAATCGTCGCACCCGCAGGGGGACACCCTTGATGCCCGGCGGCGCTTCAAATTCGTCGGTACTGTGGATGTGCGGAAAGGAGAGTCTCCTGTCGAGGTCTTCGTGCCCTTGGAGATGACCGGTCAGGCCGAGGCCGTTCGTATCCGGCTTCCCTTTCCCTTTCCGTGGCTCGTCGTGCTCATCGTCCTCCGAGTCGTTCGGCGACGCCCCTGAAGACCCCCCGACAGGGGTTCGACCGGCCGGCTCGTAGTGGGTCCCGGAATCGTCAGTGTGTGTCGGGCTTGAGGGCCGGTCGTAGTCATGGTCTTCGGACTCATGTAGGATATCGACGCCTTCGATTAAACCGTGCGGTTCATTGTCATCCTCCGCATCCTCGTCGTGATAGCGGCCCTCCTCAACGGTCTCATTGGTGTACTCTGGGTACTTTGACTTGGGAGCCAGCAGCACATGGTACCCCCAGCTCCATCTGACCAGCTGTCCGAGTTGCTGGAAAACCAACAGGTAGAGAATACCCCTCGCAGCCACTTCGTCGTCATTGTCACCCGGTATCCTGTCCCAGTGTAGCCCTTTCAACGTCTGGGCGAGCGAGATGACTAGAGAGATGGGCAGCGAGTTGGAGTTGCCAAACACGCCCATGGCCGTGACGAAGTTGGAGGCCCGTTTGTTGAAACCGAAGCATCTTGCCACAATTCGGGAGACGAGATACGAGACAAATGTTTGGATGACGAAGATGATGGGGATGATGCCGAGGTCGAGGAGTTTATCGGCGTTCAACTGGGATGCAAGCTTCGTGAAAACTACCAGCCGTCAGCCCACAACCCCCACGGGACCGTCAATATACCCGCGACTTACTCAGGCATGGCGTAAATAGCATAACATTGAGGTTGGCAAGAAACTTTTGCTTGTCGGCATCGAAATGGCCCAAGCGCGCGATGATGTAACCAGGCAAGCTGACGCAAACGACTTCCAAAACGGCGCCAAAGACGAGGAGAACAAGATTGTCGATGGATGGATGCGCTTCTTGCGGTTTCTTAAAGATGACGAAGGGTGAGGAGGCCGTTACTGACGTAGGGTCCCAAGAGTCGCCCCAAGCAAGCCGCAACGAAGTCGGCGCGCGTATGTCGAGTAAACCCATCAAGTGACCCCGTTGTTTGATGATTTTCTATCTGCGAGATAGAATTGGTGTGAAACAGAGTAGGATAACTAAAGGGTTGAAGGATACACCGGAAGCCCAATGGCTATTTAGTGTTGCGACTGCAGTGCGATGCTGCAATGGCTAGTTATCGAGAAGAAGGAGCTCTCTGAGACACGGGTAAGGATCTGGCGGAGATCCAAGGAGGCGCTTTGTATTTGGTGATACACCAAAGTGTAAGAGGAACCCCGGAATAACAAAGAGAAGTTGCTGATGCCGTTGGCGATCAGTTGGAAGGGATCTGGGGGAGGTTGCAACGAGGAGATGGGATAAATTAAGAAGACCATCTTCGACGGTCTGAAGATTGGCCTCTCTCTTCAATGGTCTTCCATGGGGCGTAAGGAGCTCCAAGTCGCGCGATAAGGCCAACGCAAGGCGCAGCTGAGTCCCCGTTAAAATGGTACTTCGATTTTGCCCGTATCTTCGAGAAAGATGAGGTTCCTCATTAAACGTCATCCTGGCCGCGCGGTCTTGGCGATTATATCTTGGCGCGAGCCAAGGGATGCCAAGGGGTCGCCAAGCGCCTAGCAGACTCTTGGATCGTGAAACGTGCATCAGTGATGACGTTGGGACCAAGACATGCAAGAGGCAATTCCAATTCTCCGTCAGGGCAGCGTCGGATCGCGCTTTGATGAATCCCAGGGTCAGTCTTCAGACAAGCATCAACTAATAAATCGGCAACTCTTTTCGCGTTTTTGGAAATCCACAACATCGGCCCGGCACCACTTGCCTTTCTCTTCAGCCCCAGCCTCGCCAAAGACTTTATCAAGGAGGCGCAGTGTGACAGTCTGCCCTCTTCTGGGTGGCCTCTGACACAAGATACTTCATCTCGAAACGTGTCTCCAGCACGGCTTGTGGTTGGCTGTTCTTGACGCAATTCCCGCCACAAAGAGGCTCGAACCCAGCAAGCATGTCTTGCCGACCCTCGGCCCAATCACAGTTGAAGTCGAACGGAAAGGCCATCTCAGCTGCCGTTGTCGATTGAACGGGCAGCACAGCCAAGAGTATTCGGTGATCAACTCCACCATTTATGTTCTCCGAGGCAAATTATGCGCGTTATCAGTGCATGGCTTGGCTGCCACAGTCACACTTGAAGGACTGGAGAGCCAACGAGAGAGAGTCGAGGTAACCACCGAAAGTCAAGGTAGCCTCTCGAGGTTGTCGCAGTGGGCTTGGGAGTTCAGTTGTCCTCGGCACTTACGGTTGAGAAAGTGTCACAGGTAAGGTATGTACATCAAAATCGCCTCGTCGAGGGGATCCAAAAGCCTCACCTCGTACGAAGTAACAGTTAACTAATAAGGCTGTAGGACGGAAATGTCGGACGCGGCCTTCGTGGCGGTGAAAGCAATAACTAACTCGTAGGCTGGTGAGACATGGCCAGCAGTTGCTCAAAGTTGGGGCTGTCGAAGACGGGAACCTCTCTCTTCTTGTTTCTTCCGCCTTGCCGGGGCTTGCCGGTGCTGTTTGGCGGCCTCCCCCCGAGAAGATCGCCGGCGGGGCTGCGGCGATGAGAGCCGACGCGGCCCCCTTGCTGAGTTGGCCCAATCAACTAACCCCCTAGATTTTGGAGGTTGTTTCAGAAACCAAACGCTAAAACACGGCCACTTTTACAACTTGCTTTGGCATCTTCGACCGGCCCCACATGGCCCGCCCAACCATGAGCCATCCCCTCGCTGCACCGACCAAGGCCTCGCGGCAAGTTGCCGTGTTGAAGATCGCTGCTTCTTCGCTGTTGGGCCGCAGCAAGTTCTTCAGCACCAGCGATTCCCGTGTCGAACCAGAAACCCCAATGCTGCCCCCCGCATCTTCGCTTGGTTTCAACCTCGACGTCATCCCGCGTAGATGCAGTTGCCTAACCGTCATCCTGCTTTGAGGTCCGACAAACCGGTTCGGCATCTCAAAACGAACACACATGACCTCTAGCCCTCGTGAAAAATGAATATGCATATCTAAAAAGTAACAATCCTCCGTATTCGACCTTGGTTCAGGCAATCTCTCTTCCAGCAGCCCGCCTCCCGTCTCTTGATAGGTGGGGGACAACGCCGCTGCGAATGGCGGGGTTTGGAGCAAACCCCACTGCCTCAACGTATCCTTCGCCCCCCTTGTCCCCCTGAACACGCGAACCTGGATTGAACCCTGGCATTTCGACTCAAAGGCAGTCAGGCACTGGAGAGAAACCGGAGCAAAAGCCCCTACCGGTGCCACACTCCAAAATGTGTAATTGGGAAAGACAGGCAATCCGTCTTGTGCCAGCCTGTTCTCATTTCTGGCAGCCCTGTTTTTCGAGTCAGACGTAGGCGCGGCGCGGCTCGAAAGGGAATACGCCGAAGTACACTACTGTTTTGGGGCAAGAGGACTATCGATTTCGCCCGCGTGGGCTGTTGCTTGTTGTCGCGGCTCCCAAAGCCCGCTTCCATGAGCCCGCCTCCAGGAGCTCCATCCGGTCCGACAGTGGCCAATCAAACCCCTAAGGGTCAGCTCGGTTTGCCCGCACTGGCCGACCTGGAAAAGCCGTTTTGAGGTCTCGATCCCGCTTCCGGCCCAATCCTATCGGATTACTACCTTCCTCGGCGGCAGACTTCCATGCGATAGAATTTTCTCTCGCCTACCCGCAGAAGACTCGACCAATTCTTGAGACGCCTTCCCCACGAGACTTGCCACCGGTTTAGAAAAGCCAGTGCTGTGATCAACAAGGTTCTTGTCTCACGCTGCCTTGGAAAACGAACAAGAACTGCTCGGCCTGCTGCCGGTACCCGCTCCTCTTGGACCTCAGCGCCTTGCATAGGCTTGATCTTTTGATTTTTGTTTTGTTGAACAAGCCAACAAGCCCGCAAACCCCAGAGTCCCACGAACTAAACCAGGCCAGCTATAACCCCGAAGACACTTTCCGCGACACATGTTGGGCATCAGGTAGACCGGACCTCCCTACTCAACCCCACCAAACCCCACCTTGCTCCCGGGACCAGCACAATGGCCGACTACGGTGACACATCCGAACCCGTCACGCCGGCGGACGAGTATGGACCGAGCAATCCAGCTTCACCCGGTTTTGCCGACGACGATTCTGAGGCGAGCACACCCCTCGATCCCCCAAGTTCGAGCTCCGATGCCCAACCGAGTTTCTCCCCGAGCGAACCGCCTCGCCGGGTACCTTCCTTACGAACGGTTTCCGATCCGCAAAACCTCACCCCCATGAACCCTACTTCGAGCGTCACCGGGCTATTGAATACGGCGAGGAGACCCGCGCCGAGCGCAAATAGCCTGCCATCCGACATTATGCAAAAAGCACGAGCCCTCCAAGAGCAGCGCATGAACATGGCCGCCAGGGCAGCCAGCTCGGCGGCGAACATGAACATCAATATGAACATGAACATGAACATGGGAGGGCCCGGAGGCGGCAGCGGGCAGCCGGGTGGCATGCCTGCCAACCTCAAGCTGCCGCCAGGCATGTCCCGGCCCTTGCCTCCGGGATTTCCGAAGTCGGCACCCGCAGTACCAAGTGCAAGGAAACCCCCAAGCCTAAGCGAAAGGAGGGCGATGAAGCTGGGGAATCTACCAGGATCTGGCGGTTCATCGCCTAGCCCGACGCCGAAACTAGGGAATCTCGGCGACGACACGGGGAATCAGCCGTCAGTCAACGGGGAGGGGCGGGGTTCCAAGTTGAGCGATTTCAAAAATTATATCGACGCGGATAAGGGCTGGATCACGTTCGATGGCGCGGCAACGATCACGCGGACAGGGGTCAACTTTGCAAATGGCCAAACTTTCTCCATCTCGCTCGACGAGATTGATGTTATGGACGAGCTAGGCAAGGGCAACTACGGAACCGTCTACAAAGTCAGGCATGCCAGGCCAAAAGCACCGCGGTTCGGCCAGGGGTTGAGCAAGTTCAAGGCGTCGGTTCCATTGCAGTCGTCAAGCGAGTCGGAGGAGTCGCCGGACACATCACCCAGCGGGAGCACCGGGCCCACGACGTCAGGGGTGGTCATGGCCATGAAGGAAATCCGACTCGAGCTTGACCAGGCCAAATTCACCACCATCCTCAAAGAGCTCGTGATCCTGCACGAGTGTGTTTCGCCCTACATCATCGACTTCTACGGTGCCTTCTACCAAGAAGGCGCAGTCTACATGTGCATCGAGTATATGGACGGCGGGAGTATCGACAAGCTGTACGCGGGCGGCATCCCCGAAAACGTACTGCGCAAGATCACGTTCGCCACCATCGTGGGTCTTAAGACACTCAAGGACGACCACAACATTATCCACCGCGACGTGAAGCCCACCAACATCCTGGTCAACAGCAACGGGCAGGTCAAGATCTGCGACTTCGGCGTGTCGGGCAACTTGGTGGCTAGCATCGCCAAGACCAACATTGGCTGCCAGAGCTACATGGCGCCGGAGCGCATCAAGCGGCGGCGCCTTAGCCTCCGGCGCCGCAGAGTTCTGCGGCCGGGACGTACAACGTACAAAGCGCCATCTGGAGTCCTGGGCTAACCCATCATCGAATGCAGCCATGGGAACATACCCCTATCCCCCGCGATGGTGTCGAGCACCATTTTTCAGCCAGCTTGAGCGTAAGCACCCTCTTTTCACAAAGCCATACCACACTCCCGCACTTAGTCTATCCCCCCCCCCCCTTCCCAGGCCATCGTCGAAGGCGACCCACCGGGCCTGCCCACCGAAGGCTACTCCGCCCTCGCACAAGACTTCGTACAAAAGCTGCCTCAACAAGAACCCACACAAACGCCACACCTACCCCATGCTCCTCGCCCACCCCTGGATCAAGACGCTCGGGCAAGCCCGAGACCATCGCCGAGGACGCCGAGGCCGAGGCCGCCGCCGCCGACGACGCCCTCGCCGACGCCGCCGGCAACCTCAGCCTCAACCACCCCTCGGGCCAGATCGCCGAGGGCGATTACGAGGTCGCCCAGTGGGTGCGCGACGTCCTCGAGCGGAAACGGAAGGGCTTGTTGAGGGATGCGGGGCTGAAGCCCGCGCTGCATGCCGCCCCGCTGGATACCATTAGTCCTGTGGGGAGTCCGTTGGTTGGGCCTTGATGGGGGAGGGGGGGTTGGTTTTCTCTCTCTCTAACTCTCTAACTCTTTTTCTCTCTGTGTGTGTTATCGGGGGGGTTGCGTTTGGGGTATGTTGGTGGGTTGGGTGGGTGGTTAGGTGGGTGGCTGGGTTGGGTTGGCGGGGTTTGGGTGGTGGTTCCATCAGTATGTTTACTTACTAAGGGGGTGCGCGAGGGGGGCCGAGCTGGGGGCAAGGGTTCTTCTGTTTCTCAGTTCTCTCTCCTGCGTCTCTTTCGGTTGTCTCTCGTGGAGGCATGGGGCCGGAACCTGATCCCGGGGCGGTTTATTCCTGGCGGATAAGCGCCTTGCTTGGGCCGTTTGGCCTGAGCAAACATACCATCTTCTTCCTTTCTTGAGTCGTGTGTGTGATATATTCTCTTGGTTGGCCTCTCTCATAATGGATTGCCTCCCCGGGGCGGGCATGTGAAATGTGTTTCTTTGCTTGTTCCTTTGGTCGCCTTGTTTGTCTCTGTTTTGTTTCGTTAGTCCTTTACATCGGGTCATTTGGCGACCCGGTTGGTGTCGTGGAGAAGCACTTCGTTGTTCGTCGGGAAACTAAATTGGGAGGATCACATTGGTAGAGAGAGGGGTGTGTGTACGCTGTCGCCCTTGAGGAAGATAATGCCGCTCAGACGGAAAAGCCGGGATACAATGGTCCATTGTGGCTATTCAGTGACTCGAGAGAGATTGGTATTAATTAGTATGGAATGCTGCTAGCGAATGGCCCTCTTCCCTGACCACGCCTTCGTAATGTGGCTAATAAGATTATGAAGCACCCCAAAGTCCTCCATGCAAGTATAGCAAACTAGAATGCCGCTGATATCAATCATAAATAGCGAGGGTATCTTGCGCGCGAGTTGATTGCAATCTTACCGTCACTACCGCTCCGTCATCTCCCATCTCACACATATCCCATTCACTGTCCCGCCTACTCCACTTCTCTCTCCTGTCAATGGCAGTCAAGCCGCGGTCTCCTTCAGGCGTAGTCCTCCTTGACGCGGCGCCCGTCGGTGCGCTTCTGCCAAGGCCAGACGCGGCGCGAACGGCCCGCAGCCCCGGGGGCCGGCGCGACGGTGGCCGCGGTGTCCTTGCGCTTGTTGCGGGCGAGGCAGAAGAGAATGGTGCTGATGAGTAGCAGGGCCCACGCGCCCCAGCTGAAGCCGAATGCGTACCTGCCGAGCGAGGCGTCGCGGCCCTCGCGGATGAAGACGTCGCGCATCTTGACGAAGGTGGCGCTATGGTTGGGCGGTGCGTTAGTTTGGGTATTCGAGATGGATGGGTGGGTGTAAGGGGAAGGGGGGGAGGTTAGGGAAGACGTACGTCATCAGGGAGACGGCGAGGGTCAGGAAGAATAGGGCAACGAGCGAGATGAGCCCGGTAAACATCGAGCCTAGCCTGCTGCACAGCGCGAGGAAGCCGGAAAAGAAGGCCAGCACCTCAAAGAATAGGGCGATCAGGAAGAAGACCCATCCGAAGCGCCACATGTACCAGTAGAAGTAGCTGGTTGTATCGTTGCCGTGGCTGCCGATCAGCTCAGACGGAGCGTTGCGGGCGTTGCTAGCCCAGGCGTCGCCCAGGGGGAGCCCCGGGCGCGAGGGGCCGCAGTCGGTGTTGCCGTCGCCGCAGACCTTAAAGAAGGTCCATTGCGAGATGGAGCGCGCGCCTTCGATGCCGGATGTGTCGGCGCGGAGGAAATAGGTCTGGCGGAGCGGCGAAGTGTGTGTGACGCCCGAGAGGATGACGAACCAGAGGAGGACGAGCGATCCGGCGATGAGTATGAGGGCCACTGGGGCTAGATTCGTCGCTGTAGTGGGGGTTAAAAACGGCTACCCGGCGGAAACAAGGAGTACACCTTACTTCGTGACATCTTGGGTTGTTGGCTTGTGGTGGTGGAGACCGATGGAAGGTCAAGTTGGGTGTCCCGGCCCCTTTGGGTTGCGTTTGCGCAATGCGAAGACTACGCAAACGGATGGTGTCGCAGAGTCGAGGGGCAAACCGGTGGGATTGCCAGCAAAGCCGGGGTAATAAGTGTCGGCGACCGGTGCGACTAGCTGTCTTCCTACTCTCAAGACAGTCGCACGCTAGTCTTACCCGAAGACTGATATTGACTTGAGGGAAGCAGTGTGATGGTGTGCGAGCCTGAACGAGTACCGGGAGGTGATAGGGCAGAAATCAATGTGTCGTCGTACCGACTTGGAAGGCACGACCGATAGAAGGATGGGAGCAGAAGAAGTCGAGTGAGGATGTCGAGGCGAGAAAGAAAGGTTTACAGGTGCGATCGGGCCCGGGGCCGGGTGGATAAAGAGACAACCAACCATGGTTACGTCGGCAGGCGGATGCCCAACTCATCCACCATTGATCAGTAGTCAAGACACTCATCACATCTGATCAAGCTTACCCTGAGTTGTAAGAGGCCTGACTAGTGGTATGTCTTGCTAGTGGGACAAAGCTGGTGTGGGTCGGTCGGTAGTTCCCAGCAAAAAAGACCCTTGGATGACGCAAGTCCTTGCAGCCACATCTTGGCAGTAGCGAAACAGCCAATAACCGAAGGAGAGAGATTGAAGCCCCATCCGACAACCAGATCCAAAGACCGCGACCCAGAAGACCCAAACGAGGCTCTGTCAAAAGCGACGTCATTCCCGACAACCGCCAGCTTGTTGTGCATTGGTGCTGTGCCGGATGGTCCGATGGGCTGCGCAAAAGTTGAATCTCCAAATCCCCATTTTTATTCTCGCGATGTCGAGCCCATGGAGGTGAGGCCATCGCCGACTCTCCCGGCGATGAAATACGATAACGAGTGTAAACTGTCGCCCCTCCCCCACGAGAAAGAGACAGAGCTGGCCAATGTCTCAGCCCCAGCCTCCAGTTGTCATGCCATTATTGGTGCGCCGAGAAACTCGATCCCGTCACAGCTGTGACGACTCATCGTCTTACCCTACATGTCGGTGAAGCCCAGGGCTCCGATGTTTTCACCAACCCATCCCTGCCATATGCAGTATGTTATTTACAAACTCACTAACGAACCCTCGCAACAACTTTCCCGAGCTTGGTTCCTGAGCTCTGAGCTCCGGGAAGCGGGCCCGTAAAACTTTCAAGCGACCTCCGGGACCCACCATAACCCGCAACCGCAGATCCGAGCAGCCGAAATCCCACACTCTGTCCTCTTGTACGGGGGATCCTACCCAAAACACTATCCATTCAACCACTCATTCATCCTCTGTGGCGCAATTGGCTAGCGCGTCTGACTGTTAATCAGGAGGTTGGAAGTTCGAGCCTTCCCGGAGGAGAATGTGGATGATACTTTTGCTCGATTGAGCTGAGGGCGTGATGCTCTTTTATTCTTTTGCTTCAGGGGTGGTCCTGGTTTGGCTGTTGTGAGCTCAGCTGGGCAAAAAAAGTTTCAATTTTGGGCCTCGCCAACCCAGTCGATGCCTCTTTTTACTCCCAAAGGGGCAAAGGAAGCACAGAGGAACTAGCGGGATCGATCGGTGCTTTAGATCATGGGACAGCATGCCCAGAACTCGCACCAGCTCGCAGCGTTCTGTCTAACCGAGGCAAAGGGATGTGGCCATGGGTCTTTTCGTTTTTTCCCTTACGTCTATTCGTACTTTCTCCCAGAAGTGTAACAATGTTGCGCGAGGTAGAGATCGTGGTCGCAAATTGTGTAGGACATCTCATTCCCCGAAGTATGAGCCAAACATCACATACACCCATATCATCCACTACCCTCCGCAAAGTCCAGAACCTGATCTAATGACAACACTTCGTACGGCCCCAACTCCCACCCCAGCCCATCCTCCTTCCTCCCCGGCGTCCTCACGGCCGTAGCAATCATGTAGTCCTCCCCCATCGACCTCAGACACATATTCACGTCCTCGACCCGCCTCTTCTTGAACCATATCTCAATGTCCCTCACCACCTCCCCCTCCTCCTCCCTCCCAGGCACATCCCACCCGGCCGTGGGCGCCGGCGGCCGAAATCCCCGGAACTCCAAGTCCTTCAGCCACTCCGCCAGTAGCGCCTCGCCAGTTAGCTTAACATAAGCTTCACGCAGCGCCCACAACGTGTAGAAGGCGCGCAGCTTCGCATCACTGACCCGCTCCACCGTCGCCGCGCCCGCCGCCGCCGCCAACCCCGGCACGGCCTCCAGCACGCGGTGCTTCAAGTAGGCCACCTCGCCCGGCGCAAACACATCCGCATGCATATCCACAAACGCCGGCCACCCTTCCCCCGCCAGCATGGCATGGTCGCGGGCGCGCCGCTCCGACGTGCACACCACATCCACCCCGACCTCCACCCCAACCCCATCCCCAACCCCATCATCACTCCCATCTCCCCCATCCCCCACGACCGCTCGATACCCCGCCACCGCCACAATCGCCACCACCCCAGCCTGGTGCGACACATTGAACGCGACGGGCTGCGCGCCCGAGGCCGGGTCGAGCCAGACGGGCTTGGTGCGCGCGTCGCGCGTGAAGGGCGTCGCCAGCGTCGCCGACCACGCTGCTGCTTTTGTCGCTGATGCTGCCGTATCCGTTGACATCAGCCGGGCCACGGCGTAGTGCTTGAGCAGGGCGGAGGCCAGCGCCATCTTGGCGTCGCGCGCGTGGTGGTAGCGGAGGATGGGCGCGCGGGAGGTGGGAGGGAGGAGAGCGAAGGCGCGCGCGGCCTGGTGGGAGGGGGGTTAGTTCCGTCCCGTGTGTGTGTGTGGTGTGTGTGGTTGGTTGGGGAGGTTGGATATGCATGCACTCACGTGGGTTTCGAGCTGCTTGGTTTGGGTCACTTCGGGATACCAGGATCGGGTGTCGAGGATCCATTGCGCGATGACGGGCTTATTGGGGGTTTCTGCGTCAGACATTTTGGTAATCGGCCTTATCTGCGCATGTATGTTTGAGAATCCGGTTTATTGTTTCCGCTTATCCAAAAATGTCATCTGATGGCGAGATGTGTCCGGTGTTGTGGGCTTTGGCGGCATCCTCATGAGATGGTTTGAGGTTTAAGAGCGAGAGCGGCTTTGAAAGTCGGAGTGCGATGGAGTCAGCCCGAACTGCGGCTCGTCAGAGTCGCCTAGTTGTTCGTGCAGGAGATGCTTCATGCAGTGCAACCTGGTGTGCAAAACCCTCTTCTCCTTCTAAACGCAGGATTTTGACCTCTTTATTGCCTCTTCTTTTTTTTATCTTCCCTCAACTTTTGTGGGAGGCCACTGTGACTCCCATAGCCCAATGCCGTTTCCCAGACCGCAGTTGTTTTCCGTACAGGTGGTTTGATAAAACGTCCCGCGTACCTTCCATATACAATCTCATGGCTTTCAAACGCATACCACTGTCCGATTTTTGGTCATTGTTTTACAGCGGAAAGGAGCCGTAGTGCTGTACTCCAAGGGTGTCTTACCTTACCTAGGTAGGTTCTTAAAACGGCTGGGTCCCCCCCCAGAGACCGGATTGGCGTCACCACTTCAGCTACTAGAAGAGGGAAAGTTCATCTATTTTACTTCCATGTATACTAAAATGCAACTCGCTCTTTTTGCTCTATCCTAATTCTATGGAACAAACGCCGAGACAAGCTCACCTAAGCCAGCGGCGAATCCAGAGTACCTGGACCGTAGCACCGTCACGGCCAGCCCCCTAAGTCACCGTCACGATCGCCCGCGGTACGGTTACCGAAAGCAAAAACAGCTCATGGCGTCCAGGCGTGAGATTGAGGTCGCCCAGTTCAATCTCCGCCTCACCCTTCCCTTGCCCCCCTGCCTCCTCATTTTTCTTGTCCCCGTCCTCCTCCTTATTCCCTTCCTCAGCATCCCCATCCCTCCTCTTGCCTGCGCTCTCCTTCACCACCTTCCCCGCCCCATCCACCTCCACAACCACATCCTCGGTATCCAGACTCCCGTCCTCCGTGTACCCCCACATATCCTTAATCTCCCCCCTTACAAACCCGGTCAGCCACAACGACCCCGTCACGCCGGGCACCAGGTACAGCAGCGCCGGCTGGCCATGGTTGAAGACGAGCATAATGACCAGGGTGACGAGCATGCCAACGGCGTAGCCGACGAGGGAGGCGTAGAAATAGGGCTTGGGGAAGGCGGTGGCCGAGATGGCGTCTGTGGCCTCGCGCACGGGGGAAAAGCAGCCGAGCGGGGTCGTCCAGAACCGGTTGCCCCACTGGCCGCGGGTGTCGACGTAGGGGGCTTTGACGCGCCGGTGCTGCGTGGTGGTGGTTGTCGTGGTGGTGGTCTCGGTCGCTAATTGTACCGGCTGCAGCGTGGTCTTCCGCTGGTAATACTGGTACAGGTCGAAGCGCAGCGCCAGCGCCATCAGCATGCCTGGAACCACAATGTCGCCAAGTCCGAGCATACTCGCGCCTTTTGCGCTGGTAAAGACCAGTTTGATAGGGGCGTCGATGCTCTTAGCGACTGCAATCATGAAGGGGCTAGAACAAAGGGGTTAGCGTGGGTAGACAGTGAACGACGGGGAGGGGGCGTACGTGTAGAAGACCATGACAACGTCATAGACGAAGAGGCTGGCCAAGACCATGCTGCCAATGGTGAAGGACGTGGGGGATATCATTAGGAAGGAGAAGTAGCACATGGCTAAGCTGAGCAGGTTAGAAAGCGCATCCCATCCAAGCCAATGGTACGCTAAAGCAACTGCTCCGGCAATGGAGAAGCGGAGCATATCGTTGAGCCGGAGTTCCATCTTGATGAGGAGCCTGCTGTAGATAACAAGTCGAAACGTCCAGTCCTCGGTAAATAAGGAACGCAGCTCCCAGATAAGCTCCCTCGCGCGCCGTGATAGTCTGAGATGGGAAAAACGGCCAGGCAATGGGGTCGTCTTCTCCTTGATGACAACCTGGTTGCCGGTCTCCTTGTCGATCACGTATTGACAGCACTGGTCAGAGTCGATATAGTGAACCTGCCCCCTGCCATCTGCCCACGCAGTTGGAAAAACAAGACTCGTCACATTGTCCAACGCATCGCCAACAAGAGTACTCAAACCGGCGATCGACATGATGGACATGTAATACCGGAGTACCTTGTTCAGGATGGCCGGGTCTTGCAGCCAGTGGATTAGGTAGTAAAGTCCGATTAGAACAGCAGCGAGCATGAGGGGGAATCGGATGACATCTGATGCAACGAGCCCTTCCACGAATTTCTCCTCCTCCCTCTTCTTCTCTCCCTTCTTCGGTTTTGATGGCGCCGCTGAGGGCGGTCGACGAAGCGAGCCATGGGCGCCAAGCCATATGATGCCGAGTGCGCTGAAGATGACGAGAAGGTATTGGGGTTCTAGGAGCCTCGCAAAAGCGAACACGGGCGGTGATGGTGGAGGTATGTCGGCCACATTTGGGAGGCCGTCCTCCGAAGACATCTTTAGTTTTCTCGGGTGCCTTGATTGGCAGCCAAATGACCCCGTTGAGGATGTGCGAACCCCAACGACGCTGGCTAATAAAGAGGCCAAATTGCTTCTTAGACAAATTCGATAGATACGACTAGAGTCAAATAATTCAAAGGGCTAAAGGAGTGTAGATGATGAATCCCTTGGTCGCTGCTCAGTACCAAGATAGAATTGGGATGTTGTCCTCCAGCTGTTCACATGTTTAAGTTCCATTCTGGGCGTGGCGTTCCTGCAGGCCATGTGGGGTGATTGGTTCCACTGACCCACTGTAACTGGGCGCTGTAACCTGACCCCACCAGGAAGCACCACGGGTGCCTTGGTCCAGCCTTGACACGGGCAGCTTGAACATCGCCATCCATCACCATCCATCGCCCGTTACCACTCCTCCATTCGCAAACCCAGCTGCTCCTCCACAGAAACCGACAGCCCACCTTTCTTCGTGTGACTTTGACGATTTGGAACCCAGGAAGGGTTCAACCGAAACCCGTTCATCCAGCACAATCGCTCATTCAGAATGGAATCCGGGCCTATGTCGGTGGATAGTGCGGCCTTGGATCCGCCGCCCTTGCCCGACAATGGCCCGGATGAGCCAAAGCATGGTGGGCATTCGAGATTCGAACTTGAGCTCGAGGTGTGTTTTATATTTTCGCTTCACTCCTAGCTCCCAGGAAGCTGACGTGCCAACAGTTTGTCCAGGCCCTAGCGAACCCGCAGTATCTCAACTATCTTGCGTCCCGCAAGTTCCTCGTGAACCCCTCCTTCGTCGCGTACCTCAATTATTTGCAGTACTGGACGCGCCCGCCGTACCTGAAGTATCTTACGTTTCCGACCGCGACCCTCAAGATGCTCGAGCTCCTGCAACAGGAGAGGTTCCGGCACGACATCATCAGCCCTGATCTCGCGCATGCCCTGATCATGGAAGGGATGAAGACAGCAGTGGAATGGCATCGCGAAGGCTGATGTGGCCTGATGTTGGCAAGAGATGGACAAATTAGGGCTGACCAAGTCGATTCAACTTCGGTGTCGCGTTACCTACCAACTGCTTTGCGCTTCGACTAGGAGCGGGAAAAGGCCATGCAAGAGCACACACCAGCGACCACGGTGCTGAGCAGCAGTCTACAACCTGCAACAACACTTCGCCCTTACGGGCAGACGGAAGGAAGGGAATAGATCGGCAGCCAGAGACTCGACAATAGAGCATGGCCCCAAGGCTCGACGGCTCCGAAGCCATTGACATGCATATTGTCTACATAGTTGAGCACACCCTTAAATGAAGAAACAAATCTACCCAAACCCATATAACGCCTCGCAATGCTCCCTTGTGACGTCCCACTACCCAGCCGCCGACAACCAGCACCATCTCCCCTCAGTTTTCTCTCCACCGATGCCCACACGTCATACACTATCATCGCTCATCAGTCCCGCCCTCCATCACAACCATCCAAAAAGGCAGAAGAGAACTAACCTTATAAAACGTAGTCATCGGCTCATCCGCACTGCGAATCTGCACCTGGAAGAAGGCCGCCTCGTCCCCATTACAATCCGGCGTCGGACACTGCACCCGGCCCTTCTGCGCGTTGTCCCACGCGCCCGGCCCGCCAAACACGTCCTCCTTCTCCTTGCGCGGGAAGTTCTTGCGCGAGTAGATGGGCATCTCGATGGCGTGCTGGTAGGGGCAGGTGCGGCACTCGAGCCGGTTGCCGCCCGTGTCCATCCGCGACAGGATGAGCAGGTTGGCGCAGTAGGGACAGACTGGATGGGCTGTTAGTGAGGTGAAGGGGTGGTGGGGAGGGGAGGGGGGGTTGGCACGGACAAAGGATGGGCATCTTAAAGGAGGTTGAAGGGGTGAATGGTCGGAATGCTCAGGTAGCCTTTGTGCAAGGTAGGTGCTTGAGAAACTGAGTGAAGATTGAGGTGCCCCGCGATGAGATGATTCACCAGGCAGACTCTGCACTCTCGTTACAGGGTTTGTTGTGAACAGATTCTTGTCTTCGATTGTAGGTTGAATGCTGATGGTCCTGTTGAAAAGAGTGAAGGCGTGGAGCTGGGATGTCCGTGAATTGACTCGTGGTTATTCAGTCACCCTTCAGATCTGCTCAGATGACAGACAGACGCCTTGTAAATATTTAAAGTGGGCCTGGCTGTTGAAAACGATGAGATGGTGGGGGCCCAGGAACTCTAATTAACCCTAACCCTTTCTCTCCATCTTTCACCACCCTCGACTGATGTAAATATGTGCTGTGCATTCCCTCTAACTCCCCAATATTCAAGAAATAAGGGGATGACATAGTTAGTTGGAATATCCTCGCTAAGTATCTCCCGACTTAGGGGCTCATGCTCCCTGTATGCAATCGTGCACTGTTAAGTGAGACAGGGACAGGGTCGAAGCCCCGCCATGAAGTGGGCCCCCATCAGCCGGGCGTTGGTGGTGGGGTCCCAACCATTCTCACTGCCACCTCCTAAGAGGTTGCCGCTCTGACACCAAACACGCCGGACCAAGACTTGGATCAATAGCTAAGTAGCCGCGCGGTTGTGGCTGTGATCCGGCGCCCAAACAATAAACGACCAAACTTAACTCGCATCTTTCTCTTTCCCCACAACTCCCATTCACACGACAAGCTTCCAGCTTGTTTCTACCCCCCTCTCGGTCCCTTACCTTGCGCCCTCCAAACCACCAACAACACCAAACCGAAACAACCCCCAAACCATCACCATGGCCAACCGAGCAAAGGAAGAGGAACACGAGGTACGTTTCCACCCCACAACCAAAC